GGCCTCTCACATGCTGGGGGGAAAGGCAGCTCAGATAGAGAAGGGACCACCAAGTAAAGGGTGCGAGGAGGGCCCGCTCGGGTTGGGAGATGCAGACTGAAAGTAGACTAGAGACTGAACATGATGGCCACTTAATACCTCTATTGCAAATCACAACACCCAAAAGGAGAAAGAGAACAAAAGGGAATGCCCTGTCACAGAGGCGGGGTGGGGTGGAGGGAACGGGGTTGGGGGCGGTGGGAGGGATGCTGGGACCATTGGTGGTAGAAAATGGTCACTGGTGGAGGCATGGGTACTCAACCATTGTGTGACTGAAATGCAAGCACGAAAGTTTGTTAGTCTGTAACTGTACCCCACGGTGATTCACTAATAAAAAAATTTAAAAATAAAATAAACCCAGGGCCTCACACATATGAGGTCTGTGCTCCACAACTTGAGCCATGCCCCCACTCAGCCTTGCTTTTTAATTTTATTTTACTTTATTTAAACGTCATGGTTTACGAAGTTGTTCATAAGACAGTTGTTTTGGGCACTCAATGTTACCCAACGCCAGTCCCACTATTGGTGTGACCATTGTCCCCAGTTTTCCCCTCCCCAAAGTGTGCCCCTATCGTAGGCACAAAACAATTATATTTTATATTCTTGTTTCAACAAATTGGCCAGTGGCATTATCAAAAAATACCTGAGTAGAATTTGTGAAAGTTGTTTTATCTCACAGTGGAGTTATTATTTGAGGGTTTACTAGTTGCTAGTGTGTTGCTAGTTGAGCCTTTTGTGTTACTGATTTTTTTTGCTTTTTTGGGTCACACCCAGCGATGCTCAGGGGTTACTCCTGGCTTTGCACTCAGGAATCACTCCTGGCGGTGCTCGGGGGACCATATGGGATGCTGGGAATCGAACCTGGGTCGGCCGCAGGCAAGGCAAACACCCTACCCGCTGTACTATTGCTCCAGCTCCATATGTTACTGATTTTGCTTACTGAGCTTAACTGGCTTCTTTGCTACTTTCCCATCTAATTTGCGGTGCTCCTACAGGGCCCTCAGGAATGTGGAATTTGAAGGCGTTGTTCTGGCAGCTCCAGGATCTGTAGAACTAGGAGGATTCTCAGCCTGCCCCTTTCCCACGGTTCGTGGTGGGCAGAAGGGGGTGCAGAACTTCAGCCTGAAGACCAGTGCCCCTGGAAGTTTCTTTGGCTTGGCATCTCTGCAGAGATAAGTCATACAGCTATGTTTTTTAATTTATTTATATATTTATTTTTTGCTTTTTGGGTCACACCTGGCGATGCACAGGGGTTACTCCTGGCTCTGCACTCAGGAGTCACTCCTGGCGGTGCTCAGGGAACCATAGGGGATGCTGGGAATCAAACCCGGGTCGGCCACGTGCAAGGCAAATGACCTACCTACTGTGCTATCTCTCCAGCCCCAGTCATGCAGCTATGAAGCTGAGCCATCTGCATGGCAATGACCTGGTCTGTGGGTGAGGCTGCTGAGGCCTTGGCAAGGTGGGACTCAGCCTGCCCTTCCTCCCAAGGGCACCCAGAGTTTTCAGCCTGAAGGCCATGGTACTCATGAGTGTTTGCGGCTTGGCTTACATCTCTAGGTTAGTTGTGAATTTGTGAAGCTGGGCTGTGGTGTCTACAGCAGCGGCTGTGGAATTGCTTTTTAAAATTTTGTGCCTGCATTTTTTTTTCTTTTTGGGTCACTCCCAGCGATACTCAGAGGTTACTCCTGGCTCATGCACTCAGGAATTACTCCTGGCGGTGCTCAGGGGACCATATGGGATGCTGGGAATTGAACCCGGGTTGGCCATGTGCAAGGCAAATTCCCTACCCACTGTGCTATTGCTCTTGTGTCTGCGTTTCTTGACTAGTGTAGTGCCCCTTCCTCCATTCAAAAGTGTGTCCTTTCAATTCCTCTTCTTTCTCTGTGTTTTTGGTTTTTTTGGTTTTTTTTTTTTTTGCTTTTTGGGTCACACCCGGCAATGCACAGGGGTTACTCCTGGCTCTGCGCTCAGGAATTACCCCTGGCAGTGCTCAGGGGACCATATGGGATGCTGGGAATCGACCCCAGGTCGGCCGCGTGCAAGGCAAACGCCCTACCCGCTGTGCTATAGCTCCAGCCCCTCCTATTCTTTCTCTGATTTGGCCCTATTTTCTCCCTCCTTTAAGGGCCCTTATAATTTCCTTGGAACCCTGGATACTCTTAACAAAATTCCCATCCTCAAAGTCCTTTTTGCCTTATAAGGTGGGGGGTGAAAAAAATCATAAAAGAGGCAAAAGCGAGGTGGGGGGGTAACAGGGGCCCAATGTAGTCATGCGATCTTCTCCAACCAGTATCAGAAGTGGAAGATGGAAGGGAAATCAGAGAAATTTTGGCATTGTTCAGGGCTTACTCCTGGCTCGGGGATGATTGGGGGAACTTATGGGGTGCCAGAGACTGAGCCCATGTCAGCCCTGTGTGCAAGGCAAGCACCTTCCCTGCTGGGCTATCTCTCCATCCATAAGAATCAGAGAAATTTTAAGCCAGACTCTCTGTACCATTGTCACTGTCACTGTCCTCCTGTTGTTCATCGATTTGCTCGAGCGGGCCCAGTAACGTCTCCATTGTGACAATTTATTACTGTGTCTGGCATATCAAATACGTCACGGGTAGCTTGCCAGGCTTTGCCGTGAGGGCGAGATACTCTCGGTAACTTGCCGGGCTCTCCGAGAGGGGTGGAGGAATTGAACTCGGGTTGGCCATGTTGGTCGCTTGCAAGGCAAATGCCCCAGCCGCTGTGCTATCGCTCCAGCCCATTACCAGTTTGAAACTCCAAAGAACTAGCCAAGGAGAGTATATGGCCCCCAGAAGCTCAGTCCTTTAACCAAATGGCAGTGACTCTCCCTCTGTCCAAGAGGGGTATAGGATGACATTGCTTTGTCCTTTCTCCCTTAGCACAAGAAGCTTAGGTTTATCAGGTTACACCCATCACAGTGCTCCCGAGTCACTCCCATTCTTTATCTGTAACCACTTCTCTCTGCTCTCTTCCCCAACCAGTTAATCAGCTTTTTCCCCTAGTCAGAATCTGTTAATTTGTAAGGTCAGATCCTTCTAGGACACTGAAATTGTATTGTAAGTTAATATTGCCTTTTTCCTCTCCTTATGTCTTTTGAATAGTTTACTTTTTTTTGTTTTTCTTTTAGAGTCACACCCAGTGATGCACAGGGGTTATTCCGGTTCATGCACTCAGGAATTACTCCTGGAAGTGCTTGAGGGACCATATGGGATGCTGGGAATTGAACCCGGGGCGGCCGTGTGCAAGGCAAATGCCCTACCCGCTGTTCTATTGCTCCAGCCCCAAATAGTTTACTTTAATACAATATCCTTTTTGTATAAATACAGGAAGACAGTTAATATTATGCTTTGTAACTTAGGATTTAATTGGCTTTGAATATTATTCACTCCTGAGCATCTATCTGCTTTCTCGACTTAAGCCTCAGTTGCCCTTGATTCCTAACACCTCAAAAGCAGGGTCCTGACGTGGGACTGAATGGACCCAGGGCAAGCTGTGAGCTACCCTGGCATTGAAATGGGTCAGGCCAAAGTGCTACAATTCTTAACTGTAAGTTAAGAGTTTGATCATAGACAAATGTTGTCATGATCCAGAAGTAATGACGAGACTAGGACCCTGCTAGGGATAGGAAAGACTATCTGGCCTGAGCACTGTAGTCTGAGATTGAGATGGCCCTAGGAGAGCAATTCTATAAGTTTAAGGTATTTTTTACTGTATCCATACAAAATGATTTATTTTATGTATGCTTATATGTTTGTTGGACAAGGAGAGGAGAAACACACCCAGGGGATTCCGTTCTAGGGTGGGTCGTCCTGCTGAGAGAGACTCTGTCCTAGAAGCTGCTTTCCCCGAGGGAAAGAATTCTACCCCTGTTGATTGTGACCACACCTATGTGTAATTGTTACCCCAACCCCTCATGCTTTGGGATATAACTAGACTGTAAGAGTGGGCTGGGGGATCAGAATCCAGACTCCAGAAGGAGAAGGAGAAAGGGGATCCAGATTCCAGAGCGAGAAGGAGAATGAAGGGGGATCGAGGAGGAGAATGAAGTAGCATGGGGGGAGGAAGAAGCAGGATGAGAATCAGAGGAGAATGGAGATGGGAATGGAATAAACTGCAGCTAAGACCAACCGTTTCCTTACTTCACCTGCCCATGACCATCAACCTCCCCGGGGTGGGGGATTCGGCGGGAGAGATAGACTGCTGCTGCTGTCTTTTTGAGTTTACACACGGGGCCTTGAATTGGATTCTCCCTGAGAGCCTGAAGATGTGAATCTGGCTGGCAACGCCTCCACTCCAGTGCTGAGCCCCAAGAGCCTGGGCTTGACCTCCGAAACTAGGAGATGAGAAATGGATGTTGTGCTTATTTGATTTGGGTGTCACAAGTGGTGCTCAGGGGTCACTCGTGTCTCAGTGCTCAGGAAACCAATATGCAGTGCCGGGATTTGAAACAGGTCAAGCAATGAAGCCGCTTAAGCCCAGTATTATTTCCAGCCCCTAATACGGGTAGTCTTTTATTTTTTTTTTTTTTGAGAGGCCACATCCAGCTGTGCTCAGGGCTTGCTCCTGGCTCTGTGATCAGGGATCACTCCTGGCAGACTCAGCGAGACCACATAGGGTGCTGGGAATCAAACCCTGGACATCCGCATTCGAGGCAAGCACCCCACCAGCCTTAGTAGTGCAGCCCAATATGGGCGTTATTTTTAAGATGCTAAGTTCGTGGTCACTTTTTATACAGCAACAGAAACCTAACACTTAAGATTTGAGTTGAGATTTGAACACATTAAAAGACATCACGGGGTGTTCATATGCTGTTGGAGCCCATGTGCTGCTTGTGCCCATGTGGCCGAGCACATGTAGTAACCAAGCACATGTGGTGACTGAGCACATGTGTCACCTGCATCTCCCCTCTTGAGATATGTACTTTCATGCTTTCATGTCTAATGCTGGGATATGTGTAGGGGTTCTCTTCGCCCTTGGACAAGCCCATGTTTTCTCTTGAGCACACTACTCTCTCTCTCTCTCAATAAAATTTGTTTTTCTTCAAAAAAAAAAATAGACATCACAGGCAGATCTAGGGTAGTGGGTTCCATCCCCAGGGAAGAAAAAGTACAGAGGCCCCAAAGAAATAAACTGAAGACTAGTGTTGGTTGCTGAGCCTGCTGGGTACAAGGAGCAGGTGGGAAAGGAAGCCAGAACTGGGGCAGGAACTGGAAGCCACTTTGGGGCAGATCCTGGGCAGCTGATTGAGTGACTGACAACTGCTCTCTGGGCCTTCTCAGTGGATTCCAGAATGATCGCCACCCACAGAACCCACTGTCTATGCACCTCTGCCTCTGTGGTTCTGGAGCAGGCCCTGGGAGAGACTGATCCAGCCACTGCGACCCGCAGGTGGGTGATGCTGCTGTCGCCCCTCAGTGGGGCGGTGATTTTGCCTTCCCAAGGTGCTTCAGTCTGGACAGTTCTGTTCCGGGAACCGAACAGGTGGAGGAAGCTGGTGCAGAGAAAGTGTCAGACCGGCCTGTCAGGAGTCTGGTTCCTGCCACAGAGGCAGGCTGGGGCTGGAGGAAAAGTGGGGACATTGGTGGAGTGAAGTGGACAGCAGTGAAGGGACCGGTGTTGGAACATCTAGCCTGAAACTCAATCAGGAATAACTCTGTAACTTTGTAATTCACACTGATTTAATAAGTTAACAAATGAAAAGAGTGAGAGACATGTAGATTTTTTTAAATTTAATTTTTTAAATTTTTTTAATTTATTTTTTGCTTTTTGGGTCACACCCGGTGATGCACAGGAGTTACTCCTGGCTCTTCACTCAGGAATTACTCCTGGCATTGCTCGGGGTACCATATGAGATGCTGGGAACTGAACCCGGGTCGACCGCGTGCAAGGCAAACGCCCTACTTGCTGTACTATCGCTCCAGCCCCGATTTTTTTTTTAAAGGAGCAGTCAAAACAAATAAATAAATAAATAAAAGGAGCAGTCAGACTGTCTAGGAATTATCCTGATGACAAATCTGGACAAAGTCATTCCAAGACAAAAAGTTTACTAATATTTCTTTTGAATAGAGATGTAAAAATCTTCCACCAAATATAAGCAAACCAAATCAGTAATTTAGAAATGTGATAAGCAACGTGATTTTCTTTTTCTTTTCTTTTTGGGTCACACCTGGAGATGCACCGGGTTACTTCTGGCTCTGCACTCAGGAATTACCCCTGGCAGTGCTCAGAGGACCATATGAGATACTGGGAATCGAATCCAGGTTGGCCGAGTGCAAGGCAAACGCCCTACCAACTGTGCTATCGCTCCAGCCCCCGCAATGTGATTTTTCTTTAATTTTTTAAAATTTATTATTTATTTTTGCTTTTTGGGTCACACCCAGCAATGCACAGGGGTCACTCCTGGCTCTTCACTCAGGAATTACTCCTTGCAGTGGTCGGGGGACCATATGGGAATGCTGGGAATTGAACCCGAGCGGCCACATGCAAGGCAAATGCCCTACCAACTGTGCTATTGCTCCAGCCCCCACAATGTGATTTTTTTAAAGGTTTTTTTCAAATCAAAATTTTATGGTTTACAATACAATACTATTAATAATGGTTTCTCATGCACATAATTTCAACACCACACCCATCACCAGTGTTCCCACATTTCTTCCCCAAGGGGTCTGTAAGCAGTGCCTAGGGATCTCTGGGGCCACTCCCTTTGATACTCAACAAAGTGTCTTAGTGCTCAGACCCAGAAGTGCTGGCACCACTAGGGCTGTACCTGGCTGCAGAGGCAGGGATGGGGGCACCCAATCAGTACCAGAGTTGAGACTGGGGGCACTGCATGTGCTAGGCATGCACTTTAGTTTGTTTTTTGTGGGATGGGAGTAGGTGGGTCCTGGTGGGTAGGTTCCAGATCTGGATGCACTCAGTGCTTACTTTTTCCCTTTTCTTTTCTGTTTGGTTTCTGGACCATTCCTCTGGACCATTATTGAGCTCTTGTGTGTATGTGTATGTTACCAGGGCTTAAGACCTACCTTATTTATCATTGAATACTTTTTATATATGGAGCAGTAGGGCATTTGCCTTGCATGCAGCCAGCCCGGTCAAGCCGGGTTTGATTCCTCCGCCCCTCTTGGAGAGCCCAGCAAGCTACCAAGAGTATCTTGCCCGCATGGCAAAGCCTGGCAAGCTACCCGTGACGTATTCAATATGCCAAACACAGTAACAACAAGTCTCAAAATGGAGACATTACTGAGCTCGCTTGAGCAAATCAATGAACAACGGGAGGACAGTGACAGTGATCTTTATCATCATACAAATCAAGCATAAAAACATCACCAAACTTTTTATAATACAAATTGTATTTTCATAATACCACGTAGCACAGTGGTAGGGCGTTTGCCTTGCACACGGCCAGCCCAGCCGAGCCAGGTTCGATTCCTTTGCCCCTCTCGGAGAGCCTGGCAAGCTACTGAGAGTTTCTCGCCCGCCTGGCAAAGCCTGGCAAGCTGCCCGTGACGTATTTGATATGCCAAACACAGTAACAACAAGTCTCACAATGGAGACGTTGCTGGGCCCATTCAAGCAAATGAAAGTGTTGAAGACTGTTAAATGTAAATTTTCAGTGTCTGTTGAAATAATCATATGGTTTTATGGGTATTTTTTGTCTGGGGCCACACCTGGTGGTGATCAGGACTTCCTCCTGGCTCATGTCTGTTCCTAAGAGCTTTTTTGTTTAAGAGGGGACTCCTAAGCTGTGCTTGGACGGGGGGGGGGGGGGGGGGGGGGGGCAGGCGGGCAGGAACACTCCCAGAGATCAGTGGCCACTGTGGCCCTGTAGTTCAGAGCATGGGCCCTGCGAGGCCAGAGCTACCCCAGCTAAACCTAGCAGTGATAAAGTACAGGAGTACAGGGGTGGGCATGCATGCAGACCTGTGCTCAAACTTGGGATGCATGTATGAAAGCATGTAGCCCTGACCCTGTGCTATCTACTCAACCCTCTGTGACTTTAACATTTCTTATTTCTGTTTTTTGGCCACACCCAGAAGTACTCAGAGATCACTCTAGTGGTGCTTGGGGGATCATATGGGGTGCTGGGGATCAAACCCAGGTTGGCCATGTGCAAGGCAAGTGACCTGCTGTACTGTCTCTCCAGCACCTGTTTCTGGTTTTATTTTGGGTTCTACCTGGTTGCACTCAGGAGCTACTCCTCGCTCTGTGTTTAGGCGTTGCTCTTGGTGGTACTTGAGAGACCATAAGTGGTACCAAGAGCAGATCTGGGCCTCAGCAGGCAGACGATGCGACTTTGCTCAGCCTGTTGAGCTGTCTCTGACCGAACAGTTGTTTAGCTTTTGGCCACACCATGTGGGGCTCAGGGGTCATTTTTAGCTTTGAGCTTGGGGATCACTCCCAGCAGAAAAGTTAAAGTTTGAAGGGCCGGGAGAAACACTACAGTGCGTAGGGCATTTGTCAAGCACGCAACCGACTCAGTTTGAGTCCCAACACCCCAAATGGTCCCTCAAGCATAAGCATGGCGGGGGTGATCCCTGAGCACAGAACTAGGAGTAAGCCCTGAGATCCACTGGATGTGGCCCCAAAACCAAAAAATAAATTAATTAAAAAAATTTTTAAGTTCTAGTTTAAACAATTTAGGCAACAAAAATAAAAGAGATCCAGAGTGAAGAGAAGTAAATAATTTCTATTTGTAAATTAAAAATCTAGTAAATAAAGAACTCTTGGGCATTCACACACACAGAAACATTATAATAATAAAGTAACTCAGCAAGATTTTGAATGCAACAATTAAGTCCATTGTATTCTCACCAGTAGCCATGAACAATCCAAAACTGAAACAAAGAAAGCATTATTTATAACAGCTACATAAGAAATAAAGTATTTCAATGTAAATGTGAGAGGTGTGATATTTATACACTGGAAAAGAAAACACATTTTTGAGATCAGAGCCATAGTACAGCAGGGAAGGCGTTTACCTTGCATGCAGCCAACATGGGTTTGATTCCTGGCACTCCATATGAGTACCACTAGGAGATTTCTGAGCAGAGAGCCAGGAGTAATCCCTAATGGTGCCCCCCCCAGCAAAAACAAACCATTAAAAAATTTAAAATAAATTTGATAAATCTATTTAATAGATTATCTAATTAAAAATAAATTTAAGATATTCCCAATGTTCATAGATCAGAAGATCTAATATTGTTAAGATGGTAATATTCCTCAAGTTTATTTATTTTTTTGCTTTTGGGGTCACACCCTGATGGTGCCCAGAGGTTACTCCTTGCTCTGTGCTTAGGAATTACTCCTGATGGTGCTTGGGGGACCTTATGGGATGCCTGGGATCAAACCGGGATCAGCCATATGCAAAGCAAATGCCCTACCTGCTGTACTATGGTTCCAGCCCCAACCTCAAGTTGATATATAGATTCAATGCAATCTCTACCAATTTTTTTTTTTGCTTTTTGGGTCACATTCGGTGATGTTTAGGGGTTACTTCTGGCTCATGCACACAGGAATTACTCCTGGCAGTGCTGGGGGGACCATATGGGATGCTGGGAATCGAACCTGAGTTGGCCGCAAGCAAGGCAAATGCCCTACCCTCTGTGCTATTGCTCCAGCCCTCTCTACCAAAATCTTACCTAAATTCCCTTCCCCTCTCTTCCCTTCCCTTCTTCCCCTCCCCTCTCTCCTCTTCCCTTTCCCTTCTCTCTTTCCCCTTCCCTTTTCTCTCCTTCCCTCCTCTCTCTTCCCATCTTTAACCCTTTCTCTCTCCCCCTCCCTCCCCCATCCTCCCCAGTGATTCTTGACTCCCGGTTGCAGCCCACTTTGCTACGCTGTGTTTGATGGTGCTGGAAGGCCCCAGGCCACAGCCAGCAGTGCTCACTGGGACCTCACGCAAGCAAGTCTTCTTACTCTTCTTACCCTTGGAGCTCTCTCCCTAGTCCCCCTTCTTTTCCTTCCTTCTTCACTTCCTTCCTTGCAGTTGTTGTTTCTGGTGCTACACCCAGCTGTGCTCACTGTTTACTCCTGGCTCTGTACTCAGGGACCACTCCTGGCAGTGCTTGGGGGGACACAGGGATTGAAACCAGGCTTGGGTGCATGGACGTCAGTGCCTTACCTGCTGTTCTATCTCTCTGGCCACCTTGCGCTCTTTTGTCGTTACTATTCTGTTTCAGAGATCAAACTAGGATCTCACACATGCGAGACAAGTGCTCTGCCACTAAGCTATATTCTCGGCTGCTCTCATTCTTTTTATTGTTTTTCTTTTCATTTTTGTGAAACTGACACCTGATGATAAAATTACTAGGAAAATGCCAGGAATCTAAAAAATATATATGATTGAAATACAAGAACAAATGGACCAATTCACAGGTTCCTGATTTTTGTGTATGTAAAGGAGTTGGACCTAGCAGTGCTCAGGGTTTACTCCCAGATCCGTCCCAGGCATCACTCCTGGTGGTGCCAGGGATGGAACTGGGGTCAGGTACATGCAAGACAAATTCCTTAACTCTTGTTCTGCCTCTCTGGTCCCTGACATGGGGGCGGGGGCAGGGAGTATGGTTTGGGTCACACCTAGATGTGTCCAGGGATGCTCCCAGCTCTGTCCTTGGGGGTTGCTCAGGGGACCAGCGGTAGTGTTTCCAGCGGTGCTCAGGGGACCTTGTGCTGTCAAAGGGCTTGCTGCAAGCACAACATGGGCTTAGCCCTTTGAGCTTTCTCTCCCTCACATTTTTTTCTTTTTGGTTGTTGTCTACACCCAATCGTGGTGAGATGCTACTTCTGGCCCTGTACTCCAGGGCCAATGCAGGACTTGGGATTAAATCTCGGGCTCCCACATGTAAAGCATATGCTCATACTCTTTGAACCATCTCCACAGCCCATAGGTCCTGATTTTTGAGAGTTATTACACAGCGACAGAAGTGAAAGTGTGGCACCCAGGCAAGAGAGCTACTACAGCCGATAAGGAACTCACCTTGCACATGGCTGCCCAAGTTTGATCCCTCGCACACTGTCAGGAGTAAGCCTGAGGACTACCAGGTATGGCCCCAAAATAACAAACACACACAAACACAAAGTGTAGTATACTCATAAAGAAAGGAACCAGAGAGATAGTATCGTGGTTAAGGCACTTGCCTTGCCTATAGCCAACCTTGGTTAGGTTCCCAGCACTACATATGTTCCCCCCAAACTGCGGGGGATCACTGCTGAGAACAGAGCTAGGAATAGCCCCTGAGCATCATAGGGTGTGACCCTCCCCCCAATATTTCAGAGGCTAAAACTGAGAGTCCAGAAATAAGTCCTCATATTTACAGTTTACTTTCAACAAGGGCGTTAAAACAATTTCAATGAAGAAATAACTTTTTCAACAAATGGTTCTAGAACATTTGGAAATAAAAGTTGAGCTTTTCAGGGGTATGGTGCTGCCAGCAGGTCAATCTGTACCTGTGAGGCGAGTGCATCAGCAGCCTGATGGCACCTTCAGACTTTCAGATACCCCAAAATTGCTACTGTGCCTTTGGCCAGACCCCAAAAACTTGGGGCCAAGTTTACCAAGAAAGTAAAAGGCCAAAAGTTAGGTATGTGGGAGACACATACCTAACTTGTGGTGAAGGTACCCACAAACCACCTCCGACACAGCTATATAATTGGAGGCAAGGCCTCTCTGGTTCCTGATCGAACTGCTTAACGGCTATGATCCCAGAGACTCATAAACAAATCTTGAAACCCAATGGCTTTTGGCAGAAATGCATCCAGTCCCTGCAATAAGTTATAGGTGCTGGGCCACCCCAGGTGGGAATAGGTTTCATTCTTTGGCCTGTTCCCCCTGGCGGCCCAGTGGCCGCCATCCTCCAGAGGCCACTGGACAGTCAGGTTTGGGCCCGCAGTGATGAGACACGCGGGGCCTCCCGTGATGGGGGTGGAGCCGGCCCTTTCCTCTCCGTCCCAACGAGACCCTGAGTCGGCGCCCATGAACGGCCTCTCTGGCTCCTGATCAAGCTACTTAACAGCCACGATCCCAGAGACCCAGAAACAAATCTCGAAACCCAGCAGCTTTTGGCAGAAATGCATTCGGACCACGCAGTAGGTTACTGTCGCTGGGCCACCCGAGGGGGGAAAGGGTGCTGTCCATCTGCTTGCTCCCCCTTGGCGGCTTGGTGGTCGCCATCATCCAGAGGCCATTAGACACTCAGGTTTGGGCCTGCAGTGACAAGACATGCGGGGCCTCACGGGATGGGTGTGGAGCAGACCCTTTCTTCCCCACCCCAACGAGACCCTGAGTCGCTACCAACAAACGGTCTCTCTGGCTTCTGATCAAGTCGTTTAATGGCCATAATCCCAGAGACTCAGAAACAAATTGCGGAACCCAGCGGCTTTTGGCATAAATGCAACCAATCCCTGCAGTAGGTTACTGGCGCTGGGCCACCCCAGGTGGGAATAGGTTTTATTCCTTGGCCTGTTCCCCCTGGCAGCCCAGTGGCCGCCATCCTCCAGAGGCCACTGGACAGTCAGGTTTGGGCCCGCAGTGACGAGATATGCAGGGCCTCATTGGATGGGGGTGGAGCCGGTCCTTTCCTCTCTGTCCCAACATGACCTCAAGTCCAAGTCGTTGCCCACAAACAGCCTCTCTGGCTCCTGATCAAGCTCCTTAACAGCCATGATCCCAGAGACTCAGAAACAAATCTCGGAACCCAGTGGTTTTTGGCAGAAATGTGTCCGGACCCTGCTGTAGGTTACTGTAACCAGGCCACATCAGAGGGGAAAGGGTGCTGTCCCTCTGCCTGCTCCACCTAGGCGGCTCGGTGGCTGTCGTCCTCCAGAGGCCATTGGACAGTCAGGTTTGGGCCCTCAGTGATGAGACACACGGGGCCTCACGGGATGGGGATGGAGCTGGCCCTTTCCTCCTCGTCCCAACAAGACCCTGAGTCATCGCCCACAAACTGCCTTTCTGGCTCCTAATCAAGCTGCTTAACAGCCATGATCCAAGAGACTCAGGAACAAATCTCGGAACCCAGCAGGTTTTGGCAGAAATACCTGCAGATTTAATTGTTAAAATTTCGGAATTTCAAAATCTCGTGGCCATTACTGCAGCCACACGACATCATATGTTATTCATAACCAGCAATAGAAAACAAATTGTCTACTGTTCCCTTTTCAGCAGATTTGAGTGTTGGGGTAAAATCCCAAATAATAATGATGGGTCTGGTGTCAAAATATTGAATGTAATCAAAGTAGAGAGAGAGTAATGTGGAAATCATCTGCCCTACAGATAGGGTAGGGGGGAGGGTGTGGGATGGGGATATACTGGGGTTTTTGGTGGTGGAGAATGGGCACTGGCGAAGGTACAGATGTTTCATTGTATGACCAAGACTTAAACCGGAAAGCTTTGTAACTGCTCTCATGGTGATTCAATAAATAAAATCATAAAAAATGGGAAAAAAGGTGGAGTTCATACCCAATTCAATCAGCTAATCAGTGGCTGAATAAATAGCAGTAGTCCTACATTAAAAAAAAGTTGAGCTTTCAAGTAATATATGAGAATTAATCAAAATGAGACAAAAATCAAATGTAAAAGCCATTAGCTATAAAATATTTATAGTTGAAAAAATTTGAAAGGGACAGAGAAGCAGTATAGCAGTGTGGAGTGCTTGTATTGCATGCAACCAACCTGGCTTCAATCCCTGGTACCCAATATGGACCCCCAAGCCCCTCCAGGAATGATTCTGAGTGCAGAGCCAGGAATAAGCCCTGAGCACTGTCAGATGTACCCCCCCCCAAAAAAAGTGGGCAAAGAACATAAGTAATTTTTGTCCAAAATTGATACACAAATGACAGCAAAGTACAGAAGAAAATGCTCAATATCATTTTCCATTAGGGAAAAATGCATATCAGAACAACTAATTCTCTTCCAGAAGGATGCCTATAATTAGAGAGACACAATAGCTGGTGATTAAGATATGAAGAAATTGGAGCATTAATATATTTTTGTAGAGAATGTAAAATTATGCAGTTACTTGGGAAAACAGACTGACATTCCTCAGATGGTTATATTTAGAATTATCATGTGACCCATCAGTTTCACTCCCAGATCTATATCCAAGACAACTGAAAAATAAGTCCAGGGGCTGGAGAGGTAATACAGTGAATCAGATGCTTGCCTTGCACAATTCTGGCCTGGATTCAATTCCTGGCATTTTATGTGGTCCCCTGAGTGCAGAGCCAGGAGTAACCTCTGAGCATCACCAAGTGTGACCCAAAAACAAATTTTAAAAAAAAGGAAAGGAAAATATGTCCAGACAAAAATTTACAAATGAATGTTCATTCACAATAGACAAAAAAAAAAATAAGCAAACATAGGGGCCTAGAGGTATAGTACAGCAGGTACTGCATTTGCCTTGCATGCAGCTGACCTGGGTTGATTCCCCTCACTCCTCATCCCATATGGTCTCCAAAGCACCACTAGGAGTAATTCCTGAGGGCAAAGCCAGGAATCAGCTCTGACCACTGCTGGGTGTGGCCCCAAAACAAAACAAAACAAAAGGAAACCTAAATGTCAACTGATGAAAAACAAAATGTACACTCATTCAATGGAATATTTGACGATGGAATAAAGCTCCTATGAGCTACAATATGAATGAAACTTGAGAACATTATGCTTAAGAGAGAAGCCAGTCACATCAGACCACATACCATGATTCCATTTGTATGAAATTAACAGGCAAATCCAGAGAGGCAGATTAGCAATTGACTAGGGCTGAAGGGAAAGAGTTGGGGATGATGGTGAAAAGGAGTAACAGCTTTCAGGGACATGAAATTATTCTAAAATAGTAATGGTTTCATGACCCCATGCATACACTTAAAACACAGAACTTGCCAGAGCAATAAGACAGTGGGTAGGGTCTTTTCCTTGCATGCAGACTACTGGGGTTCGATTCCCAGCATTCCATATGGTCCCCTACGCACCATCAAGAGTAATTCCTGAGTGCAGAGCCAGGAGTAACCCCTGAGCATCGCTGGGTGTGGTCCCAAAACAAAAATAAATATATTAAAAAACTTAGAACTATAGTGTTGAGCAGATTACCATACAATTGTATGACATGTTAATTATATCTCAATAAAGTAGTGAAAATAACATTGAAAGTTATTCAAGGGGCTGGTGCTATAGTAAAGCAGGTTGTGCACTTGCTTTGCATGTGGCTAACCAAGGTTTGATCCTTGGCATCCTATCTGGTCCCCTGAGGCCCACCAGGAGTGATTTCTGTGAACAGAGTCAGACGCTTAACCCCTGAGCGTCACCAGGTGTGGCAAACAAACAAAAAGTTATTTAAAAGTTCTGCTAAGGAGAACAGAAACGAGGGTCTGTGTATGACAACCTGAGACCCTCAACATCAAGAATAACATCAATAACATCTGTTACTTCTGCTCCTGGTTTTACCTGATGAACCAGTACTGGGTTCTGACCTGTGTCCCCACCCCCCCACCACCGTGAGTGACACATGCACCCAGAGGTTGAGGTACACATGGTCACTAGCCAAGATGTCCATCTTGGTGGACCACAAAATGCTAGATATGAGTATAGAAAGAGGCATCTAGTTTACTCTGACCTTTGAACCTCTGAACTTTATTTTAGCCTTCTTGAGAATCCTGGACATTTGAAGGATAAACGAGCACTTGTGGGGGCATTCTAATCAATCTGTACTGTGCTCTGTGCTTTGCCTTTTCACCTATTAAAAAAAAATTCAGCAATATTATTAGCCATGTTTTCTTGTTTGTTTTGTTTTTTGCCGCTTAGGGTTTAATGCTGGCTTTGTAAACCAGCAATAAACTCTGAGGTTTGATCAGATCCTGGTACAGCATGGTCCCCCAAGCATCGCTCGGAGCAACCCCTGCTCAAAGCACAGGAGTAGCCCCCTAAGTATTACTGGGTAGAATCCAAAACTCCAAAACAAATTTTTTCTTTAAAAGTTGTAAGCTTGGGGCTGTAGGAATAGATAGTACAACAGGTAGGGCGTTTGCATTGCATGAGGCTGAACTGGGTTCAATCCCTGGCATCCCATATGGTCCCCCAAGCACTGCCAGGAGTAATTCCTGAGTGCAAAGCCAGGAGCAACCCCTGAGCATCACTGGGTGTGACCCAAAAAAGCAAAAAAAAAAAGTTGTAAACTTGAGAGCGAAGTGATGGAGTGATAATACAGCGGGTAAGGAGCTTACCTTGCAAGTGCTGACCCGGGTTCTATCCCTGGCATCCCATATGGTCTCCCCAAGTCTGAGTGCAGAGCCAGCAGTAACCACTGAGCATCATCGGATGCAACCCCCAAACCAAACAGAAAAAAAAGTTGGGGCTGGATTAATAGCACAGCGGGTAGGGCGTTTGCCTTGCACACGGCTGACCCAGTTTGATTCCCAGCATTCCTTAGGGTCCCCCAAGCACTGCCAGAAGTAATTCCTGAGTGCATGAGCCAATGGGTCACACCCCTGTGCAACATGGGTGTAATCCAAAAAAGCAAAAACAAACAAACAAACAAAATAACAACAAAAAATGTAAGCTTTACAGAGTGTGGATTTAACTGTCAAGCCTGAGCTGTTCCAGAGCCCTCTCCCCGACTTCATTGATGAATTAGAATTTAGGCCAGTCTTATCTTTTTTCTAAGAACTTATGTCAGTCTTATCTTTTTTCCTGTGTGTGTGTTGGTTTTTTATCATTGGTCCTCCCAAGCACTGTGGAGAGCATAGTGAACCTCTCAGTCAACAGTGTCTCAAGGACATGGTGATTCTTGGGCCCTGTCCCTCTTGGGCCCTGAGGTGCCGGGGATTATCTGGGTCACCCTGGCAGGGCCTGGAGGTCTCAGGGCCACACCCGCTATGCTCAGAGCTTTCAGGGCTGCAGCCATGCTCAGGAAATCTGTGGTACCAGGGACCAAAGGGGTTGGCCACATGTACCTTACTCCTGTACTGTCTCTCCAGTCTCAGTCAAAATTTTTTTTTTTTTTTTTTTTTGCTTTTTGTGTCATACCCAACAATACACAGGAGTTACTCTTGGCTCTGCACTCAGGAATTACTCCTGGCGGTGCGCCGGGGACCATATGAGAAGCTGGGGATCAAACACAGATCGCTGCATACAAGGCAAACGCCCTACCCGCTGTTCTCTAGCTCTAGCCCCTCTCAGTCAAATCTTACTGTTACTCCTGTGCTCTGGTTGTGTAACCACCAAATGCATCACCTCCACTATGTTAAAAAATGTATTGCATATATGTTTGTAGTTTCGGCCAGAACGATAGCACAGCGGTAGGGCATTTGCCTTGCAAGCCGCCTGCCCAGCCGAGCCAGGTTCGATTCCTCCGCCCCTCTCGAAGAGCTCGGCAAGCTACCGAGAGTATTTCTCCCGCACGGCAAAGCCTGGCAATCTACCCATGACGTATTCGATATGCCAAACACAGTAACAAGAAGTCTCACAAAGGAGACGTTACTGGGCCCGCTCGAGCAAATCGATGAACAATGGGAGGACAGTGCTACAGTGCAGTTTGTAGTTTCATGTTCAATTTAAAAATCACTGGTGGGGCCCACCAGCCACGTCTGCCCCCATGTCAACTCACTCACAGGCCCTGCTTCAGCAAATCCCGACTAAATCTCCAAGGAGATGCAGGCCAAAGAGCTAAACCTTATGGAACTGATGTCCCCCACCTCCCCAGGCCCCCCACGCCTCCCAACACCCCACTGAAAACTCCAGAGGGCCAAGGAAGGCAGGCAGGCGAACACCCATCCCACCACTGCAGCTAAGCCAGGGGCTCAACTTCACCCCCTCACAAATAAACATTCTCTGAAGAGATGCCAATCACTAAATAATTTCAGGTACCTGGGGCTGAACCTAGAATGCTGGTGTTTTCTTGGGAGTCCAGGCCGGTAGCCTCTTCTCCATCCCCCACACTTCCAGGAGACCCAGGAGCCACGCTCACCTCCCACGGTGGCCGCTTTGTTGACTCTGGCCCAGACCACAGATCTGGAAATGACTGTACCACGGGGCCATACGTGGGACACCTCTTGGAGCAACAAAAAGCTTAACAAATTCTTAGAAAAGGACTGACCAACCCTGCAATTAGATATAACGGTGTTCACACAAATTTATTTTCTAGATTGACTGCAACTTTGTTATGTAATTCAATTTAATTTATTTATTGCTTTTTGGGTCACACCCGGCGATGTTTAGGGGTTACTCCTGGCTCTGCACTCAGGAATTCCTCCTGGCGGTGCTCGGGGGACCATATGGGATGCTGGAAATTGAACCTGGGTCAGCTGCATGCAAGGAAAATGCCCTACCCACTGTGGTATGGCTCCAGCCCCATAATCCCATTTTAATCCTAGAATTGTATCAACAGTTGATGCTTTTTTTCTACATTGAATGGGAAAAAAAAAGATAAAAATCCCAGGTGAGGGGACAGAAAGATTAGTACAATGGGTATGTACCTATCTGATCCACCATACATCGTTCTCTGAACCCTGAGCTTGGAGAGTGATCCCTAAGCATGGAGCCAGAAGTAAATCTAAGTACAGCTGAGTATATACAACACTCTCCCCCCCACCCCCCTGACAAATTCTTTGGGACTACAATGTATTCTTTGTATGTGGAAGCCCCAGGTTCAATCCCTTATACCAGATGACCTTCTGAAACCCCCAAGTGTAGCCTTCGTAGAAAAGAACCATTTAGATGGCGATGAATTTAAGGATTAAACTGGGCGGCAACCAGTATCTTGGTGTGTGGGAGGTGCCGGGGGTGCCAGGTTTGGAACCCCAGGTCTTGTACAAATTTAGGCATGTGCTCCAGCCCTTTATCCCCCCAAGCTCCTCCCCCCTCCCGCACTCATACACACATTATATTTCTGTTATTACATTACATAGGATTGATGCTAATTTGTGGCTACAATTTACCTGTAAAAGGATGATCAGTAAAATGGGCTGAACAAAGGTAGTTATTCATTTTGGAGCACATCAGCAACTTGAAATCTTTTAATTTTTTTTTTTTTTTAATTTTTAGGGCCTTTCCAACTGTGCTCAGGGATCAAACCTGGGTCAGCCATGTGCAAGGAAAATGCCCTATTGTTCTACTATCACTGGTCTTAATACACATTTGATCACCAAGAATTCCCAAGGAGTGCACTAGAATTTCCAGGACTTGTCCACAGAATCCTTTGTCATAAGACATTCTGAAACACTTTGTGAAACAAAACTCCCAAAGACTCCTCTGGGTTTTTCTTTTTTTTGGGGGGGGGGGGGCACATCCAGTAGTTCTCCGGGCTTACTCCTGACTGCACTCTAGGATTACTCCTGGCAGTGCTCAGACGCCCTATGGGGTGCTGGGGATCTAAACTGGGTCAGCAAGTGTCTTATTTACCTCTTGTACTCTCTCACTCACCCAATTCTTCCAATTATTTTTGGTTTTGGACCATACTCACCTGGCGGTGCTCAAGGCTTACTCCTGGCTCTGCACTTGGGCATCACTTCTGGCAGGGCTCGGAGGACCATATTGGGATGCTGGTATTGAACCCAGTTGGTCGTACGCAAAGCACACACCCAACCCACTGCAATAACTCCCCGGCCCAGTCTTCTGGTCTTTATCAGTTTCAGCGTCTCTACTGAACCTCTAATGCCCAAACTCCCAGTCCCACAACCCCAACCAGAACACAGAAGACAACTCAGTACAGAAGCAAATACTTTAATTAGTCTGCTCAAAGGAACCAGGTTTCTCAACAGCTGCTCCCAGCATCCCGTCCTCAGCTCTCACACTGGGCAAGGGGGGGCTACTGCCGAGGGAGGGGGGCGGACACCTAGAGTCTAGAATGCACTGGGGGCGAGAGGAGGTTCGGGAAGACCCTGTGGGGGCCGAGCTCTGGGAGTGTGGTGGAAGGACTTCAGGCTGGTCCCTCTTCAGACATTTCCAGCAGAGCTACGAGTGGCTCGAGGGGTGTGGGGGTCTCCACGGGCACAGGGTGGGTGCGTTCATGCTTGCGCAGGTCGCTGGCACTAAAGAAAGCCTTGGGGCAGTGGGGGCAGGGGTAGGGGCGCACGGTGCTGTGCGTGCGGCTGTGCTTGCGCAGCCCTGCGCGGTCGGAGAAGCTCTTGCCGCACTCGGTGCAGGGGAAGGGCCGCAGCTCCGGGTGGGAGCGCTCGTGCCGCCGCCGCAGCGTCTGCGTGGCGAACGTCTCCTTGCACTCGCGGCACGCGAACTGGGGGGGCTTCTCGTCGACCTCCTCCCCGACCACCTCGCTGGTCTCCCCCAGGGGACCCGGGGCCTCTTCCACCTCAGCCTCCGGGCACTCCACTTGCTCCAGCGTCATGCCCACCACTTGCCACTGGGTGGTCATTAGACCTGATTCAGTGGACAGTCCGAGCAGCCCTGCCTGCGGGTCCCCGAGCCCATCGGCCGAGGCCGGGGCCACCGAACCCTCACCGGCCACGCTGACCGGCAGCGCCAGCCCCACCACCAGCTCCTGCTGGGGGGGCGCCACGGCGGCCTCGCTGGTGCGGTGGGTCCGCTCGTGCTTGCGCAGGCTGGACGACACCACGAAGGACTTCCCGCAGGCGCTGCAGTGGAACGGGCGCTCGCCCGAGTGCACGCGGCTGTGCTTGGTGAGGCTGGCGCGCTCGGCAAAGGCCCGCCCGCACTCCTCGCAGCGGAAGGGCCGCTGGCCGGAGTGCACCAGCGCGTGCCGCTTGAGGTCCCAGGACGCCACGAAGGTTTTGTCGCACTCGGGGCACTTGAAGGGCCGGTCCCCCGTGTGGACCCGCCGGTGCATGGCCAGGTCGGCCGGCTGCCGGAAGTCCTTGCCGCACTTCTCACAGCGGTACGGCTTCACGCCCTCGTGAGCTCGCTGGTGGCGCCGGAAGCTCGACGGGTCGGAGAACATGCGGCCGCAGCGCGGGCACAGGAAGGGCTTCTCGCCCGAGTGCGTGCGCTCGTGGCTCTGGAAGGAGCTGAGCTGCGTGAAGCCCTTGCCGCAGGACGGGCAGCGGTAGGGCTTGTGCGCCGCGTGGATGCGCTGGTGGCAGGTGAGCGAGGAGGAGCGGGAGAAGCTCTTCCCGCACTCGGAGCAGAGGAAGGGCCGCTCGCCTGTATGGGACCTGTGGGAGGGTGGAGAAGTCGGCATGAAGAGAACAGGCCCCTGACCTGAACACCCACCCACCTCCACCCATGCCTGTTTGGGGAGCTATTTAGGACCCCCTAGTCTCCCCGGGAGCCCTGAGAGCCATAGGGCAGTCCCAAGTGAGAAAGCTTCAGGCTTCATTTTTGACACCACGCACCAAGCCCACTCACACCTGGGCTGGGGCTCTCCTTGCCTCCTCCAGTCCTGTTCCCTTTCTGCTATCTTGAGATGGAAACCAACCCCCACGACCCCCATCAATTTCCCAGCCCAGCACTGAGCCACCACGACCAAGAACCCCAGCATCTCCGCTATGGCTCCGCCCACTCGCCGGTCCTTTGACACCCAGGCCCAAGTCCCATTGGCCACTCAAGGGGGCCTCTTGCTCCGCCGGCACCCCATTGGCCCGCTCCTCCCCGGGGCCCGCCCTCACCGCTCGTGGTTGCGTAGATCCTTGAGCTCTGCGTAAGCCTTGCCGCAGCGCTCGCAGCCGTAAGGCCGCAGGCCGGCGTGCGTGCGCCGGTGCTTGCGGAACACCGACGGGTCTGCGAAGCTCTTGCCACAGTCGCCACAAGTGTAGGGCCGCTCACCCGTGTGGCCGCGCTGGTGGATCTTGAGCTTGGAGAGCGCGCCATAGGCTTTGGGGCAGTGGGAGCAGCGGAAGGGAAGCTCGCCGGCGTGAGAGGCCAAATGCACGCGCAGGCACACTGGCTGCATGAAGCGGCGGCCGCACTCGGGGCACGGGAAGGGCTTCTCGCCCGTGTGGCTGCGCCCGTGACTGCGCAACTCGGGAGCAGTTTTGTAGGCCTTGGGGCACAGGGGGCACGCATAGGGCCGGGGCTTGGCCGCAGCATCTGACGCCTTGTCCCCACTGGCCTCCTCCGCTTTGGACTCTGTCTCTGGCTTCAGCGACTCTTCGGTTGCCTGCTCTGCAGAATCTGCGGGCGCATGGGTGGCAGCATGTCGTGCTGCCCTGGGCGCATTTGGAAAGGTCTTGGTGCAGGAGAGGCACTTGTATCTTCGGCCGGAACGCTTGTAGCCGGGAGCTGGGGCTCTGGCCTCTGCGGACTCCACCTCCATGGTGCCACCGGGCAGGACTTCTCTGCGAGAGACACAAAATTACAGTTGCAATTAGAGGGAAACCAGGTCTCTTCTCCCCAAAGCCTCCAGGATGCGGGTGTGGGGTGGGGGTGTGGGATTCCTCTCATCTGCTTTTCCCATCCAGATGCCAGTTCCTTCCTAGGCATTGGGACTCTTAACACTATGGGTCAGGTTTGAAGGGTCCTCTCTGGCCTGTTCCTTGATGAAAGGAGCTGGACCACGCAACCTCAGAAAGGCTAAGACAGGGAGCCAGGGTCATGACTGTGTCCACCTGTGCCTCCCCTCACCCCTACTGGCCTCTGGCTTTTCTAAAACCTGTGAGGAGTGATAGCACAGAGGATAGGGCATTTGCCTTGCACGAGGCCAACCTGGTTGGCCCAGGTTCGATTCCTCCACCCCTTTCGAAGAGCCTGGCAAGCTTGGCAAGCTCCCCGTGATGTATTCGATATGCCAAACACAGTAACAAGTCTCACAATGGAGACGTTACTGGGCCTGCTGAGCAAATCGATGAGCAACAGGAGGACAGTGCTACAGTGGTACTGCTGATGGCCCAGGCTCCATATCTCATCATATTCCTCCTTCAGACCCAGATGTGGGGCCAGAAGAGGGGGCACCACTAAGCTCACTAGCGGCTGGCAATTCTCTCTCGAAGCGCATGTATTTGCCTCTGCTGCCTGGTGAGCTCAAGTGTTCACAAAGAAGCCTGGCCTAGTGCAGCTGTAAGGGACCCCACCCAAGAGAGGAATCCGGGTCCACCCTCTGGAACTGCTGGGCTCCTGGCTGGGGTAATTCTGGTAATGAGGAGCTCAATTAGCCTTTAGCAGCTTCTGCCATTGCCAGCACTCACTCCGGATGGGGGGTGGAGGGTGGCTCAGGGTAGTGCTGACCTTGCCTTGTATATGGGAGGCCCTGGATTCAATTCTTCACACTACAGAGAGAAAGAGAGAGAGATGCAGCTTCTTTTAGACTGCTGTTGTATCTGCTCTGAGCTGGCTTCTTGGGACACCTGCTCTAGCTCAGGCTCTTTCTCTGTCCATTCAGAACCCAAATATACCCTCTCCCCAGCTGTTCCTGGAGATCATGGTTGGGAGGAAATAGGATTAATGGCTGTAGTTAGTTTAACACCAGCTCATCCTCCCTGGGGATGAAGGGAAGAGGATTATGGCAGATCCACTTAAGGAGAGCTCAGTAGCTGCTGCTGGGGCTGGGGGTGGGTGGGGGTGGGGGAAGATAGTGCCACAGGGGGAGCCAGGTGTGCAGAGAAACTAGGCAGGGAGGCCTGTGTTCCTAGCCTGTTCCCTTATCTACTTATCTCAGGGATTGGTGGCATCTATGCTATGACCAGAGATACTTGAAGCCCTAGGGGTGAGGAGCAAGGGTGACCACTGTAGTCAGCACGCTTTTCTTGTGGTCCTGCCTTTGTACCCCAGTATACACGGTCTCACAGGCAGCCAGAATCGTCTCCCTCACGTTCCCGTGCTCAGGAGCCTTCCATGACATCCACTGCACCAGACAAGTCCTTCCTGGTTGTCAGTTTGTTGGGGCTGGACTGAGTTGTCCAGGTGAGCCCTTGTAGACTGCACCGCACAACGGGCAGGAACATAGGGACCCATGAAAATGGACAAGATTTCTCGTGCGTCCTGACTAGTTTGGATGAGGCTGAACATTTTTCCCCTTCAAACTGCCTTCAATAATTTAATTCAAAATTAAATAATTAAAATAATTCAAAATTACAATAATTTCAGTATATTGTAAGGGGCAGTTTTTCTTTCTCACAAGAAGCCTGGATGGTCTTTGACATGCAGATCTCAGGTGCTAGCCAAGCCTGATCTTTGGGATGTAGATTCCAGGCTCCCGTCAGACTAGTCTTTTTTTTTTTTTTTTTTTTTTTTTTTGCTTTTTGGGTCACACCTGGCAATGCACAGGGGTTACTCCCAGCTCTGCACTCAGGAATCACCCCGGCGGTGCTTAGGGGACCATATGGGATGCTGGGAATTGAACACAGGTGGGCCGCGTGCAAGGCAAGTGCCCTACCCACTGTGCTATCACTCCAGCCCCAAGCCAGACTAGTCTTTGGGATGAAAATCCAAATACTTATAGCCCAAGAAAGGTTTCGATTTAGGTTTTGGTTTTGTATCTTTCTGGAGGCCAAAATTACTGGCCTACTGACTCAAGGAAACAATGTTTTCCTGTCTCAGTGTTCTTTCTGTAACTCCTTTTGATGACATCAATGTATTGCACCCTTTAGAGGTACCATGATCAATGAAAGGAGATTTCGAGACTTTCTACCTTTGTCACAGGTCTGAGAGAACCTGGGCCCTCCATGACATAAATTTCTTTCACGTTCCTTGTCTCAGTGCCTCCGACTGAACAAACATTTATGCAACATCTGGCGCCCAAGCATGTATGCCCAAAGGTAAGGACCGGTATGGAAGAAACCAAGAGGGAAAACGTTGCACCGAGCTTGCATAGCCTCTCGGCAGATCGGAGAAAAAAGGGACGATGGGCAATTCCGTAATGTCGCCCAGGGAAGTTGATTTTGATATCTTGAACTGACAACAGCAGCTGGTCTACCTTTGAAAGGAACAAGTAGTGCGAGCCCTCCTTGAGAGGGTACATAAGTATTGTTATTAGTTTGAGCCCAGAAATAGAGATCAGTTCGATTTAGAACTGTGGAAAAGGGTAGGAAAAGAATTGTTTCATGCCCATCAGAAAGGGGATTTGATCCCTGCAGAGGATACGCTGCATACGCTGCAATCACCACGGCCCTAATTCCTTTCCTTTCCAGTCTGAAGAGTCAGAAGAGGCTCCTCCGTATGAGCCTGGTCCTTTGTTCCCAGAGAGGATGGTGAGTATGAATGCAAAATGCATGGCCCGCTGGAGAGGTCACTGGTCGGGGAGTGTGGGAGACATCTCCACTGACCCCAGGACACCCCAGGAACAGGACACTGTTTGGTAGGACATCCTGGCCTGGGAGGAGTTAGCTGAACTCCAAGTTTTTAACTGGCCTAGTTAAAAACAAGAACTTTTGTGAAACAGTGCAGAGATAAAATTAGTTCTGGTGTTTTCTTATGCTGCTATTTATTTATTTTTCTTTTTGGGTCACACCAGGCGATGCACAGGGGTTACTCCTGGCTCTGCACTCAGGAATTGCTCCTGGCGGTGCTCAGGGGACCATATGGGACGCTGGGAATCGAACCTGGGTTGGCCGGGTGGAAGGCAAACACCCTACCTGCTGTGCTATCACTCCAGTCCCTTATGCTGCTATTTAAAAGTTTAGTGAATGCCAATGGCTTTATTGTGTGTGTGTGTGTATCTGAAAGCATGTTTGTAGTGTCAAATTGTTAAAGTGTCCAGGTCTGGTGTGAAGATTTTATGATTTAAGGTAATTAAGAACTTTTTGAAGTCAAAGTAAAAGATGGCCAACATTTCACCACCTTAGGTTTTCAGTAACTGTAATAATTTGTTTTGCCGGTTTTATAGTAACAAAAGCGCTTTTTTCACCCAATCTTAAGCAGGAGATAGGCTAGTTAGATTGAGAAACAGGGAACAATCTCATCGGCAACAGGAAATTTTACCCTGGGGACTGCCCTCCCTCTCTTAGTCTCTCAGTTTATTCCCTACCATTTTTGTAGTGTCAGATTGATCAATCAAATATATATCTATGAACTTGTACATGTGATGTTTGTTGTTCTGTCTGTCTGTTTGTCTTAAGTACTCAAATGTTAGAGTAAGGCTAAAATCAGAAGTAGAATCCTTAATTAAACCTGGGCAAGAAGTCCCATCACAGAGGTCAGTGATATGCAATCCAGCAATTTAAAAAGTTTAGGCGTTTTTGGAACTTGTTAGATAGTGGTTTAAACAAAGATTACTAATCAGAATGTGGTGCCTACAGAGAAATTGAAATTCTCAATCTAAAATCTCTTTTTGGAGAAACATTAATGGTTATTAACAGTTGAAATTCTTTTTAACTTAAGAATCTGTTCTATCTAGGAAGAGCTGCGTAACTAGAGCCTGGAACTAAAGTGAAATAAGAGTTCAGGGAATCTAAGGCTTTATTTTACAAGTCTCAGACAATTTTATTTTATTTTACTTTTTTTTTCTTTTTGGGTCACACCCGGCAATGCACAGGGGTTACTCTTGGCTCTGCACTCAGGAGTTACTCCTGGCGGTGCTCAGGGGACCATATGGGATGCTGGGAATCGAACCTGGATTGGCCGTGTACAAGGCAAACGCCCTACCCGCTGTGCTATCTCTCCAGCCCCCAAGCCTCAGCCAATTTTAATGAAGAATTTAGGCTGTTTTACAAACAAAAGCCATCAAAATAAACCAAGAAAGTTTTCTTGCTTCCATAAACATTGGCAGTTCAAGTGTTTTCAGCATGTTTGTATTGTGGAATTGTTAAAGTATTTGGCGTAGGAAGTTCATAATTTGAAAGAACTAAGGTATAAGAACTATTGAAATTAAGCCAAAAGAGGTTTTCCTCATGCTTCGTAAAAATTGGTTCCAAGTTCTTCTTATGCTGCTATGTAAAAATAAATATGTATTTATTTGTTTGCATCTGCACTGCTTTGATTGTTAAAATGAGAGTTGAAATAATTGTGGGATCTAAAAACAGGTTCAAAAAGTACTGGTTTGGTTGAAAACATGAGTTTCTAGAGTTATAAAATTGGTTGCAAAACTTATCATACCAGTGTCTTATTTGATCTGAGGTTTTGGTAACTAAAATTTCTGGAGCTAATTAGCAATATTCTTATGATGGGTTGATCTCAGATATCAGACTGACAGCCTAAAGTGGCTGAAAACTGCCCTTTTTGGGCTTTGGTGATCTTGCAGGGGAAGAGAGGAAGTTGCCTCCTCCCATCTTTTTTTCCTTTTCTCCCTCCGCCCTTTCTCAGCCTTCTGATTTCAGTTTTTAAGTTAGGAAGTTAATATCTAAAGTGTTAAAAGTTTTGAATGGCTTTCAAATTGAGTATGTCCAGAAAACAAAATATGTATTTGTGATAAAAAGAAATTTAAGGTTTAAAGTATTCTGGCAGAAGATTTTTATTTTAAGAATTATCAAAAGAAATAAGAGATAAAGCAAGAAATTGGAAGGAATATTTAGCTTTCATACTAAGATAGATATCAACAATCTAAAACTTTGCTCCCTTTTTTCATCTTATGTGATTTTCAAGAATTATTTAAAATACAGGCTTGAACTACATATATGACCATTTGAGTTGCATACTGGAGAGAAAATTAAAAACTTAGGTTAAAGTTGTTTAATAAAATGCAAGGTGCAGTCCACTGGAAGTGATGAGGTGGGCAAAGATTGAAAGAACGTGTAGGTGGATGAAATATGTGAATCTTGTGAGCATTTTAACCCTCTTTTATTCGTGTTCTACAGTTTGGAATTCTATATCATAAGATCTTTATGAGCATTGCAAACCTTTTGAAAATATACAGGACTAGGGTTGGAGCAGTAGCACACACAGGGGGTAGGACGTTTGCCTTGCACGCAGCCGAACTGGGTTCGATTCCCAGCATCCCATATGTTCCCCTGAGCACTGCCAAGGGTAATTCCTGAGTGCAGAGAGAGCTAGGAGTAACCCCTGTGCATCGCCGGATGTGACCCCAAAGAGCAAAAAATAAATAAATAAATAAAGGACGTGAAAATATATAGGACTAATGTAATGCTTTTGAAGGAGTACTACAGGGTATAGCTTGGTCATGGAAAATGAGAATGACTAACAATCTTCTTAAGAACTCTCTAGATTATATCTGTAGAGTTATTTTAGTATCTGGACTCCCATTGCAGTGCTCCTAGATAATTGGAAACCAACGTTTAGTTAGACATGATGTTGTTAAACTATATTCTGTCTCTGCAGAACTTAATGCTTCTGTTGATTTAACTAGGACCCATTGTAAACGGGTATTGATCGCATTTCCCAAAAAATTCGCTGCTCAAAAAACAGCTCTCCCAATAGTCTGGAAACAGATTCATCCAGTTTGGGTTGAGCAGTGGCCCTTGACAAAAGAAAAACTTGGCTTTGTTTTGAATTGGTTACAGAGCAGCCCGGGATGGGAGAAGCATGCTGAAAGTAGACTATAGACCAAACATGATTGCCACTCAATGCCTCTTTTGCAAACCACAACACCCAGGAGGAGAGAGAGAGAGAGAACAAAAGGGAATGCCCTGCCACAGAGGCAGGGTGGGATGGGGGGTGGGGGGTGGGAGGGATACTGGGATCTGTGGTGGTGGGAAATGGGCACTGGTGGAGGGATGGGTATTTGATCATTGTATAATTAAAACCCAAGCACAAAAATTTGTAAGTCTACAACTATACCTCATGGTGTCTCACTCACAAAAATGAAAGAAAGAAAGAAAGAAAGAAAGAAACTTTAGTACATCTGAAAAAAAATTGTTCCATATATTGGAAGGTGATTCTTCTCTTTAGAGCACGAGGCAACTAAGCCTTGCAGCTGAATGTGAATTGGAATTAATTGAGGAAACTGTAAATAAGGCTCAGATAGATAGAATTGATTCTTTAGAAAATTTAAATCTGATAGTGTTGCGTACTTCACATTCTCCCACTGGAATTCTGGTACAAGGAACTAATATTGTGGAACGGAGATTTTTACGTAATAAGCCTATTAAAAATTGGCCGCTTATGTGTATAAAGTATCTCAAATAATTTTAAAGGGAAGAAAAATAACTAGACAATTAATAGGGAGTGATCCTGATGAAATTATTGTGTCATTGACCAATGAACAAATCCAAGCACTATGGGAACTTGATGAGGATTGGCAAATTGCTTGTACTGATTATCTGGGCAAAATTCATAACAGCTTTCCAAAGCAAAAGATGTGTCAATTTCTTAAATTTACTGTTTATGCTGATACGCAAAATGATAAAGTTTTACAAACTCCATGTAATTTGATTCAAAAGAATGAATTGTTTGCAATTATTTCTCTTACAAGATCACTGGATCAGTCAATCCACACTTACTCTCATTGTAGATGGGCTTCTGCCTTACCTACAGAAAAAGAGGATCTGTGATTACTCATTTGTTAGAAGCCTTTGCTGTTATGGGCATTCCTAAAACTATGAAAACTGATAATGCCCCTGCATATATTTCAGCAAAATTGCGTGCTTTTTTTCTCTGCTTATGGTATCAATCATATTACTAGGAATTCCCTATAACAGTACTGGACAAGTTATTATTGAAAGAGCAAATAGCTCACTTAAAGAAAATGTTGCTTAAACAAAAAGGGGGAATATATACGGATTCTCCCAAACAGCAGTTATCCAGAGCATTGTTTACTTTAAATTTGTTGAATTGCTCTAATAACGTAACACCTGCAGAAAAACATTGGGAAGTTCAAAATAGCTCAGAAGAAACAAGTTCTAATGCAAACAGAAATAACTCAGATAAAACTATTCAGAAATGTAAAGTCCTTTATAGGGACCCAGTCTCTGGAAATTGGATACTAGGCCAGGCAGAAAGATCGGGGTGAGATTTTGCTTTTATTTCCACAGACAAAGAACGTTTCTGGTGTCCCACCAAAAGGCTCAAACTTCTCCATGAATCTGATCAAGAAGAAATAGATGAAACAGCTATGAAAAATTTCAGATGAAAAAACTTTTGGATTAATGATCTGAATCTGGACCAGAATGCACTCCCTCAGGCTAGATGCCTTCCAATAACACTGCAAGAGGTGACTCCAAGATAGGCAGAAGTTAGGGCCCTGATGAACCGAGCTGAGAAGGTAACAACACTAACACAAAGAAAACTCCTGAAGCTTTCTTTTTAGTTATCGTATCTCTAATGAAACAATAAGTAAGTGCCTCTACTCAAAATCTAACCTATTGGGCTTATCTTGCTAATTTACCTTTAGTAAGGAGTGCGTCCTAATAGGACGAAGTGATACTTATTTAAAATAAGGAAATCTGGGGCTGGAGCGATAGCACAGTGGGTAGGGCGTTTGCCTTGCACGCGGCCAATCCGGGTTTGATTCCCAGCATCCCATATGGTCCCCTGAGCACCGCCAGGAGTGATTCCTGAGTGCATGAGGCAGGAGTAACCCCTGTACATTGCCGGGTGTGACCCAAAACAAAACAAAAACAAAATAAAATAAGGAAATCTTTTGGTTGCAAATATATCTATCTGAAAAGTATAGAAAATTTATATTATTAGATTTCTTGGAAAAATTGTAGAGAATTAGTTGTGAACTTTTATGTTAATGATTCTGTTGAAATTATAGATTGGAATCCTAAAAGTTATGTTATTTAAACAGACAAGAGGAATAGAAATAAGCCTGCTATGGCAATTTAAAGATGATCAGTATATGGATGCAGTATAGCACAGCGGGTAGGGCATTTGCCTTGCACGCAGCCAACATGGCCGACCCAAGTTCGATTCCTCCGCCCCTCTCGGAGAGCCCGGCAAGCTACCGAGAGTATTCGATATGCCAGACACAGTAACAACAAAGTCTCCAATGGAGATGTTACTGGGCCCGCTCGAGCAAATCGATGATCAACGGGAGGGTCTTTACCTTTACCTTTACCTATCGTATGACTCCACTTATTGGAATGAGGGGTTTTCCTTTCCTACATCATTTTAATTTGGATTTTTAAAGCGAATTTACTTATGGAAAATTGGCCTTGCTCTGTATGAATCAGCCTTTTGGCAGGGAGGCCAAATTAAGAATGATACTATTGATCTGATGTATTTCAACAGAAATTTAATCCTTTCTTTTTAGCTTGTGTGCCTTTTCCTTATGTGATATGAAGGAATGATTTCCTGTAGACAGTGTTCCATGTATACTTGTATTTACCCATCTGTGAGACTCCTTGAAGAAGTTTTTATTTTTCCAGAGCCTGAGTAGATGTTTGAATGCTGGTGCCTTTTCATCGACCATGGAAGGAGAATTCAACGACTGGAGTGCGTTGTCAACTGATCATCTATCTCCTTCGATGGATCAAGAGATTCCTTGGCCTGCTCAATCGCTGCTATCATGGGGATCATTGCAGTGACAATAACAACTGCCATGGCAGACTTAGCTCTAAAGCAAAGAACGTAGACTGTGGAATTCCTCCAGAAATGGCGTGAGACCTTTGGGAAATTATGGACTACTCAAGGACAAATTGACTCCAAACTGCAGTGTGAATTGGCTGATGTGCCTAGAAATGTTACTTTGCTTGGTGAGTATTTAGCTAGTCTCCGCTGTCAGATGTCTTTAAAATGGGATTGGAATACTGCTTTACTCTGTATAACACTTATGCTATATAATGTGACTGAGTTCTCATGGAATAAGGTTAAAAAACATCTCAATGCATAAGGAAATAATAGCTAGAATACTGGATTTGTAAATTCATGGTACCATTTCACTCAGGAAGCACTTCCTGTATTCTCCTCTTTTGTTACTAGCCCCAATATCACAAAACTGTTTCACCCAAAGCTTGGTTTCTTCATTTTTCCTACTACATTCTGCGACTGGAAAGTAAGTTAAAGGGCTTGAGGGCCCAACATTCTCTAGAGCTGAAATTCCTCCCTGGAATTCCAGGGATCCTTCACTATCCCTGGCTGAGGCACTTTCCTAGCGAGCCCTGGGCAGTAGACTGAGCAGATTCTCCTGAACAAAAGCAATTGCTTACATTTAGAGAAACTGCTAAATGACAGGGTACTCTAAGCTCTTCACATTCTCCAACAGAATGAGAACTTCTATTATCATTCTTTTCACAGGCAAGATAGTGTGGTCCAGAGAAACAAAATATCATTGTGGTAAAGGTCCCTCTCCAGTTCAGGCTCTTGCTTGCCTCACTCATGCCAATTCTGGTTCAAATGAATCCCCAGAACACCCTGAGCACCACCGGCGGTCACTCCTGAGCACAGAGCCAGGAATAGCTCCTAAGCATTGCTGAGTGTGGCCTCCGAACCCAGGAATAAAGCTCACAGTTTCTTTTTTTTTTTTTCCTTTTTGGGTCACACCCGGTGATGCACAGGGGTTACTCCTGGCTCATGAGCTCAGAAATTACTCCTGGCAGTGCTCGGGGGACCATGTGGGATACTGGGAATAGAACCTGAGTTGGCCTCATGCAAGGCAAACGCCCTACCCACTGTGCTATTGCTCCAGTCCCATCACGGTTTATTAAATCAAACTGATTGGCTTTGAGTCTTACTTCCCTCACTTCCTAGCCATGGCCCTGTACAACTAATTTGTGCCTTCAAACTTAGTTTTCTCATCTGAAAAATGGAGATAAAAAGTCTTTACCTCACACGGCTGGGTGAGGGTTGAATGAGATAATTGTTCTTTCTCAGAGGCACTTTGCTGTTTCTCTCACCACTGCCTGAGAATAATGGTCCTCATTTGACAGAATAAGTTGAGGTTCCGTGGCCACAGTCAGCACGGGACTGGAATCTAGGGGTATAGCTGATCTGAAGATGCCTGGGTCAGCCACAGTGACCACGGCCTGAGCTACGGCCACACCCCGGTCTCCTCATTCCTGCAACTCTGCCTGAGAAACTCGCCTCAAGGTTTCCTCTCGGAGGCAGCGGTCATTGGTTCTCCACTCTGGGCTTCTGTCTTCCTGCCTCTGAACCAGAAACCACGTGGCTGGAAGGGTAACCCCCTCCCCTAAGGCACTTTGGTAGAAGTGAGCGATATTTCTAGCAGGTATCAGCTCTGTGGAAAGTGGAGGGTGAGATAAGCAGGTCCTGATCCCAAATTCTACCTTTCTCGCTCCTCACCTTCCTGTTCAGGGAAGTCTACCCACTCTGTGAGTCACATTCTCCCCAGTGGGGTCCATGTACTAGTGTCAGAAGCACTACTACCCAAGTAGAGTCGGGACTTACCTCGGACGGTGTTCAGGGAACCAAACAGGGTGAGAGCAGCCAAGCCAGGCTATCCCCTCACCCACTGTACTATCTCTCAGGCCGCCAACTATCTTTGGGGTTTGGTTTGTTTGCAAATTTGTTTTGTTTTTGTTTTTGGCTCCACCAGGCAATGCTCAGGGACTACTCCAGGCAGGGTTCGGGGGGCATATGGGATGCCAGGGATTGAACCCAAGTCAGCTGCATGCAAGACCGTCTTCATGACAGCCCCCTGATAACGCTAGCTAATAACTATTCCACCTTTAACTTCCCTAGGCTGATGATCTATTCTTTCCTTTGTCACCCAGCAGTACCTGGAGGTCAGAGAAGCAGGGATCAAGCCTACGGCCTCACAAATACAGGTCCTCACTTGAGTCACTTCAACAATCCTTGAAATACTTTTTAAAAACATATATTTATTTTGATTTTGGGGTCACACTCAGCTGTGCTCAGAGGTTAATCCTGGCTCTGCACTCAGGAATTACTCCTGGTGGGTGCTTGGGGGACCATATGGGATGCAGGGAATTGAGCCCAGGTCAGCGAAGCAAGTGCCCTATCTCTCCTGCCCCTTGAAATATTTTTGTGTACTACCCGAACTAAGCCAAAAAGTTTGTTGTCAGCCAGATAGATGAATGTAGGCTGAAAGACCACGTGAGGATAGAATACGATGAAAGCTCTGTCATCTTGCAGCCAGAAAGAGAGCCTCGCTAGGAACTAAACAGGTCAGCATTGCTGGAGCAATAGGACAGCGGGTAGTACGTTTGCCTTGCATGCGGCTGAACCGGGTTTGATTCCCAGCATTCTATATGGTCCTCCAAGCATTTCTAGGAGTAATTCCTGAGTACAGAGCCAGGAGTAACCCTTGAGCAAAAAAAAAAAAAAAAAAAAGGTCAGCATCTTGCTTTTGCCCTTCCCAACCTACAGAACACTGAGAAATACATTTGTTGCTTCAGCCACCCAGCCTGGGGTTTACTGTTGTTGGTATAAACAATATTATTTTCCTCATTTTCAGACAAGGATAGTGAAGCACACAGAAGGAAAACAACTGGTGGTGATCACAACTGGTGATGCTGCTCAAACTCTTGGTCCCTTGATTACTGCTTTGCGAACACAACTGGTTAACTCAATCTCTGGTATAAGCTGAAGAGCCACAAGCTTTTTTAAATTCTGTATTCTTTTTTTTTTTAATTCGCTTTTTGGGTCACACCCAGTTGATGCTCAGGGGTTACTCCTGGCTCTGCACTCAGGAATCACTCTTGGCGGTGCTTGGGGGACCATGTGGGATGCTGGGAATCGAACCTGGGTCGGCCGCGTGCAAGGCAAATGCCCTACCCGCTATGCTATTGCTCCAGCCCCTAAATTCTGTATTCATTACAACAAGAATGGTGCTTGATGCCCCCAAACAAATGAATCAACATTTGCCACAGTATTCTAGTCCAGGCCTAGACTTCTGTTTTCTCCACAGTAAGAGTTAATGAGAATGCTGGTAAATAACTCCTAACTAAATTTCTTTGCCTTTCAAGTCAGAAGGTTCAACTACTGCTCCCATCCCATACTGTGGGTTCAAAGTGAGGGACCAAAACTGTCTTTACTTCACCTCTATTTTAGAAGAGCGATGAAGTTTTAACAGGCTGTAATGTCAGAGGGTTAACCTAAGAGATGAGGTGGAAAAGGAGACATTTCCTACCCACTCCCCTGTCTTTGGAGCAACAGAACTCAGGGCTTCACAACTGTGAGGGTATTTGCTCTACTCACTCTTCTAATTTCTTTTCTTGCTTGTTTTTGGCCCACACCTGGCCATTGCTGAGGGCTTACTCCTGGCTTTGCTCTCAAGGATCACTCCTGGTGATTTGGGGAACCTTACAGGGTGCTGCGGATTGAACCTGGGCCAGCTGCATGGAAGGCAAGCACCCACCCACTGTACGATCTCTCCAGCCCTCCACTCTTAATTTCTAAACAAGTAGTCCCAATAGGCCAGGAGAGATCTGAGAGATGGTGTATTGGTAAATGAGAAGCATGCAGAGGTGAAAGTTCATCTCCAGGGGCTGAAGAGATAGTACAGGGGCCAGGATGCTTGCAATGTACATGGCCCACCTGGCTTTGATCCCCAGCATAGACTATGGTCCTTTAAGCACTACTGGGAGTGAGCACTGAGCCAGGAGTAAGCCTGAGTACAGCCCGTATAACCCCCCCCCCACACACACACACACACAATAAATAAAACCCTAATCATCTCTAAGAACTCCAATCTGGTCAGTTTATTAACTAACCCCAACCCACTTTTCCACCTTCAGCTCCAGGCGCAATCCTTTCTTGACCTCTCCCAATAAAAATTCTTGCATCCTTCCCCACTGCTCTCAATACCTAAAAAGGAGTAGAGGAACGGGCCCCAGGTACTCTGGGCCTCAGTTTTTTCATCACTACAACAGGGAGGACTCAGGCATACGAGAAAACTTGACAACGTTTGGGCCTAAGAGCTGCGCAAGAGAAAGAGGGGGCTCAAGGGCCGCGGAAACCGTTTGTGGCTGGCTCCCTGCAACCATTTCCAGACGTACAGTGCCGCAGGGCAGGGCAGGGCAGGGCAGGGCACTGGGATGACTCGATTCGGTATAAGCCCTGGAAAAAATGTGGCCTCAGAGAAGGTGGCAAGAAGGAGCGAACGAAAGATGACAGGCCGAACAAATGAATGGACCGAGGGCGGGACGCTGGACAAAGGCCTGCAAAATGGCGTTCTCTAGGACCGCGGGAGGGGCCGTCAGAACCTCAGTCCGGGAGGGGGTTCTGCCGGAGCCGCGGACCTCGCTAGGCGAGCCGCGCGCCTGGGACAAAAGCCCGCAACATGGCGGGCTCTAGGACCCCCGGGCCCGCACCGCGCCAGGCGGGCAACCCCGCCGCCAGAGCCCAAGCGTCGGCAGCAGCGGGCCCGCGGGGACAGCCGGCGGGTTCTAGGACCCGCTGGGCCCGGAGCCCGCCCGCGCTCTCCCGGGGCCGTACTCCGCCTGCCCCGCCCGCGCGGGGCCAACCCCATCCGCCCTCAGCCCTCACAGAGAAACTGAGGACGGTTCGGATTGCTTCCACGCTGGGTTTGCTCGGGGGTGCCCGCGGCTCCCTGCGGGCGTTTCCTACCTGAATGGACTGGGGCCGGCTCCGTGGAATCAGAGGCAGCTCCTCTAGCCGACAGAGCCCGTGACACTGGCAGGCGCTAGGACCCAGCAGGGGTGGGGGGGTGGGGTGTGACTGAGTGGGAGGGCGGGGGGCGGGGCCAGCGAACGGAAGTGGACGGAAGCTTTCCCGGCTACGAAAGAAGGCAAAGTTTCCCCGAGCACCCCCAGCTGAAGGAGGTGGAGCAACATCTTGCGAGGGGCCTCAGTGGGTACTAATAGCAGGGAACGTCGGACAGGTTTATGGTATACACCGGGCTAGCTTGGGGCCAGGTCACCCAGAACTCGAAGGTGGGAGGAAAGAAAGAATCGTGTCCAAACTTAAGAGTGTTTAGTTCCTCTAGTGTTACACAACATTTCCTTTTATGTGTGGAGTGAATGAATGAATCGACCATCTTGGGAAGCTTGTTCACGAAAAGCGTCGCCATAGTAGCGCGCCTAGGGCCGGAGAACCCCTTTTTCTCTTTTCTGCGCTCGGCCTTTTCCGCGCCGGAACGATTTTAGCTGCTCTTGCCGGAAGTGTGGCTAAGGTTAGTGGGTTACCGAGCAAGTACTTTGACCTACGGGGGCGGAGTCAGAGTCGCGTTCAGCGACTTCTCCCTAGCACCGGAAGTGCCTTGTAGAACGGCCGCTGGCGGAGGGACAGGAAATGTTCCAGTGGCGGCGGTTTCGCGGGGAAGCTTTTGCTGCCAGGACACTTCCTGTTTCCTAGTAACAATAGGAAGTGTTCGCGGACCTGGCGGTAGACTCCTAGTTAGAGTCAGCTGCGCCCTTTTCCCTTTCCCTCCTTCCTTCTCACTTTTAACCTTTTCCTCTTCCCTCCATTCCCACTTCTCAGAGTCTCGGCTGCGTGTGCGTGTGTGGGAGCGCGAGAACTCCCCTCAGTGGCGCGGCTGCAGTTAGGCTGAGGGTCCCAGTGCGCAGGCGCGCTCCCATTCGCGGTCCCCAACGGACTCACCCGCGGCGGGAAGAAGAGACCACCCGTTCGAGGTAGGGATCCTAAGAGGAAAATAAGAGCAGAGATGAGTGAAGCCAGAGGACCTCTTGGGCGGTTGATTGGAAGAGGGGGTTTTTTGAGCGAAGGGGATTCGTGAGGGGAGAGCGTTTTGGAGTCGGACGCGAGTGTCGAGTCGGAGACAGGAACTGTATGGAGTTCCACCGGAGTGAAGAATCAGAGTGAGAAAAGGCCAAGGTGATGTCGCCGGCCGGGGTGGGGGAGGGGCGGCAGAGGAGAGAGCAAGTGCTGTGGAAAGAATGCCCGAGCCCTTGAGGTTGCGCCTGTGGAAACCACGGCCGCCGCAGAGGCAATGCAGTGTTAGGATAAGCCTGTCGTGGGCCTCGGTGCTCTCTGCCCTGTGCACGGTATTCCTGGCTTAGCCTGCACTGCCTCCTCCATCAGTGCTGTGAACGGGGTAGGAGGAAAAAATGAGAAAGGTTAGGGAGCGTAGAATGATGGTGAAGGAGGCAGGGGGAAGAAAAAGATAAGGGGTGGACAACAACCAGAAATGAAGTGGAAGTTCCAAGATATTTGGGTTAAGGGCAGATAAGTGCAGGAAAGTGAGATGCTTTGGAAAGAAAAGTTAGTTTCCCTAAAAGGACCTGGGAAGGTGAAGAAGAAGCCTGACATTTTCCTGCTGGGCTCCAACCTCACCTCAGATTCTGCTGTCATTGGAGAAAGAGGCTCCCTTTTCAGTGCCTCTGGTCTAGTCTGTAACTGAGGGATGTAGAAGGGAGTGTTGGACTTTTCTTATTGCAGAACTAGAATTCCTTTTTAAGAAATTACGGCGGATAAGTTGACCTGTGATTTCAGAATTTTAGAAAACAGAGTTAGGCACTTTTAAACGTTTCGAGTTTTTTCTTGTAATTTTTTGGTACCACACCTAGTGATGCTGGGGGCTTGCTCCTGGTGAGGCTTGACAACCATATGTTGTGCCAGGATTGAACTAGAGTCAGCTGCGTGCAAGACAGGCACCAGACCTGCTCTACTATCATTCTGACCACTGGGTTTGGTTTTAAGAATAGAAGTCTGTGATCAGAAATAGCTTGCATGCTTTTAGAATTAGTTTTCTCTAAGGATTAGTTAGTTCTAAAGGGAGCGCTCGTGTCTGGGGGAACTTATATGCAGGAAAGCCTTAAATGTTGGTGCTTCCATATTAGATTAGTTATAAAACAGGTGTGTGGGGTAAAATGATGATGGTGAGGGAGGAATGGAGAAGAAAAAGGTTATTGGGGAATGTCTCTGGGGATAGTTGCTGTTTATTGAGCCAGGAGACAAGGTTAATTCAGCCCTTTCTTCTGACGTCTGCCCCCATCTTCCTAGGTCTTGGTCTCTCCCCCAGAGGAAGATGCTGCTGCCACCTCTGTGCTCTTCCTGAGCCTCCAAGTTTCTGCCTCATGGAGGACACTCCCACCTCCTTCAGCTGCTCTGACTGTGAACGCCACTTTCCTAGCCTCCCGGAACTATCACGGCACCGCGAACTGCTCCATCCGTCTTCCAGTCAGGACAGTGAGGAGGCTGACGGTGTACCACGGCCCTACCGCTGTCAGCAGTGTGGGCGGGGCTACCGTCACCCAGGGAGCCTCGTCAACCACCGCCGAACCCATGAGACTGGCCTTTTCCCTTGTACCACCTGTGGCAAGGACTGCACCAACCCCGTGGCCCTTAAGAGCCACATGAGAACTCATACTCCTGAGGGCCGCCGTAGGCGCAGGCCCCCTCGCCCCAAGGAAGCCACTCCACATCTCCCGGGTGCAACAGTGTCTACTGACTCCTGGGCCCAAAGAGTTGGCCCTGCAGAAGACTGGGGGAACCAGAAAGAGCATGCTGAAGAGACTTCTGGCTGTGAGTCTGGGTCCGAACCCAGAGTAGCTCCGGGCAACTGGGGAGATCCATCCCTCCAACAAGAAGCCTGGGAAAGCCAACCAGGTCCTGAGGAAGGTGCAGAGGACTGGGGCCCCTCCACCAACTCTGCCAGAGCCCCACCACTCCCATCACAAGCCAGCAGTCTTCTTAGCAATTTGGAACAGTATTTGGCTGAATCAGTGGTGAATTTCACAGGGGGCCAGGAGCGTTCCCAGTCTCCTCCTGCTGAGGAGGAGCGGAGGTACAAGTGCAATCAATGTGGCAAGACTTATAAGCATGCTGGGAGCCTCACCAATCATCGCCAGAGCCACACCTTGGGTGTCTATCCTTGTGCCATCTGCTTTAAGGAGTTTTCCAACCTCATGGCTTTGAAGAACCACTCACGACTCCATGCCCAGTATCGGCCTTACCAGTGTCCCCACTGCCCCCGCGCTTTTCGGCTTCCCCGAGACCTTCTAGAACACCAGCAGTCCCACGAAGGAGAAAGTCAGGGGCAACTGTGGAAAGAGAAGGGGATGCCCACTACCAATGGGCACATAGACAAGAACTGCCAGGACCAACTCCCTAGTTCTCAGATGCTGAATGGCTCGGGGGAGCTCAGCACTTCAGGGGAGCTAGAGGACAGTGGCTTGGAGGAATACCGGCCTTTCCGCTGTGGGGACTGTGGCCGTACTTACCGCCATGCTGGAAGCCTCATCAACCATCGCAAGAGCCATCAGACCGGTGTGTACCCCTGCGCCATCTGCTCCAAGCAGCTCTTCAATGCAGCGGCCCTCAAGAACCATGTGCGGGCTCACCACAGACCTCGGCAAGGAACTGGGGAGGATGGGCGGTCATCCCTGCCGCCGGCTCCCCTAACTCTGGCTGCAAGCACCCCCAAAGAGGAAGAGGGGCCCACCAGCACCCTGGACCACCGCCCTTATAAGTGCAATGAGTGTGGTCGAGCTTACCGTCACCGAGGGAGCCTGGTAAATCACCGCCACAGCCATCGGACGGGAGAGTACCAGTGCTCACTCTGTCCCCGCAAGTACCCCAATCTTATGGCCCTGCGCAACCATGTGCGCGTACATTGCAAGGCTGCTCGGCACAGTGCAGACCTGGGGACTGAGGGTACCCCTGGCCACCTCAAGGGGGAGCTGCCGCCTGACTCAGTGGGAGCAGAGGCATCCCCACCAACAGGTTCAGGGTCCTGGTGCAAACCCACGGAAGAGGCCCCTGCCCTCCTCCCGGCAGCAGAGATGACAGCACCACAGATCTGTAGTGTGTGTGGGATGTTCTTTGAGGACCCCAAGAGCCTTGAACTTCATGGCCGGACCCATGAGGAAGGGGAGGAGAGCAGGACAGAGACAAGGGAGTCGCCTCCGCGTGCATTTGCCTGCCGCGACTGTGGGAAGAGCTATCGCCACTCAGGCAGTCTTATCAACCACAGGCAGACTCATCAGACGGGGGACTTCAGCTGTGGGACCTGTGCTAAGCATTTCCACACCATGGCTGCTATGAAGAACCATCTGCGACGCCACAGTCGACGGCGGAACAGGCGGCACCGGAGGCGAGTCAGTAGCGTTGGTGGCGAGGGAGAAGCCAAAGCCCCCTCTGCTGGAATCTGGGCTCAGGAATCAGTGGGAGGTACTGTGCGCCTGGACTGTGGCCAAGATCGTTCACGGGAAAGTTCTAGTGGAGCTGAAGTCAACTTGGAAAATGATGAGGGCTGTTTGCAGGCTGACTCTGAAAGGGACAAATGTGAGCTTGAAAGGGGTGAGGCCTGTCTCCAGAGTGATAAAGAGAGCAGAGGTACTGAGGAAGGAGTGGAGCGGAAGGAGTCCTGTTTCCTTGACAACTTGGATGTTTCAGGTGATGAGGAAAGCAGTGGGACTCGCTTCTGTAACAGCCCGACTGGGATGGATGAAGATCAGAAGCCAACCCCTGGCCAGCCCGGCCCTTCTCACTGTGCTGAAGCTCTCAGTAGCTGGCAGGCTGAGGCCTCCCACACGTGTTCTGACTGTGGCCATTCTTTCCCCCATGCCAGCAGCTTGCTGAACCACAGGCCTTGCCATCCACCTGGCATCTACCAGTGCTCCCTGTGCCCAAAGGAGTTTGACTCTCTGCCTGCTCTGCGCAGCCACTTCCAGAACCACAGGCCTGGGGAGGCAGCCTCAGCCCAACCCTTCCTCTGCTCTCTATGTGGCATGATCTTCCCTGGGCGGGCGGGCTACAGGCTTCACCAGCGCCAGGCCCATGGCTCCTCCAGCATGACTGAGGGCTCAGAGGAGGAGGGAGAAGAGGAAGGAGCCGCGGGGGCAGGCTGCAACCGGAGCCCCCCACTGCAGCTCTCGGAAGCAGAGCTGCTAAATCAGCTACAGCGGGAAGTCGAGGCACTCGATGGAGCTGGTTATGGGCACATCTGTGGCTGCTGTGGTCAGACCTATGATGACTTGGGGAGCCTCCAGCGTCACCACCAAAGTCAGAGTTCTGGTAACACCATGGACAAGGCCCCCAGCCCCTTGCGGGAGGCAGGTGATGCCGCAGATAGCGTGTTTGAGAGCTCTGTGATGTCTCTCTCTGAGGAGTGTGGGGACACAAAGTCTGATTTGGGAGCAGGCGCCACAGCAGCAGACAACCTTTGTGTGCAGGGGGAGGAAAGTTCTCTGGAGGCTGAGGCCCAGCCCCGCCCGTTCCGCTGCAATCAATGTGGCAAGACCTATCGCCACGGGGGCAGCCTGGTAAACCACCGCAAGATCCACCAGACCGGAGACTTCCTCTGCCCGGTCTGCTCCCGCTGCTACCCCAACCTGGCGGCCTACCGGAACCACCTGCGGAACCACCCACGCTGCAAAGGGTCTGAGCCCCTGGTGCGGCCCGCTCCGGAGCAGGCAGGCAGCACTGAATCCCAGGACATGACAGAGGAGGGGCTGGGACAGGCTGAGGTGGTGAAGCTCCAGGAAGAATTTAAAGTGGAGCCCCTGGAGGAGGGCTCCGGGGTGAAGGAAGAGGCCTGGGAGGAGACCACCGTGAAGGGAGAGGAAGAGATGGAGCTGAAGCTGGAGACCGCAGAGAAAGGGTGCCAAACCGAGGCCAGCACCGAGCGGCCCTTCACCTGTGAGGTGTGCGGCCGGTCATACAAACATGCTGGCAGCCTCATCAATCACCGGCAGAGTCACCAGACTGGCCACTTTGGCTGCCAGGCCTGCTCCAAAGGCTTCTCAAACCTCATGTCCCTCAAGAACCACCGGCGTATCCATGCCGACCCCCGGCGTTTCCGCTGCGGGGAGTGTGGGAAGGCCTTCCGCCTGCGGAAGCAGCTCGCCAGCCACCAGCGGGTCCACACCGACCGGAGTGGGAGTGGGACCACCCGAAAGCTGCCTCGGGAAGATCGGCCCTTCCGGTGTGGGCAGTGTGGACGGACCTACCGCCATTCTGGCAGCCTCCTGAACCACCGGCGCAGCCATGAGACAGGCCAGTACAGCTGCCCTACATGCCCCAAGACCTGTTCCAACCGCATGGCCCTGAAGGACCACCAGAGACTGCACTCGGAGAGCAGGCGGAGACGCGCGGGGCGCTCACGCCGGGTAGCTGTGCGCTGTGCCCTCTGTGGCCAGGGCTTCCCTGGCCGGGCGTCTCTGGAGCGGCATTTGAAAGAGCATGAGGAGACCAGAAGTGATCAAGATGGCCCAAATGGCGCAGAAGGTGGTGAGGGGAATGTGGCCGGCGGCCAGGAACAGAAAGTCGGCTTAGATGGGGTTGAGTCAGTACCCCAGCTGGAGGCTGGGACCGTGAGGCCGGGGGAGCAGACGCAGGGCCCCATCACGGCGGCAGCGCCAGAAGCCGTAGAGCCAGTCTCCTGGCTGGAGAAAGCAGAAGGGTGGCGAGAAGATGGGGGCCCAGTGAAGCATGGTGGCGAATGGGTGCCTCAGGGTCAGGTACCAGCCGAACCAGAGGATGAGGCAGGAGGTAGTGTCCCCAGGAGTTCTCGCCATGTTGCTGATGGTCAACACAATGGGCCTCATCTGAGTCATGTCGATAATTGGGACAACGGAGATGCCCTCACTCAGCCAGAGGGCCGCTCCTTGTCTTGCAGCCGTTGTGGCAAGACCTTCCAGTCAGAGGGCCTGAACCACAGTGCCCACCGGCCAGAAAACCACTGTTGCCAGCTCTGCTCCAAGGAGTTCCTGAAGAGCCACAGTCCTAGTCACGGAGCTGCCCATGCGTGTGCCAGCCCCAATTGTGGCAAGACCTTTGAGTCCCACCACGAGCTAACCACCCACCTGAAGGCTCATGCTGGGGCCAAGGAGGATGAAGTGGCTGTCCCTGGTCAAGGGCAAGCCCTGTCTGCACCCTCGAGGGTCTCAGAAGAGAATGCCAGGAATGAAGGGACGCCAGGACAAGGAGTGAAGTCCCCAGTGGCTGCAGATGAGGAGCGGCCCTTCCGCTGTGCCCAGTGTGGGCGCTCCTACCGCCATGCCGGCAGCCTGCTAAACCACCAGAAAGCCCACACCACTGGCCTCTATCCCTGCGCCCTCTGCCCCAAACTTCTCCCCAATCTACTGTCCCTTAAGAACCATGGTAGGACCCACACGGACCCTAAGCGCCACCGCTGCAGCATCTGTGGCAAAGCCTTCCGGACAGCTGCCCGGCTGGAAGGTCATGGACGGGTCCACGCACCCCGGGAGGGGCCCTTCACCTGCCCCCACTGTCCCCGCCACTTTCGACGCCGAATCAGCTTCCTACAGCACCAGCAGCAGCACCAGGAGGAATGGACAGAGGCCAGTTCTGGTACGGGGATTGTGAGGGGCTGGGCCGAGGGTTGAAGGGTCACTTCCTAAATGTGCATGCTTCCGGGGTTCAGTCTGGCCCCCAGGTGGAAGGTGGTGGGTGAGGGTTCCAGGAGCACTGGGATGCTGGGTGAGAAGGGCTGAGACCTGCGTGTCTGGGTCAGTAAAGTAGATCGGGGTAGGCAATGGTCAGGCCTTCTGTTATGCAAGAGCCGCAGAGGACTGGCCAGGGGTGGAGGAAGATTTGGCTTCTGGAAACTCCCCTAACGAATGAAATAACAAAGGGCAGAGGTAGTGGCGGCTCCTAGAGCGGACGGGGAGCCAGGGAGTGAGGAACAGGGCATGGGCGGCACCCCCAGACCAGTGCTGACTTAGCTGGGGAAAGTGGTCACTGCATCTCTACCTGCATCTTTTTTGTTTGTGTTTGGGGCCATGCCCAGCAGTGCTTGGGGGCAGTTCCTGGGGCTCCCACATCTGGAGCATCTCCCCAGCCTCTTTCCCTGCATCTTGTTTCTGCCCTCCCCTTTCTCCCCCTCCCCAACCCTGGGTTTGGCATCTTGCCTACCAGTAAGTCCCCACATGACTTCTTCCTTTTAGTCACCCCTTGTCTTCTCTGCTACTTATCTCCTTTTCAGGATCCCACCAAACCACCCCTCCCACCCTCACCCCCTTCCCCAGCAGCACCCCTGTAACTGGAGGACTGAGTCATGGGTAATTGCTTCTTTGAAGTCAGGCCTCACTTAGCAACAACAGTCATTAGCCCTGTCTCCAGCTCTATCAGGGCATCTCCCGGCCGCTCCACCTAGCCCTGTGGACAGAGGCTGCAGCAGAGTGGGGCGTGGTCCTGGCCTCTCGCATCAGGACCCGTTCTAAGGTCACTAAGGGTGGGGGCCATCAGAGAGCTGAGAGACGCCTTTCACCTTTTGGGGATGAATGAGGAGCCAGTTAGCCAGGGCTAGGGATGCCATTGGTGCTGTTATTCAGGCCTCTGGTGCCTAACCAGGGGGCGGTGGCTGGCCGGGACCCTAAGGCTGGGCAGAGTTGGCCTTTTCAGCCAGTGATGACCTTTCTTGCTCTCTCCTCAGGTGCCCCAAAGGCAGCGGCAGCAGGCAGAGGGGATTTGTCATCCCCTGCACCCACCTCCTCGACCCCACTCCTGGACCCTTCACCCCAGTGGCCTGCAGACCTCAGCTTCTCCCTCTGAACTTCAAATCTCCAAAGATCAGAATTTGGGGGGATGGTGCAGGGACAGAAGTGATCTCCAGGTTTTTCTCAGGAGTAGTTGGGGCATCCTCATGCCTTCTCTCCCACTGAGAAGAGGACCCCCCATCTGGTTCTGGGTGGGGGGAACCCCCGGCCTGCCCTCCTCACTCTGCTCTTCCTGCAAGAAACCCAGGGTGAGGCAGAGGCCAGAGCCACAGGGGTCGGGGGCGCTGCCTGTGGAAGGGGAGCCTTTTGCTACAATTTGTAACTTATTTTCTAAAGTCTATTTTGTAACAATTTATTTAAGTTTAAAAAAAAGGAACACTGCTCCCCCCAAAAAACAGAAATTTTCAAAGTAAGGGCATGGTGTGATTGTGTCCAAGGGGCTGTAGAACAGGGGCGCCTGAGAACAGAATGTTGGGGAGTGGAGCCGGGTGGGTCAGCCACGGTGGCAGCTCCCTGTCCAGCAGGGTGGGGGCACAGGCAGCTGTTGGGCCTGTCCCAAGGCCTGCAGTGGCGTGCGGGGGGATGGGAGCGGCCTCCCTGTGTCTGTGTGTCTGTCAGCAGCTGCCAGGCTGGCCTGTCAGAGGAAGGAGGGCGGGTCGGCCTCATACCGTTTCTCCCTCCCGAAGGAGAGGAAGGACGGAGCCAAACAGCTCGGGCACTCCCAGCCGGTCACCCCGCCAAGCACCCAGGCGGGCGCCCAGACTCTGACCAGTACTCTGCCTTCCTGGGTAGGAGGGTGGTAGGGGAAGGGCCGGAAGTGTTCAGGGAGGCCCCTGGCCACCTACTCGTGTTGGCCGGGCAGCTTGCAGGCTCGGGTTCAGGCTCCTCGGCGAAGTAGACTTGCCAGTCTAGGCTGGTGACCCAGTGCTCGTAGGGTGGCAGTGCCGTGAAGACTGCGAGCCTCGGCGGCCCCTGGCAGGCATCTCCAAAGCTGTGCAGTCCGGCCAGGAACCACGTGCCCCTCACCTCGTGTACCACTGGCGCCCCAGACAGACCCTGTCAGGGTCAGGGGACACTGATGGGCACGTGGGGGTCAGGGAGTCAGAAGGATGAGCTGGGCTGATGCCGTGGGAGCCACTTGGGCTGGGGAGACATACACCTGGAGGCCATATCTGGCCCAGGTGCTCCAGAGTTGAAGGGTGGGGGCAGGGATCGGGGTGGGGGCTCACCTCGCAGTGCTTCGGCTCCCCCACAACACTGGTGCACAACATCCCTGGCAGGATGGGGGTGCTGTTGCTCCCAAGGGCTGTTTGCAGGTGGCTGCAGGCCCTGTGCCCCAGGAGGGTCACGGGCACTGTCTGAGGCAAGCTGAGGCCTGTGGGGCAAGGGTTATGATGCAGCTTCCCCGTGCCTCCTGGCTGGCTGGACAGTCGCTGATGTCCCCCCATTCTGCATACCTGTGCCTTGGTGGCTCAGCCCAAGGACCCAGCCATGTGCCCCATCAGGAAGGTGGTGGTCGGCGTAGGGCAGGCACAGGGGCCTCAGGCTGGGACCCAGTGTCACGGGCTGAGCCAGGAGCAGGAGGGCCACATCGTAGCCCCCATTGGGGTGGGTGTAAGCCCCGTGGAGGATGAGTTGCTTCAAGCTCCATTCCTTTGACTCGGTCCCCAGCCCCACACTCCATTCCTCTGGGGTCTGGCGCCTATGCAGGGGAATGTTGACAGCACTATATGGGGAGGCTGCCAGCAGGGCTGGGGGCTGGGGCAGCAAGGGACAGGGTCCTCACCCAATGAAGCAGTGGGCGGCGGTCAGCACCACCTCTTCCGACACCAAGGCTCCGCCGCAGGCCAGCCTCCCCTGGTGTTTTAGCCTGGCGTCCCAGGGCCATGGGGACGGGGCTCCCGCAGTAGGCCCTCCCTTCAGAGATCCGCAGGCTGAAACGTTACACCGGGACAAGTGTTCATGGCCTGCCACCCCCTGTGCTAAGCACTCCCCAAGTTATTAAGTTGGGAAATAACCTTCAGTTGGTTGCTTTTGAGGGGCTACATGATCCCTGCTCATTGTTGGCTTTAGAGATCGTATCAGGGACTCCTGCATGCAAAGCATTCAGTTCAGCCAGCACTCCCAGCTCTAAAACAACGTTTCAAGTTGAATGTTGTTTCTCTCATTCCTGAAGGTAACCAAACTTCCAGTAAGGACTTTATAGCCGCGGTAATCACAGGCAAGTTACCAACTGAGATTCGAAACGCCAACCAGGGATGTGGGATATGGTTCAGCAAAAAAAACCTAGGTTTGGTCCCCAGCATCAAAACGGAAAAGCGAGATTCTAGGAGGCTGTGAATCCTGATGGTCCAGCTCCACCCACTACCTGGACTGGCCCAGAATTCCTGGTTTACCAACACTGCCCTGCTTATCAAGATAGCGCTCCCTTCCCGGGAACCCTTTTGCATGGGATTAGCATGTTAGTCACTTAACGCCAGAATTGAGTGGAGCCCTAGTACCCAGACCTCTGGGCCCCAAACCTTCAGCAAGATCAAGATCAAACCCCAAAAGATCAAACCCCAGACCTTCAGCCAGAACAAGCAGCTCAGAGGACGAGTTTGTGCTCTGTATGTGGGCGCCTTGATTCCACCCCAGCCCAGCTGCGTGAGGCTCCCCTGGCCTCACTGGGAAGGGCCCCCAAGCACTAGCAGGTGTGCCCCCCGCAAACCAAACAGACCTTGGAGATCTTTCTTTTCACCCAAGTTACAAATCTATGAAGTCCACGCCATCCATACCCCAGTTCTCTGAAAGGAGCCCCCAACTCCGACCCTGCCCCTGGGGTGCAATGTGGGACTATTTCTCTCTTCCCAGCTGAAATGTGTTACCCTGCACCTTCCTTCCTGCCCATGCTGTCCCCATGTGTGCCACGCCTCACAGCCCTGCTCCTACCTACACAGCTGTCCTCGTCACTGATCTCCTGGGGTTCAGGGGTCTGGGCCAGGAAGGCGGCCCCCTCCGCTCGAGCCTGCAGCCAGGAGCTGTGAGCAGCCATATCCGTCAGCAGGACGGGCGTGTCTTCCTGGGCACAGCTGGATGCGAAGCTGATGATCCCAGCCTGAACCCAGTGTCCATCGGGCTCACGACAGATTACAGGGCCCCCGGAGTCTCCCTGGAGCCAAGCAATGGAATCGGGCAGATCCCCTCCCGCTCTGCCCAGCCCAAGGCCAGGACCCTCCCCCGCCCACTGCTTGCTTCCTCTGCCCCAGCTCTGACCTGGCAGGGCCCCTGCATCCCAGGCTGGGCACCCCCACACAGCATCCCAGGCCGGGCCGGGCTGGCCAGTAGCCGCTGGTGTAGCCGGTTGTAGAGACAGTTGCATGTGGGGCGGCTGATCAGACGCAGGCGCAGGTTCCGTAGGGTCCTAGGAGCTGGCCAAAAAGGAGACTTAATAAGACCGGGAGCAGGGCCCTTGGGCAGCTGCAGCTGGGTGACCCTGGCAACAGCCCTCTGTGGGTGGGTGTCAGTCCAAGTAGCGCTTACCATCACTGATGTCCTGATCCCAGCCAGTGGCCCAACAGGAGGTCCCAAAGGGGAAGCGATGGGCAGGTCGGGGCAGGCAGAGGGGTGTTGGGGCCATGGGGTGGGCGAGGCGCAGGAGGGCCAGGTCAGAGCCCTGGCTGTAGTGGTTATAGGCCCTGGGGAGCTGTAGGGCGGCCACGCCCACCTCCTCAGCCCCTGGGCTCAGCCCCTCTCGCTGCAGAGAACCCAGGACGACTGACCAGGAGTTCAGCTCTGTCATTGCCGCCCTAGAAAGGGAGGGACAAGGCCCAGGCATTGCATGCATAGGAGGAAGGTGACACACCAGGAGACAAGGGAGCGGGAAAGGGCAGATGAGTTCCCGACTGGCTGCGAACCCCCTCCAGCTCTCAGCCTCATCTTCTTATTTGTCAGGCTTCTGCCTCAGGTGTTCCCATTCAGATGAAATGGTACTTTGTTACTCTGGGAGCAGGGCTCCACCTTCTGGGAATAAATCACCCACCCCCAAACCCAGAAACCTTGCTAGAGTCTAGCCAGGACTCCCTTTTTTGTTGTTTGGGGGCCACACTTGGCGATACTCAGGGGTTACTCCTGGCTCGGCACTCAGAGATCACATTTGGAGGGCTCAGGGGACCATATAGGGTGCCAGGGATCAAACCCAGGTTGGCCACGTGCAAGGCAAGCACCCTACCTGCTGTACTATCTCTCTGGTCCCAGGACTTTTTGTTTTGGGAGGCCCACACTCAGCTGTGTTCAAGGTTTACTCTCAGCTCTGTCCAGAGATCACTCTGGCAGTACTTGGGGGACCATACAAGGTATCGGGGATCAAACCCTGGTCAATCAGATGCAAAGCAAACGCCCTACCCTCCGTGCTATTGCTCTGGCCCCCAGGACTCACTTTTCAAAGCAATGAGCAGCAGTGAGGACCCAGGTATCTGCCACCAGGGAGCCACTGCACACGTGGACCCCCTCCTTCCTCACACTGGCCTGCCATGGCCACTCGCCGGGCACAGTGTGGTCCTCCCGGGGCTCAGGGGGGCCAGGGCCGCGCTGTCCACAGGCTGTGGAGAGAGGCGAGTCAGGCTGACCACAGGCCCCGTGCTGCCTTCACCACCCCTCCTGCCCCAGCACTTACCACGCTGAGCAGCTTGGAGACCTGGGGAGAGAGAGATGCACGTGAGATGGGGGAGCCTGACCTGCAGGCTGCGGGTGGCGGGGAGATGGGGTGGGTGGATGGGCCCCAGGTCCTTTGCCTATGACTCTCCGGCCACCTCACCAGCCCCTCCCAGAATGAAAATATTTATATGAGGTCAAATAGCAGCTTTTATTGGAACCTATTCAGAGTCTACACTCTAATTAATTCTCTCTCAGCTGTGCTCAGCACTCCTAGACCTGAGGAGCAGGCCTGGGGTTCAGCTTGGGCCCAGCCTAGGCCGCATCCACACTTAAAACCCCCACCTGTTGTCCCCGCCACTGGGTTCAGCTTACCTGCGCACACAGCCACGGGGCCCGAGAAAACCCGGGGACCTGTGTTGTCTGAGGAGCAGAGGATCGAGATGGGCACGACTGCACCCCTCTTCTCATGACTCCCCACCTCACAGCAAGAGCCAGATTCGACCCAAGCACCTCACCTCTCCCCGCCTGCTCACAGAGGAGCCGTGGAGAGAGAGACCAGAGATGCCCTGAGCCTGCCCACAGTTATTTTGAAGTTGAAAGACAGACAGACAGGCAGGCAGACAGACAGGCAGACAGAGACAGTGCCTGTCCTGGCAGACAGACCCAGCTGAGGTCACACCCAGTCAGGCACAAGACCCCACTCCCCACAGGCAGGCTTTCTCATACACAGCACACTCTGGGTGGCAGCGGGGACCCCAACCCCCGACACCAGTGGCTCACCCTCCATGAGCACCACCACTCCCAGGCTGAGCAGTCCGGGTGCCCAACTTAGCTTCATGCTGCTCCAGGCCGCTCTGCCGCTGGCTTCCAAGAGACGCCGGGTCTCCCCCTTGCTCCGCCTCCCCTGGCCCCGCCCCCAGGGAGAGCAGTGGGGTGTCATTGCCTGGCCTGGGCTGGGAGGGACCAACACTTGCTCCGTGACCCTGGGCGGCTCAACACCCCTCTCAGGGCCTCAGCCCAGGGCCCCTGCTTGCGTGTCTGCCGCATAAAATGGACAGTGGCCGAAATGACCAGGCCACGGCAGAGCCTGCAGTCACCCAGCCTGATGCTGTCTTGACCCTCTGCAGGCACAGGGAGGCCACATGGACCATGTTGTGCAGTGGCAGGGAGTGAGGAGTCAATGCTTGGTCCCCCAAACCTTGCCAGGAGTGATCCCTGAGTGTAGAGTCTGGAGTAAAGCGCTGAGCACTGCCAGGTGTGGTCCCAAATAAATACAAAACAAACCCCAGAAAAACAGAAACCAAGCCCCCCTACCCACCCCAAAAATAGCATAAACATTGATGGGGCCAAGGAGACAGCCCTGGCTCAAGGACGTGGCAAACACAAGGATCTGAATTCCATTCTGGCGCTGCATGGTCCTCATGCACTACCAAGCCTGAGCACTCTTTGGCTGAGTATGGCTGAAAGTAGCCCTTTGGCTCTCTAAGTACTGCTTGAGACTCCTCCAAAAGATAAAGAACACAGACATTGGAGCCAGACAACTCAGGCAGAATCGGATCCTGAGAGTTCCTCATCCCCTCTTAGCTGTGTGATTTAGAGGACTAAAGACTCTCTGTGTCTCAGTTTCCTTATCGAGAGAGATAATCACAGCCCCTAGCTCAGACATTGCTGTCAGGATTCAATGAACTAACACATCATGTTATTTTATTTTTCGGCTTTTGCACCACACCTGATTGTGCTCAGGGTTCATTCCTGGCAGAGCTCAAGGGACCATATGTGGTACTAGGGAAATGAACCAGGGCCAGTCACATGCAAGGCCTATCTCTCTGGCCCCCCCAAAGTTATGTTCTTAAATAGTCTTGACCTGTGCTAAATGCTCAGTACATACTGGAAAAGACGAAACCAGAATGCCCTCCAGGGTCACCAAAACTAACCCATGCGTACTGAGGGGTCATGGCTCTACCAAGGGTCAAAGGTTGGATCAGACGCTTTACGTGTGGGTGCCGCAGTTTTATTCCTGGACACTGCATGGTCCCTGAACATCACCAGGTGTACTCCCAGCAAAGGTCAGACCACAGGAAGGACTTTTCAGCCCTTGGAAGAGTGTGTGCGGCCCTTCCCGGAGAGGTGGCCTGACTTCATGAGCTGGAAGGACCAGCTGCCAGCCTGTTTCCTGGGGGTGGGTGCTGATGTGGCCCCAAGTCCTGCTGAGTGCACACACTGGAAAAGGAATTAACCACCTTCCCAGACAGGCCCTCGCTCTCCTCTGACTCATTCTTCCAGCACTCAAAGGGGTGAGGCTGGGGGAAGCCCAGCGCTGGGGTGCCTGACAGACAGATGACGGAGACTTGGCACATTTATTTAAGTAATTTTATCGCGTAGAATGCTTTTTTATCGCTTCCCTCCTTGGGCAATGGCAGGAACTTGGGAACCAGCCTTTGAGGACAAAGACAGAGGCACTGAGGTGCAGTAAGGAGAATAGCACATTTGGTCCATTGTTCTACGTGGGCCTACAGTGTCTAAGGGGCCACATGGGACCCCCTTTCGCAAGGCTCACAGACAAAGCAGAGCAAATTTGGTCAGCCTGGCTGGAATGTGAGTGCTCAGTGTCTCTTGGCCTTGCTCGGGGCGCCCTGGAACTCCCGGAAGCTGAGCATCATCAGACCCCCATTGATGGCATAGGTGGTTATGCAAACGATGCAAAAATCATAGAGGACAAAGAACAGGATCCAGGCCAAATAGAGAGAACCAGCGAGAGATAACAGGGAACTCAGCACCAGCAGGATAGATGCCCAGCGGCCCCGTAGGCAACCTGCAAGATAAAAAAGAATCAGGCATGGGATTTAGAATTCTGCCCTGACTTAATGATGCCAGACAGGAGGCTGCGAGGAAACCTAAAGTAAGAAGTCTTCCAAGACCTTGGTTCTGCTAGCCAGCGGTTCAATGGTCCCTAGACCCAGAGAGTCTTTTTCCTACTGAGCAATACAGGAAAGGAAGGCGAAGAATGTTTGCATTCCCCTTGGAAAGAAACATCTGAATCCTTCCCAGTGAGGTTCTAGGGAATCTTTAACCTCTTCTAGCCCTAAAAGTAACTGAGCCAACTGAACTATCTGGGACCCAGGGATAGTGCACGGGTGAAGGTGCTTGCTCTGCATGTGGTCAACTGATTTTAATCGCTGGCACCACTTGATACCTCATCAGTGCTGGATGTGGTCCAACTCCCCCTCCCCCTGCCTCCAAAAGCCATTAATTCCCACCTCCAGGGCCCTGAGCTGTCAGCAAGAAACAGAGGTGGCCAAGGCGGGGCCAAGGAGGGAGTGAGTCCAGAGGTAGCGAGGCCACTCACCTAACACCAGCTGCAGAGTGTAGAAGATGCAGCCAAATATGCTGTTGGATTGGTTGAGGACGCTGTCCTGGCCCAGCACGTGCTCCACCAGCCCGAAGCCCTTCCCCCACCTGATAGAGGGGTGGGCTCAGATTAGGGTTCGACCTAGTCTTGGTCCCCAATATTTATTTATTTTGCTCTTTGGGTCACAGCCGGCAATGGTCAGGGGCTACTCCTGGCTTTGCACTCAGGAAACCATATGGGATGCTGGGGATCGAATCTAGGGTCAGCTGCGTGCAAGGCAAATGCTCTTCCCGTTGTAATATCACTCCTGCCCCATGGTCCCTGATATCGACTGGCAGTTTCTGAAAAGTCTCCAGGACTGGTCTTGTTCCCCTCACCACACATTCCCAAGAGCAATCCCCAAAGTCCAAGGGTCCATAACCTTCTGGCATCGTGTGACATTCTTCTGGTCACATCAGGATTCCATGTCACTGCTTCTCTCCTTTCCTGTCCCCAAGGCCAGGCCTTCTCATTGCTCCTCCAGATCACCCTCTTCATTCTCAACTTTCAATAAGTTATTTTTGGAGTGGTTGGAGTATTGAGTGCTTAGTGCTCAGGGGGCAATGTGGTGCAGGATTAAATTATGCGCCTGTTGAGGTATCTCTCCAGTCCAACTTACAAAAATTATTTGTTGTTTTTTGTAGGGCTGGAGCGATAGCACAGCGGTAGGGCGTTTGCCTTACAAGCTGCCAACATGGCCGACCCGAGTTCGATTCCTCCACCCCTCTCGGAGAGCCCGGCAAGCGACCGAGAGTATCTCGCCCGCACGGCAGAGCCTGGCAAGCTCCCCGTGATGTACTCGATATGCCAAACACAGTAACAACAAGTCTCATGATGGAGACGTTACTGGGCCCGCTCGAGGAAATCGATGAACAACGGGAGGACAGTGACTGGATTTTGTTGGCCATACCTTGCGAAGCTCAGCGGTCACTCCTGGCTGTGCACTCAGGTAACAGTCCTGGTGGTGCTCAGGGGATGATATGGAATGCCAAGGATCGAACCTGGGTCAGCCAGGTGCAAGGCATAATGCCCTGCCCTCTGTACAAAGAATTAAATTTAATTCCGGCCACAAGAATTTTTTAAAATTCCCCCGTGCACCGCCAGGAGTAATTCCTGCGTGCATACCCTGGAGTGAACCCTGAACATCGTCCAGCGAAGCTCCCTAACAAAACAAACCAAAAAAATGTATTTTTTAAGAACAGCAAAGGCGGAATATTGATTGCTCTTGCTTTACAAAGTCACCAGAAACTGGAAGTCCTCGGTACAATCTTTCTGCCCTGAATCCTTTGATCCTGGCCGCTCTGCAGCTCACTTTATTCCTCCTTCTACTAAAGGGCCCTCAAGCGCAGTCCTATGTGGCGCTTCCGGCCACAGTTACCATCGAGATCCTCCTCAGGCGGTACCCCGTCCTCCCCACACACAGTCACCGTTATTTATTGGAATCCGGATCCCCATAATTACGGAACTCCTTAGCATTATTTATATACGCGCGGGCGCCGCACGCACACACACGCATGTACACACACACACACACACTCCACTTCCCACACACCCGGTTCTCAGCGCTGTGCCCCCCTCGACTCGCCCGGCCGCCTGCCTCAGCTCCCCTGGCACCCCAAGCGCACCTAGAGGAGAAGACGCGTGAACAACTGATGGCGGTGCCCACGTCGCAGAGCGCGCGGTAGTCCTGGTCCCGGGCGCGCGCCGCCTTCACGTGCAGCGCGTAGAGCGAGAGCGCGAAGCCCGCGAGGCAGAGCGCCAGGCGGGCCCAGCCCGGGCTGCGCCAGGTAGCGCCCATGGCTGCGGGAGCCGCCGGAGGGGTGCGGGAGAGCCGCGACGACGGGGCGGGGCGGGGCCGACCACGCCCCTCCCGCCCCTCTGACCCGGCGATTGGCCCGCCTGGTCTCGCAGCGCCTCACCTCATTGGTTGTTCCCTGGTCAGCAGGCAAAGCAGGAAAACCACGAGGAATGCCGGGACTGGGAAGCCGACCCGGGAATACGGGTCGCCGGGCTGGTGGCAGTTGTAGTCAGAGCGGCGCAAGGCCTCCAGGGAAAGGGAGTCCCGGGGCTTTTAACTTAGTGCACAGAGCGCTTAACCCAGAGACCCCCGGATTGGGCAATCAGGGAATACTGCAATCCGATCAAGATCCAGACATCCCGAAACCCCTGTATCAGATATCAGCACTGTAGCATTGTCCTCCCCGTTGTTCATCGATTTGCTCCAACAGACCCAGTAACGTCTCCATTGTGAGACTTATTGTTGCTGTGTTTGACATATCGAATACTGCACGGGTACTTGCCAGACTTTGCCTGGCGGGCAGGATACTCTCGGTAGCTTGCCGGGCTCTTCGAAAGGGGCGGAAGTATTGAACTCCGCCGTGTGCAAGGCAGACATCCTACCCACTGTACTATCTCTCCAGCCTGGGTCCAAGAATCAGATGGAAAATTTAAATTAATAATAAATAATTAATCAAGCATCAGAATTATTAATAATTTCCTATCCGCTCAGTTTCTTCAACACGAACCTCCTGACTCACCAGCGCCTCTTGCCGGCCGCTTTCGCTCTCTTTCCCCAGCTCCATCATCTCTGGTGCAGGAGCCACGCACGGCTGGTCTTCTGAGAACTAGTCCCAGCTACGTGCTCGGAGCAGGAGGGGCGTGCGGTGCGGGAGCTCGAACGTGGGCTCCCGCATGTGCCCTCAAACCTCTGAGGTATCTCCTGGTCTGGACACATCCTTGACAGTATTATGACTATTCCATTGTGGCGCCCACCTGGTAAAACTGACCTGGATCAATCCCATCTTCTTTCAAAGCTTTTGTTGTTGCTGGTTTTGGGGTCTCACCTGGCTGTGTTTAGGTCTTACTCCTGACTCTGTACTCAGGGATAACTCCAGATGGGACTTGGGAACCATATGCGGTGCCAGGGGGCACATGCAAGGAAAATGCCCTACCCACTGTTCTATATCTCCTCTCCAGTCCCTAATCTGCTGATTTTAAAGCAGAAATCCTATGGATCTAATGTAGTTATTTGTATTCTCTTAATGAAGTCCTTAAAAAAAAATAAAAGGGCCAGAGACATAATAAAGCAGGTAAAGCACTTGCCTTGCACATAGCTGACCTGGGTTTGATTCTGGCACCAGGAATGATCCAGGAGCAGAGCCAGAAATAAAAATTTTTTTTGACTTTTTTGGTCACACCTGGCGATGCACAGGGGTTACTCCTGGCTCTGCACTCAGGAATTACCCCTAGCGGTGCTCAGAGGACCATATGGGATGCTGGGAATCGAACCAGGGTTGACCACGTGCAAGGTAAACGCCCTACCTGCTGTGCTATTGCTCCAGCCCCAGAGCCAGAAATAAATTTTGAGATCCACTAGGTAGCACTGTAGCACTGTCCTCCCTTTGTTCATCAATTTGCTCGAGCGGGCACCAGTAATGTCTCCATTGTGAGACTTGTTAGTTTTTGGCATATCGAATACGCCACAGGGAGTTTGCCAGGCTCTGGTGTGTGGGTGGGACACTCTCGGTAGCTGGCCGGGCTTTCTGAGAGGGACAGAGAAATCGAATCTGGGTCGTCAGCGTGAAGGCAAACACCGTACCTGCTGTTCTAATTGATCCGCTGGGTGTAACCTAAAAACAAAGGAAGAAAGGAAGGAAGGCCTAGTACCTCAGGTAGGGCGTTTGTTAGCCTTGCACATGGCCGACCGGGGTTTAGGTTTAATTCCCAGCATCCCATATGGTCCTGGAGCACTGCCAGGAGTCCGGAGTGCAGAGCCAGGGGTATCCCCTGAGCACCAATAGGTTTGGTCCAAGAAACAAAAACAAAGAAACATACCAAAAATACAGAGAAGAAACATGCAGAAGCAGTCAGAGGGATATATGACTTCGAAAGAAAGGCAGAGGCCAGAAAGAGGCCAATGGGCTGAATGCATTGTTCACGGGACTATTCTGTGCTTGGGATCTAATTTAGGCTTCCTGCTTGCAAAGAATGTGCTCCAGTCATCAGAGCTTTCTTTCTGTTACTAATTCATGTGCCTGTGTTTTAAAAACTCTAAATTTGTGGCAATTTGTTACAGTAGCTATGGGAAATAAATTCCAAGACTAAGACAGGTCTGTGGGGCTGGAGTGACAAAAGTATGGCGGGGAGGGTGTTTGCTTTGCACGTGGCCAACCCGGGTTCAATTCCCAGCATCCCATATGGTCCCCCAAGCACCGCCAGGAGTAATTCCTGAGTGCAAAGCCAGGAGTTACCCCTGTGCATCGCCGGTGTGACCCAAAAAGAAAAAAAAAAATTAGGCCTGTTTTTAGAGTTTCCTGCAGTGTTCCTGTTATCTATGCCTGCGTTCCTCTAGTAGTACAGATGACGAAAGGGAAAGCAAGATGGAAACTGAAATATATACACATATATATGTATATGTGTGTGTGTGTGTGTGTGTGTGTGTGTGTGTGTGTGTAGCACAGCGGGTAGAGCATTTGCCTTGCAAGCGGCCAACATGGCCGACCCGAGTTCGATTCCTCTGCCCCTCTCGGAGAGCCCGGCAAGCTACCGAAAGTATCTCGCCTGCACGGCAAAGCCTGGCAAGCTACCCGTGACATATTCCATATGCCAAAAACAGTAACAAGTCTCACAATTTGTTGTGAAATGTTACTGGTGCCCGCTCGAACAAATCAATCAATGAACAATGGGAGGACAGTGCTACAGTGCATATATATATATATATATATATATATATATATATATATATGGCTTAGTTTCCAAATTCAGTCATTTGGAATTATTCCAATTCCTTATCCGTGTGGAAAAGCTAGAGTGGAAGGGCTGGGGATTGCACACAGATTCCTGTCCCAAGAGAAAGGTTACTGGTTAAGTGGCAGAGCACAGACCTTGAAAATGTGAGGCCTTTGTTATAATCCCTGGTACCACAAAGAAAAACAAAACCCCAAAAGTATATAGGGAAATCTATACCGAGTGGTGGGCTCCATTGAGGACTTACTGTTGTTCAGTGGATTTAAAATAATAATGCTCATTTTCTTTTTTTCTCTCAGTATTTATGAATTAGGAATTGGGGAAGAAAATTTTGATTGGTCAGCTTTGCTGGATGCACTTACTGTCAAATTATGGCTAAAATTGGAACAATGGGGAACGGAAGGAGATGAGGACTAACCCAGTTTTTCTCTCCTCGCCTCCCTCCCTAACTGTCCCTGTTCTTGTTCCTGTCTCTGTCACCGACTCGTTCTTTCTCTCTCTCCTCCCACCCACCCCCCACACACCTCTCTAGGGCTTACCTATATCCATGAAGTCTCTTTGTAGAGGCTTCTTTTCCCTCACAGCATGACAGCCTTCAGGCTGCAGTAGCCAGTTCCATAATTATCTCAGTTATTTCCAGCCCCTGGCTTATACATACCATTGTGCAATCTCTTCTTTCACTCTGCAGAGTCCATCTGTTCAAATAAGATAGTACATAAAAGACAGTTGTGACTTTGGAGGCTGTCAGAGATGTTGCTGTTTCCATCTCATTCACTCAGTCTGGGTGAATCCAGTTGCCATTTTATTAGGATGTTAAGGAACCTAGGAAGAGGTTTACTCAGCAAGGAAAGGGGCTGCACTCATTATCCCGGCCTGGGAGACACCCACCTGAAAGTGGATTTTCTGGTACCAGTTCAAGTCATCTAATGATGTTGTTTTAGCTATCATGTTTTTAAAAATTAAACGTTTGTGGGGGGGGTCACACCCGGAGATGCTCGGGATTAATCCTGGCTCTGCACTCAGGAGTTATTCCTGGCAGTGCTTGGAGGACCATATGGGTACTGAGGGGTTGAACATGCAAGGTCAGTGCCTTATCCACCTTACTATCTCTCCAATCCATTTGTTATTTGTGGGGGGGCACATCTGTCAGTACCCAGGGCTTACTCCTGGCTCTACACTCAGGAATTACTCCTAGTGGGGTTCAGGGGACCATATAGGGTGCTGGAAATTGAACCCGGGTCAGCTGTGTGCAAGGCCCTACCTGCTATACTCTCTCTCCAGACCTCATCTCAATATCTTCACTGTAACCTCAGGGGAAACTTTGAGGCAGAATCACTGAGCTGAATTCTGACCCAAGAAGTGTGAGATGGGTCAGAGGGATCCCTGGCAACACCGTGTTGCTCCTCCATCCCACCCACCCCCACAAAAAAGTGTGAGAGATCATAAACACCATCAGTTAAACAATTAGTTTTATTTGGGGCGGCAATTTGTCACATAGCAGTAGATGGTTACCACAGGCGATAGGACTGTTTTGCTGTTGTTTGGTGTGTTTGTAGTTGGCGGTGTCCAGAATCCACCTGACAGTCCCGCACGGGAAAAGCCGATGCTTCTAGCTAAGCAACAGCATCACCTGGTGCTTGTGATTTTAAAGAGGATGATCACGGGAGACAGGACAGTGTTGTGAAATGAGGTGGTGTTTGCCTTGCCTGCAGCCATCGCAGTTTGATCCCCAGGACTACAGAGAGTGAGCACAGAGCTGAGAGTAATCCAAGCACTACCAAGTTCAGCCTCAAGCCCCAAATTAAAGAGGACGATCAGTATGGGCTCTACTCAGCAGACACACAGGCAGAAGCCTGAAGGAAACTGCTCCTGTATGTACAGTGTACTGTGAGCACTGCAGAAAAGTACTGGGGAAAGGTTCAGACAGAGGCTCTGCCCCACCCCCGGCGCCCCACCCCAGCTAGTGAGGCCCTCAGGTCCCAAAGCAGAAAGTGTCTGGATGGGGACTGGAGCTATAGTACATCGGGTAGGGCGTTTACCTTGCACGCGGCCGACCCCAGTTCAATTCCCAGCATCCATCCCATATGGTTCCCTGAGCACCGTCAGGAGTAATTCCTGAATGCATGAGCCAGGAGTAACCCCTGTGCATCGCCGGGTGTGACCCAGAAAGCCCCCCCCCCCAAAAAAGAAAAGAAAGACAAGTATTTTATTTTTTTGTTTATAATTTTATGTTTTTATGAAAGCACCTTGAGTTACAAAATTCTTCACAGTTGGGTTTTTGACAACTATATAATGTTTTATACAATGTTTCATCACTAACATCAACTTCCCTCCACCAGTGTTCCAAGGTTTCCTCTTATACCTGCCCATCCCAGCTCCAGCCTGCCATATTTACAGGCATCTTTTACATTTAGTTATTGAAGTTTGGGTTTTTTGTTTTCATTGTTGTTTACTTTGTGCTTTTGGGTATTTAGTTCTATCATTCTTTTTTATATAGTTTTTTAATTTTTATTAGTGAGACACCATGAGGTACAGTTGTAGACTCACAAATTTTTGTGCTTGGGTTTCAATTATACAATGATCAAATACCCATCCCTCCACCAGTGCCCATTTCCCACTACCACGGATCCCAGTATCCCTCCCACTCCCATCCCCCGCATCCCACCCTGCCTCTGTGGCAGGGCATTCCTTTTTGTTCTCTCTCCCCTTTTGGGTATTGTGGTTTGCAAAAGAGGCACTGATTGGCAATCATGTTTGGTCTATAGTCTACTTTCAGCATGCTTCTCCCATCCTGGGAGGATCCTCCCAACACCCTTTATTTGGTACTCCCGTCTCTGAGCTCCCTTTTCCCCTAGCACATGTGGCTGGCCTCCAAGTCATGGAGCAAAATTCCTGGTACTAATCTCGGCCATTCTTGGGTGTTAGTCTCCCGTTTTGTTGCTTTATGTTTGCCAGATGAATGCAATCTTTCTATGTCTATCCCTCTCTTTCTGACTCATTTCGCTTAACATGATACTTTCCATGTAGTACCACTTGTATGTAAATTTCATTACTTCATCTTTTCTAACAGCTACATAGTACTCCATTGTATAAATGTACCAAAGTTTCTTTAACCTACTGTGTATTCTTTCTTTTTGGGGTGTAAAGCCCTGTATAGGTCTATAAACCCTTTCTCTTCTACTTCTTCTTTCAAAGCCAGTGATTCCTTGCTGAGTTTTGTTCTTGTTGATCTCTCCAGAGGTGATAAGGCGATGTTGAAGTCTCCAACTACTATTGTGTTGCTAGCAATGCCATCCTTAAAATCTGTTAGCAGTTGTTTTAAGTATTTAGCTGTTCCCTCATTAGGTGCGTATACATTTAAGAGTGTGATTTCTTCCTGTTGTACGTATCCCTTGATGAAGAGAAAATAGCCTTCGCTGTCCCTTCTAATTTTTTTCAACGTGAAATTTAATGTTGTCAGATACTAGTATGGCCACTCCAGCTTTTTTTGAAGGAGCTGTTTGCTTGTAGGATTGTTTTTCCATCCTTTCACTTTGAGTCTGTGTTTGCTCTGACTGTTGAGATGAGTTTCTTGTAGGCAGAAGAATGTTGGGTTCTGTCTCTTGGGTCCTGTCTCTGTATCCATTTTGCCACTCTGTGTCTCTTAAATGGTGAATTTAGACCACTGACGTTGAGAGATTACTGTTATGGGGTTTTGGTCATCTTTTTGTAAGGGTGTGTTGTGGTCGTGGGATTTGGAAAGAAAAGTATTTTAATCTTATGGTCTGTTACAGCATGTCTGTTACAGCATCTGTAAAATAGGGGCACTAGTATCTACTTCCGGGGTGGTTGTGGCAATGAACAGAGCTCAACCACAAGCAACAATGTGTGCTCTGAGAGAGTGACTGCATGCTGGGCCACCCTCTGCCACCAGGAGGCAGCAGCTGACAGGGTCAGATGGGGTGAGGCCCTTCCCAGCTCCCAACATCCCCATAGCCACTGATTCTCAGGCTGCCCCTCTCAGAGCACACTGTCCTCACCACCAGAAGCACCCTTTCCCTCCCTCTGTGAGTCCCACAGCTGCGTGGGCTCCTGTCCAGAGTACTCCCATGGCTGGGGATGCGGCTCTGTAGCAGAAAACGTGCGTCCCCTGGGGAGGTCCTGGGATTAGTTGCCTGCACTGGAAAAAAGAAAAACAAAAGGAGAAGCAAAAGAGGAGAAGGAGAAGGAGAGGCCAGAGCTCTTGTGCTGTGGGTGAGGCATTTGCCTTGCGTGAGACTGACTCAGGTTCAATCTCCAGCACCCCATCTGGTTCCCGAGCCTTCCAGGAGTAAGTCCTGAGCACCTCCAAGTGTGACCCCAAAACAAAACAACTGTAGCACTGTAGAACTGTCCTTCCGTTGTTCATTGATTTGCTGGAGCGGGCACCAGTAACGTCTCCATTTGTGAGACTTGTTGTTACTGTTTTTGGCATATCGAATACGCCATGAGGAGTTTGCCAGGCTCTGCCATGCGGGCTGGATACTCTTGGTAGCTTGCTGGGCTCTCCAAGAGGGATGGAGGAATCAAACCCGGGTCGGCTGTATGCAAGGAAAACGCCCTACCCACTGTGCTATTGCTCCAACAAGAAACCTGGAATATTTCCAGGATTCTGGGGTAAGGGTAGGGGAAGGGGGCATGATAGAAGGTATAGGGATGGGGGGCTGATGAGGAAACCCCAAGACTTGGACACGCCCATGGTGCAGACAGGGCTGCAAGGCTATTCCCTACTTTGGCATCACTCTAAGCAGTGCTTCAGACCAGGTGGTGCTGGGACTCAAACCCAGGGACTTTACCATGGAGCTGGGACCCGCGGAGTCCCTTTGTCTGAAAACATTCCCCCAACTCTCAGGTAGGTGAGCCTTGGGGAAGGATCACACCTATTTTATTTTTGGTTTTGGTTTTGGGGCCATACTTGCCAATGAGCAGGGATTACTCAGCATTTTTCATCCCTTTTTAATCCCTAGCTCTGCATGTTCTCCCATGCACCATGGGGCGCAAGCCCCGGGTCATGAGCTGGGAGTAACTCCTGAGCACCTCAACTTGTGACCCCCTGGATGAATAACAACAAAAAGTTTTAAATGGAGGCAGATAGATAAGTGAAAGGGCTGGAACACATGATTGGCATGCAGAAACCTCAGGACCAATGCCTCCTACCACATGGTACTCAAGAGTGCTGCTGGGAGTGACCCCTAAGCACCAAGCCAGTTGTGGCCCCCCCAAACCAAAACTCAAATTTGTTTTTTAGTCTATCCCCTGTGGTGCTCAGGATTTACTACAGGTTCTGTATTCAGGGATTACTCCTGGAGGGATCAGGGGACCATATGGGATGCTAGGGACTGAACCTGGGTCAACCAGGCAAATGCCCTACCTGCTGAAGTAGTATTCTGGCCCCAAAACCCAACATTTTAAAATGGAGTTAGTGAAGCAGGTGACATCTTTGGAGCACAAAGGTAATTTTTAAAATAGCCGTGGGGCTGGAGCAATAATATAGTGGGTAAGGCACTTTCCTTGCATGTGGGTTGATCCCTGGCACTCCATATGGTGCCTTGAGTTCTGCCAGGAATGATTCCTGAGTGCAGAGTCAGGAGGAAGCCCTGAGCACAGCTGGGTGTGGTCCAAAAATCAAATTAAAATTCTAGGACAAAATTTACTTAGCACTGAATGCAGTCATGTTTGGGACTGGAGACAAATAGTATAGCAAGTAGGGCGTGTGCCTTGCACAAGGCTGACCTGGGTTCAATCCCTGGCTCTCCATATGGTCCCTGGAACCCCCAGGAGTCATCCATGAGCTCAGAGCCAGGAGTAAGTCCTGACTGCCACTAGGTGTGCTCCTCCACCCAACATAGTTACAAAATCTGTAACCATGGTTAAAAAAAAAAAGATCTAGTAAACACACACATCGATGTGCACACATAGACACAAAGGTACAGAGTCTCTTGCTCCTCTCACTTCCTATTTGGAAAAAATAACAGTCTTCTATTTGGGGAGGATGGTGTTACGCCACATTTAGCGATGGTCAGGGATCACTCCTGGAGGTGCTCAGGAGACCATATGCGGTCTCAATGCTCAACCAGGTGGACCACATGCAGGAAAGCACTCAACCCACTGAATCTCTTCAGTTCACGATAAGTACCTAAATTTCTGTACTATCTCTTGACCCACACAGTAGTTTTTAACTTGCCACAAACAATTTGAGGCTGAACTGGGATCTGATCTAAGCAATTTAGTTTCCCCCAAAATCAGTCAATATATGAAAGGAGACTGGGTTGGGGAAGACGCCTCTAAAGGCTGGAGTAGTGGACTTCATGCCCAATTCAATCAGCTTAACCAATAGCTGAATAAATAGCAGTAAATAATTTTAAAAAAAGGGCGGAAGTGCATGCTTTGCAGTGAGGGAGCCCTGGGTTTAATCCTTGGCTCCCATAGTCGCCTGAGCACTGAACCAGGGGTAGCTCCTGAATACTGCCCAGTGTGGCCCAAACATGAGAAGGAAGGAAAGGAAGAAAGGAGGGAAGCCAAGAAAGGAAAGGAGGAGAGAAAATAAAAAAGACGGAGATCTTGGGGAAGAATAATTCAGTCTGGGGACCCGTGCTTTACATCTGAAGAGTCTTCTCGCCCTTTCTCATTTCGCTCCCAGGGAGAGCAGGTGACAAGAGGCACCGAGAGGACACAGGCAACTGCAAGCTACCTAGGGGTCTGGAGCAAGAGCGGGACAGCGATGGAGCGCACGTCCTCCTCGCTGGACTACAACTCCCAGGAGGCACCGGGCGCCCACAGCCCCGCGACGTCACAGCGCCCGAAGGCGCAGGCGGCTCGGCTACCCCCGCCTGTCGACCGTTCGGGCTGTTCCGCTCGGACCCCGGCCCGGGCTCTGGCCCCGCGGTAAGTGGAGTATCGGTACCGGCGCTGCCCGTGGAAGCTTCGTAACACGCACCCGCAGCCTCCGCCATGGGGCTGAACTGGGGGTGTACTTGGACCGGGGTGCAAGAGGGAGGGATCTCTCATCTACCATATGGGGGTACCCGGGCGAATCAAGTGCCCCTTGTAAGGGGAGCCAGATGGAAACCCCCAAGTCGCAGCCGGGGGCGGTGGGCCCCCGGCGCACAGTGCAGTGCCCTGGAGCACGTACGCAGGCCGGGCTTCGGCGCCGGGTGTAGAGACTGGCGGGGGTCAGCCCCGCCCCCCGAATGAGGGGGCCGGAGGGAGGCCGGGTGAGGGTTTCCTGCCGGCTGGGTCTGAGATCGTTAGGGCGCGCCTCGAGTAGAACGACAGGATCTCGGGGAAGCGGGGTGGTCAAGGGTCGCTCTGGGCGCGGGGGGAGATGGCCAAGGGGGTGGTCAGGGGTTGCCGTGCCCACGTGATGATGTGGGGCTGCTGGACTCGAAGCTTGACAAGGGCCCCTTCTCCCCGGATAGATGGGAGCGGCTCCCCGGGGGCTGAGCTTGGCAGCACCGTTCGCCGGCCCTCATCCCTGAGGCCACAGAGGAGCCCTGTCCACCCACACCCTCGACCTTCTTGGCCCGTTTTGGGGTGGCCTGGGCCTGCCTGGTCTGCAGCCGTAGTGGTCGCCTGTCCCGACAGAGGAGATGATCCTGGCGTCCGTGCTGGGGGGCGGCCCCCGGGGGGGGCCTCCACTCCGGCCCCTCCTGGTGCCCGCACTCTCGCTCCGCGCCCGCTCCACCTCGGTCACCGACGCTCATCACCTGGAGATGGCCCGGGAACGCTCCAAGACTGTCACCTCCTTTTACAACCAGTCGGCCATCGACGTGGCAGCGGAGAAGGTGCACACACAGCAGGCAGGGAGGCTAGGGCCAGGGGCTGGAGCGGGTGCCCAGGAGAAAGGGTGGGGCCGGAGGTGCTGGAGGTCCCCCCGTTCAAAGCCAATCCCACCCCCAGCCCTCCGTCCGCCTCACTCCAACCATGATGCTGTACTCCGGGCGCTCTCAGGATGGCAGCCACCTTCTGGTAAGATTTCTGGCTCCTTTCCTTTTCTCTTGGTGCCTGGAGCTCCGGCCCAGCCACTCAGCCCTCGACTCGCCTTTCCTCTTCTAGAAAAGTGCCCGTTACTTGCAGCAAGAGTTGCCCGTGAGAATCGCTCACCGCATCAAGGGCTTCCGCAGCCTCCCCTTCATCATTGGCTGCAACCCCACCATACTGCACGTGGTAAGGCGGCCTCCAGGGGGCGCCGGTTTCCCTGGTAGAAAGAGCCCGGCATCTGTGTGGCTACTGCCCAGGAGGCAAAGGGGGAGAAGGAACCCGAGTGCAGACTTGCCTGCCAAAAGGTTTCTGGGTCATAGGGGACTCAGACCACAGCCTTCACAAGCCAAGACTGCATGTTCTCAGATGCTTCCAAGGCAACGATGGGCGGCTGAGGCGGATGGCAATCCCCATGGGTAAGCATGGGTGACTGCTCTGGACTCAGTGCCCAGAATTGCTACACCTCTTCCTTGCAGCACGAGCTGTACATCCGTGCCTTCCAGAAGCTGACAGACTTTCCTCCGGTGAGGGCTGGGTAAGGGCGGGGGGAGCGGGGGTGGCTGCGCTGACAGGGCTGGACCACCTATGCTCATGATTCTGTGCCCCAAAGATCAAGGACCAGGCGGATGAGACCCAGTATTGCCAGCTGGTGCGACAGCTGCTGGATGACCACAAGGACGTGGTGACTCTCTTAGCTGAGGGTCTGCGCGAGAGCCGGAAGCACATAGAGGTCAGGGGCAGCACAGTGTGGGTCAACACCTATTTTGGGGGGGGGGGGGCGGGAGCAGGGAAGAGCATAGCGTTTCTGAGGCCCTACACTTTACAGGATGAGAAGCTCGTCCGCTTCTTCTTAGACAAGACGCTGACTTCACGACTCGGAATCCGCATGCTGGCCACACATCATCTGGCACTGCATGAGGACAAGGTGGGGTGCTAGGGACTGAGAAGGCCCCTTGGGCAGGGGGCCTTGGATCCCGGGCCTGGGGAGAGGCTGGCACTACTTCAGCGGTTCAGGGGTGGCAGTGAAGGAGCCATCTAGTTCCGATCTCTTTCTCTCGCCAGCCTGACTTCGTAGGCATCATCTGCACTCGCCTTTCACCAAAGAAGATTATTGAAAAGTGGGTGGACTTCGCCAGGTGAGGCCAGAGCAGCTGAGGGGGTGGATGCTTCCCAAAGGGGAGGTTGGCTCTGAGCCCTTGCCCAAAGCATGTTCTAGGCCACTTGGTTCTTCAGCTGTGGCACAATGAAGATTTGGGGAGAGATAATTCATTTTGGTCAGGGACCAAAACTGTAGGAATTTTAAGAGAATCCCTGGCTCCTATAGGCACATGATCTATTCCCTAGTTATGAGAACCAAATGTCCTTAGGAATTGCACCTTTTGGGAGGGGGAAGAGGAGCAGAACAGCCTCTAGCTGAGAACCACTGATCTAGGTCTAAACACCTGCTCCTCACTGCAGGCGCCTGTGTGAGCACAAGTATGGCAATGCCCCCCGGGTCCGCATCAATGGACATGTGGCTGCCCGATTCCCCTTCATCCCTATGCCGCTGGACTATATCTTGCCTGAACTGCTCAAAAATGCCATGAGGTAGGTTAGCTGGATATGCAGAAGGTGGACAGGAACTGGCGTGAGGTTGTGCTTCCACCACTTATTGGTCTTTCTCCTCTGCATAGAGCCACAATGGAGAGTCATCTAGACACTCCCTACAATGTCCCTGATGTGGTCATCACCATTGCCAACAATGATATTGATCTCGTTATCAGGTTTGCGCTGTGTGGGAGTGGGTTAGGGAAGAGTGGGGTTCCAGGCTCCATTTCTGACTTACTGTGTGGGCTGGAGCCAATACCTCACCAGAGAGACCTGATCCCCACTGGACAGGTGTTCTCTGGAACCGGGGAGGTGACTCAGTGGTAGAGCACATGCCTTGCATGTGAGAAGTCCTGGGATTGTCACAAGATGGATATGAATGGATCTGGGGCCAGCCACAGGCCCTGGGGCCCTGCCTTTATTGACAGTGGGGGACCTGGGATGGTGAAAGATTGAGGAGTCATCAGTTTAGGCTGAGGATAATTGTCAAATCCTCTGAGAAGGTTTAAGCAGTCAGTAGCCCAGGCAAAGGTGAAGAAACATAGCTTTATGAAGAACAAGGGTCAGGCCCAGTCCCAGAGAGAGATGAGGCCAATCATGGTTCAAGATCCTGGCACTGTATGTGGTCCTCAGCAGTGCAGAGAGCAGGAATAGTCCTAGAGCACTGCTAGCTGTGGCCCCCAAACCCAAGAAAGTCAGAAGAAAATCTGTTACCTCCTAAGTATTCAATAAATTATATCATTATGATTACTTGGGGGGCATTGGGCCACACTTGGCGGTCCTCGGGGCTTACTTCTCAGGGACGACTCCTTGGTGGCCTTGGGGGACCATATGGGGTGCCTGGGATCAAACCCCAGTTTGCCTTGTGCAAGGCTGGCATCCTATGCACTGTACTTATCACTTCAGCCCATATTATTGTTAAAAGTTTAGGCATTTAGGGGCTAGAGAGTTAATATAGCATGCCTTGTATGTGGCTGACCTGGGTTCGATATCCATCATCCCATATGGTCCCCAGATCGCTACTAGAAGTAGTTCTTGAGCTCTGAGCCAGGAGTAAACCCTGAGCAAGTTTGGTGTGTTCCCAAAAACAAAAAAAAAAAATTCAGGCATGTAGACGGACACATCTCACCTATGGATGGAAGGCACAGGAAGGCAGACTCTGTTGGCTTGAAATTAGTGAGTCGTGTCCCCTTCCCGTGTTAACATCCTGCCAGGATTTCAGACCGGGGCGGGGGCATCGCTCACAAAGACCTGGATCGAGTTATGGACTACCACTTCACGACAGCTGAGGCCAGCACGCAGGACCCCCGGATCAGCCCACTCTTCGGCCACCTGGACATGAACAGTGGTGGCCAGTCAGGACCCATGCACGGGTAAGAGGCCACCTGCCAGTTTGGAGGGGTGGGCGTCCAGGAGGATCAGCCTCTCAGCTCTGTTATGTGTCCCTGCCCCCGCCCAGGTTTGGCTTTGGACTGCCCACGTCCCGGGCCTACGCCGAATACCTTGGTGGTTCCCTTCGGCTGCAGTCCCTGCAGGGCATCGGCACGGATGTCTACCTGCGGCTCCGTCACATTGATGGCCGGGAGGAGAGCTTCCGTATCTGATCCACGGCCCTTGGCCTGCTTGCAGCCCAGTCTGGGCCTTACCCCTTGCCAGGACCTTCAGGGCCAGGCAGGGCGCCTCCTTGCTCCACGCACTGCTGCATCTTGGGTCTTAGAGCCCCAAACAGACGGACTCCATGGAGCCAGGCACCACTGTCCTCCGAAGAATCACCTGCTTCCTGCCCTGGGCCGTGCAGGGAGGAAGGGGGGCCTTCTGATAAGGTCTCCAGCACCAGCTCCATCATTGTTGTTTCTGGGAACCCCAATTTTGACCTGCTGTTTGTTATTAAAGTTCACATTATGAATGCCCTCTTGGTCCCCATGTATGGGGAGGGCAGTGAACTTTTTATTTCCCCCTCCATTCAGGGCCTCTGGGCCCTTGGGTTTAACTTTTCGTGCCCTCGCCTCTGTCCTGCCAGCCTGAAGACAGCAAGCTGGCTCCAAGCCCTCTGCTTATTTGCTCTGGCAGGTGGGGGGGGGGGGGTGACTGGCAGTGTGTGCAAAGGCCTTTTATTCATTTAGCAAATATTTCTGGGTTTAGACATTATTGAAGGCCTGGGCTGGCACAGCTTGGAAACTCAGTTCTAACTCTTCCCTTCCTGGCAGTCTAGAGGTGAAGGTTAGGGTAACCTTCTGAGCCACCTGACTCCTGAGCTGGAATCAGGTTAAAAATACCACCAGCCAGCTGTGCCTGCTGCTGCCAAGGAAAGACACATGTGAGGCCCTGGTGTCTTCAGCAGAGACACACACACACACATACACACACACACACACACACACACACACACACACACACACACACATGGACAGTGTCAGATAGCAGGTGGCACTCCAGTTCGTCTGCCAGGAAAGAAAGACTTGGTGGCTTCAGCAGGGATTCACACACACACACACACACACACACACACACACACACTCACAGCATGTGGAACTCCAGTACACACACACACACACACACAGTCAGACAGCACGTGGAACTCCAGTTCGTCTGCCAGGAAAGAAAGACCTGGACCTGAGCGTCTGCTTGGTGGGCTGGGAGGGGGCTGGGGGATTCAGGGAGATGGGGACTATATCCAGGAGTCAAATGCCAGGTGGTGGAAACATAAAGTAAAAACTTGCCAGATAGGGCTGGAGCAATAGTACAGTGGGTAGGGCGTGTGCCTTGCAAGCAGCTAACCCGGGTTCAATCCCCATCATCCCATATGGTCCCCAGAGCACCACCAGGAGTAATTCCTGAGTGCAGAGCCAGGAGTAACCCCTGTGCAACGCTGGGTGTGACCCAAAAAGAAAAAAATAATAAAAAGAACTTGCCAGACAGTACAGCAGTTAGGGAGTTTGCCTTGAACACCAACCCGGGTTTGATCCCTGGCATCACATATGGTCCTGAAAGCACCACCAGGAATGATTCCTGAGTGCAGAGCCAGCCATATGTGGCTCCCGAACTAATAACAAAAACCCTTTCCAGGCTGAAAATAATGCTGATGGCAGTTGTGGGAGTGGTGGTGAGGGTGTTGTAGGGTTGTAGGCAGCAGTGAAGGCTAAGAAGCACCGGCCTTCTTGAGGCAGCTGGGGCCCACAGGTAAAAGCTAAGAAAGGATATTTCAAGTTGAATTCTCTAGGAGCATACAAGAGAAGAAGGATCTGTGTCCAAGAGATGTGCTGGGAGAGGTCCCATATGGAAAAGAGGGAGTAGGGGAGGTGGGAAAGGGCAGAACTTAGGCAAAGGTCTAAAAGTTCAAACCCAGTAAATTCTGCATAGGAGCTGGAAGAAAGAGTGACAGTTAAATTCTGAATTAGGAAGTGGGGTGGAGAAGTATTTAAACTCCCAGGCTGAAAAGTTTTTAGTTGTTTGAGCCAAAACCGCTCCAGCAGCCTGTGGAGCAGTTCCCCAAAGAGTCAAGAATAAACCTGGAGGGGCTGGAGTGATAGCACAGCGGGTAGGATGTTTGCCTTGCACGCGAACCGACCCGGGTTCGATTCCCAGCATCCCATATGGTCTCCCAAGCACCGCCAGGAATAATTCCTGAGTGCATAAGCCATGAGTAACCCCTGTGCATCACTGGGTGTGACCCCCAGAAAAAAGCAAAGGGGCTGGAGCAATAGCACAGTGGGTAGGGCGTTTGTCTTGCATGCGGCCGACCTAGGTTCGATTCCCAGCATCCCATATGGTCCCCTGAGCACCGCCAGGGGTAATTCCTGAGTGCAGAGCCAGGAGTAACCCCTGAGCATCACCGGGTGTGACCCAAAAATCCAAAAAAAAAAAAGCAAAAAATCAAAACAAAACCAAGAATAAACCCCGAGCACCTAGTGTGCCCCAAACAAAATGAAAAACACAAAGTACATCCATGATAATCTGGGCACACAGAAGCAACAGAATGACTCCAGGGGTTAGAGAGACAGTAATGGAGTCACGAAGCACATAGCCGGGCTGGAGCAATAGCACAGCAGGTAGGGCGTTTGCCTTGCACGCGGCCAACCCGGGTTTGATTTCCAGCATCCCATTTGGTCCCCCAAGCACCACCAGGAGTGGTTCCTAAGTGAAGAGCCAGGAGTAACCCCTGTGCATTGCCAGGTGTGACCCAAAAAGCAAAAAAAAAAAAAAAAAAAAAAGCACATAGCAGCCCTTTCTATCACTAGCCATGCAGGTCCTACCAAACACTGCTCCATATGACCCAGATAATATCTGGGTCACGGGGTGGGGGGCTCTCCTGTTGAATCACCACACAGAATGGTAGGGAAAAGATCCCGGGCTTCCAGATCACTACTTGGGGGTGGTCCCTCCAGAAAAGACCTACGGGATCTGGCTGAATCATCACCTATGTCTAGGCTTTAGGAGATATAGTCAGACTTTGACAAAGAATGCCCGGGGCTGGTGGTGGTGGCAGTGGGGGATTGATGCAGTGACTGATGAGGAATTTAGAAAGGGCAGCTTTAATTATCGAAGCTGTTGGATGAAGGGAAACATGAGGCACTAAAACTCTGGGGAAACTGAGTAACAATCTTGAGAACAGTGGGTGGAGTGGAAGGCAGTTTTAATTTTGTGCCTGACAGTGCTCTGTTTCTGGTGCTATTAGGCATTTGACGTTATCCCTAATTTCTTTGTATCTCCAAGGTCAAGTTACCAGCACTACTGGCTGCCACTGCGACCCCGGCCCCACACACTCCCCAATACCTAACAGACATTTGCATAGGGGCCATTCCTGGTCAGTGCGACTATGTGCAGTACTGGGGAAAGGGCCTGGTCTCCATATGCAGAACAAGTGCTTATTCCCTGTACTACTCTCCAGTCCCTATTATTTCTTGATCTGTAAACTCGGGGCCCCATCCTCAGGCCTGGAGCATCCCATTGCTTAGAATTACTTCTCAGGAGCTAGAGTGACAGCACAACGGGTAGGGTGCTTGCCTTGCACACGGCCGACCGGGGTTCAATTCCCAGATCCCATATGGTCCCCTGAGCACCGCCAAGAGTGATTCCTTGGTGCAGAGCCAGGAATGACCCCTGAGAATCGCCAGGTGTGACCCCCCCCCAAAAAAAAATTAACTTCTCAGGCAAATAACACAAGTCAAAGAAGATTCAGTGGTCAATGGTGGGACTGGAGATATAATACAGCTGATAAGGCACTTACGGGCCAACCCAGGTTCAATCCCCGGGACCCCAGATGGTTGCGCGGCACCAGAATGATCCCTGACAGGGCCAAGAGTAAGACGGAAACCCCTAGTACTGCCATGTGGGGGAAAACAAAAAACTTCAGCGGCCAAAGAAAGTGGAATACCTACGTTGGCACCGTGCCAGTACTTGTGTTATAATGCGTGAAACAGACAGATGTACGTAAGAGCGGTCTGTGGCTTGTACAGCTCTAGAGTCTAACTTCGACCCATGTTCTGAGAATGGACACGCTTGGACAACTTACCCAGCGAAGGGCCAAACCCAGAGTTCCTCAATCACTAAGCCAAGACGCACTCCATTAGGTCCACCGCCTTTGGCTGGCTTCGTTTGAGGGGGCTTCAGGGGAGGGGGTTAGCCCTTCGGAGAGGCTGACTTAGTGAGGAATTTACTGGCAATCTCTGGACACACCCGTCCTGCTTCCCCCACCACATTGAATCCTTTCTCCATCGAGAACACGGAGGGCGGTTGCTTCGTCTCTCCCACTTTCGGAAAACGGGTGGCAGGGATCAAGGGAGGCGCGCGGGTGGTCGCCCCGCAGGATAAACCCGCAGCTGCGGGCGCGGAGGAGGGCGCCGCAGCCAATCAGCGGCCGCCACCTCACAGGCCCGCCCCCGAGCCGCAGGCCGCCTCGGCCACGCGTCTGTGACCCGGATGTACAAAGCGTTGCACGGCGCCAAATTCGGCGTCACTTCCAGTACAGCAATGGCGGCACCGGGAGCAACGACGGCCGTTGCGGCGGCGGCGGCCTCGGGGGTCGCGGGGGAGGGCGAGCCCGGGCCTGCGGTGAGTGCGGCGGTCGAGGGAGCCGCCCCGTCCCCGGGCCGCGTCTCCCCGCCGACCCCGTCCCGCGGCGAGCCGGAAGTCACCGTGGAGATTGGGGAAACATACCTCTGCCGAAGACCGGATAGCACCTGGCGTGAGGGCGGGGCCCAGGGCTGGCGGCGGGGGCGGGGCGTGGGAACGGGCTCGCGGGGCCGCGGGGGCGGGGCTTGCCGGGAGAACTCGGCGTTGAGCTTCGTCGGGATTTGGGCTACGTCCGACTCACATCAGGCGGACGCCAAGTCCTCAGTCTAGAGAGCCCGGGTTTTTCCGGGTCCGACGGTTTATTCCGCTTTCTTGCTAACCCTGACTGCTCTCGTCTCTGCTCCTTCCCCGTCTCCTTCCCTATAAGCCCCAGATTCCTTTGGAGGGATTCCATCACGGTAACAACCGTTTTCTGGCCACTCTGCCGGAGACCATTGCGAGACCACGCTGCACCCTCTGAAAAGCACACCCCCTGGGCCTTCTCGCGGGGATATTCTTTCTTGTCTTTCTCCTTGCTCATCTGGCTAGTTGCTACTCATCCATTTAACATGTCCCCTTTGACGCCATTCTTGACTCCCTTCGGGCAAAGTGAGTTGTTCCCTCCCGCAACATTTTCTTCATACCGCAGCCATAGTAATGTGGCATTATATTGCAATTATCTGTGTCTTCCTCTGTCAAAATGGAAATTTCTGGATGACATGTGACTCACTGCTATATCCTCTGAATCCAGCAATGCCAGACATGCAGTGGTTATTTATTGAATGGGTTGCTAGTTGTGGGTGCTATAGGCATTAACTCAGCCTCTGAAATGGGCATATTATGCTTGTTTTACAAGTGAAGAAACCGAGGCTCCAAAGGCCAAATATCAGTTACGTATAAACTAAAGTTGTCTGAATCTGTAGCCAGCCCTGGTACTAAATAAATGAACAACCGGGTAAAGTAAAACTGCAGAATCTGGGGCTGGAGATTTAGTACAAGGTTTGAGGCATTTGCTTTGCTTGCTGCTGACCAGGGTTTGGATTCCTGGCACCATATTATGTACCCTGAGGACTGCCAGGAGTGATCCCTGAGCACAGAGCCAGGTATAATAAGCCCTGAGCAATGTCATATGTGCTCCCCAAGCCAGAAAACAACAAAAACAGAAACCGCAGAATCTAGAGCTGAGCTTAAACTCAATTGAGAATGAGTTAGTTATCTCTTCAAATCTATAAGAGGGGGTTATTCTTTGTTTTCCCATCTGTAAGAGAAGAATAACTCAACCTGATCTAGTCTGTAGGAAACGCAGATGTGACAGATGAGGTGCCCTTACTTGTAGCCCTGGAATCTGAAAATCATTCCCCATGGTAAAATTGCCTCTTGTTCCAGCTTCATTTTCCATCTTGTTGGTTCTAGCCATTTTTTCCCTTTCATGTTTTTCTTCTTCAGATTCTGCTGAAGTGATCCAGTCTCGGGTGAATGATCAGGAGGGCCGAGAGGAATTCTATGTGCACTACGTGGGCTGTGAGTCACTTGGGGTACCTGGGCCTGGGTTGGGGGAGTGGGATGGAAGGGCAGCACTCTGATGGCCCATCCTCACAGTTAACCGACGGCTGGATGAATGGGTAGACAAGAATCGGCTGGCGCTGACTAAGACAGTGAAGGATGCTGTGCAGAAGAACTCAGAGAAGTACCTGAGCGAGCTGGCTGAGCAGCCTGAGCGCAAGATCACTCGCAACCAAAAGCGCAAGCACGATGAGATCAACCATGTGCAGAAGGTCCGGGGCCCTTCCTTTACCCCTTCCCGGTGCCCCAAGAGGCTGAGCGGCCTCTCGCAACTCCCTTATGCCAAAATCGTAGCAGCTTCCGTTTTTTTAGCTTACACTGTATCTGGGACCTGCCCTTTCTCACGCATGTGCAGGTGAGAAAATCAAGGCTCAGAGAGATCCAGGGCTTGGCCACAGTCTCGCATCAAGGAAAGCACAGTCAGGACTGGAACACAGGCCTCTTGCTTGGCTGCCTCCTTGTCTCTGATTGGCTGAAACACTTTAGACGAAAGTCCAAAGGGCTGGAAGAGAACAAGTGTCACATTGAAGACTTGTTGCCACCAAGCACTAAGGGACGTTTTAAGCTTATCAAGTCCTCCCTAACAATTCACCACAGGGATTTTTTATTTTTATTTTATTTTATTTTTTTTGGTGCATGGGGAAGCAAGCTCAGAGAGGTAGGTTAAGTGACATGCCTGAGGTCGCAGGGCTTATAAAAGGGTGGGCTAAATTAGAATAATAATGCCAAACATTTATTGGCTTGTGAGCCAGAATATTGGGTTAAGTATTTTAATACCTGCTCCCTCTGTGGTTTCTCTGACCCTGTGAGGTGAGCATTATTATCTCCACTCTGCTGGGAGGAGCAGAAGGATTTAACAAGATTGTCCTTCTTCAGGGCACAAGCCTGTAACCATGACTTTGATACATCATAGAAATCAGACCATTTGCTCCCAAGTTATGGATTCCTTTCACCAAGTCTGCCTGCCTTGGGGGGGGTTACTTTCCTCCCCCTCTGAGTTTCAGTTTCTTTGGGGGTGGGGGCCACATCTAGTGATGTTCAAAAGACTATGCAGTGCCAGGGATTGAACCCTTATTTAAAGCATGCATCCTTTGAGCTATTTCCCTGGCCCAGATTATTTAAAATTGTATTATTTTGGGGGTTATCTCCAGTGGTGATCAGGGCTTAGTCCTAGCTCCAAGCTCAGGGATACTCTTGGCAGGCTCAGAGGACCTTATGGGGTGCCGGGAATTGAATCTGGGTCAGCCACGCACAAGACAAATGCCCTCCCTATATGCTGTGCTTTTACTCCAACCCTAAAGGTAAAAGGTAAAGGCCCTCCCGTTGATCGTCGATTTGCTCGAGCGGGCCCAGTAACGTCTCCATTGGAGACTTTGTTGTTACTGTGTCTGGCATATCGAGTACTCTCGGTAGCTTGCCGGGCTCTCCGAGAGGGGCAGAGGAATCGAACTCGGGTCGGCCATGTTGGCCGCTTGTAAGGCGAACGCCCTACTCGCTGTGCTATCGCTCCAGCCCTAAAGTTATCATTTTATTTATTTTCATTTTTTCTTTTTGGGTCACACTCAGCAATGCACAGGGGTTACTCCTGGCTCATGCACTCAGGAATTATCCCTGGCGGTGCTCGGGTGACCATATGGGATGCTGGGAATTGAACCTGGATTGGCTGTGTGCAAGGCAAACATCCTACCCGCTATGCTATCACTCCAGCCCTAAAGTTACCATTTTAAAACTGGAAGCAATATCATAAAACAAAGTGTCAGTGCACTTCACCATACTGAAGGTAAGTAGTGTTTTGAGAAGGTTTTATTTCCCTTGCAAATATACACTCATATATGTACACAGAAGTGTCAGCTGGCTTGCTGTGCCACTTGCACTTCCTCTGTGGGTTGTGATAACAATTTGAAATGCCCTGAACTGGAAAGCCCTCCAAGGGACTAATGTAATGCAGTACTGTTCCGTTGACCTTTCCATGGACATGCTCCAACTGCACTGTCCAGGACAGTAGTCACCACTGACTAGGATCCTACTTCAATTTATTTATTTATTTGCTTTTTGGGTCACACCTGGCAATGCACAGGGGTCACTCCTGGCTCTGCGCTCAGGAATTACCCCTGACGGTGCTCGGGAGACCATATGGGATGCTGGGAATCAAACCCGGGTCGACTGCGTGCAAGGCAAAATGCCCTACGTGCTGTGCTATCGCTCCAGCCCCCCTGCTTCAATTTAATGAATGTAAGTAGCTCCATATGGCTACTGGACAGCACAGGCCTGAGATTCTCATAGTTCCCCCGCCAGTTCGCACTGGCAGCGTAAGCCTCAAAGATGTACTTCTAAGGTGAACATTAGGGTGGATGACAATGGCTAATGGGAATGGGTTGTCGGTGAATTCTCTAGAGTCTGATTAATGTTTAACTCTAAATAAATCACAGCATTTAAGAAAAGTAGTGTTTTTGTAATTATTTAATGCATTTTGCCAAGAGAATGGTGTTTTGTGTGTTGTGACATGTGTTTTCACGAGGTATCTGAGGAGGAAGACCTTGCCTCCTTGTAAAGGCTAGGCCTGGAGTTGCGCAGATGGGAACCCACACCCCGATGTGCAGAATATCAGTTCTGAGCCGGTATCTCTTTGTGCGTCAGTTTCCTTCTTTGTGCTCTGTGCATATCGAATGCCCTAGTCTCAGGCTCATTGTGCAGACAAAATAAAATACTGCTGGAGTGTTTGGGACTTGAGATAAATAGCTGCGAACTAGACCACAGGCAAGTGCCCTTCCATTGCCTGCCTGTGTCTTCTGTGAACAAAGATATGTTTGTTATAGAAGTCAGCCAGAGAGGCTGGGGCTTTGTGGAGGGGTCTACTAGGTAAGCCAGTGGCTCTGCTCTGCTCTTAGCTCTGGGCTGACGCTGCCACCCCTACATGTAAGCCTTGCTGTGTCCCTGCTCCTCCTCCAGTGGCATGCCCTTATTCCCAGCTTCCAAAGAAACTGGGAAATAGGGAAGTTTTGCAAAAGGGGGCAGGGGAGGGTTTGGTTGACCAGCGTATTCTTGACTGGGTAGGGGGAGGTTATTTTCTGCTTTGCAAGAATCAGCACTCCCGGAGGATGATGGGCCGTGGAGGGCAGCAGAGAACACCGTAAAGACCAAAACTACACATGAGAACTCACCAGCCCACCTCATCCCCCTCAGTCATTGGCTCATGCCCCAGAGAACTCGAGCGAGTTTCCCGGTAGCAGTAAAGAGAAGCACTCAGGGAGAAGGAGCCGCACGTGCAAAGGCACGGAGGCTGGGAAAGGGATGCTGTAGAACTGAAGGGGTGTACGGAGGCTGGCCCCTCGGAGGCCTGGCTGCTTCCCTGGCAGCAGTGGATATGTGGGATGAGACAGATTTCCAGGACTCAACAGATGTGAAGGAGTTCGAGTTGCTAGGACTTGGTGATTAATTGAATGACAGCGATGGAGGGCTCTTAAAAGTGGGCCCGTTATGGGGCCCAGAGCAATTGTACAGTGGGAAGGGCGCTTGCCTTGCACGGATTCAATCCCTGGCATCCCATATGGTCCCCCAAGCACTGCTAGGAGTGACTCCTGAGCACAGAGCTAGGAATTGTCCCTGAGCATTGCCAGATGTAGCCCAAACTTAAAAAAAAAAAAGTCTTTGGAAGGCAGGGAACCCAGGAGAGGCCGTTTGCAACGGGGAAAGGTTGGATTCCTTTGCAGACAACTAGACTGATAGGAGTGGGAGACAGCCTGGGAGCAGCAGAGGATGGGCAGCTGCTTAGGCCGAGTGCTCAGGGAAGAGGAGCAGAGGCTCTGGGCGTGGTCCCTGCTTTATCGTCTCACAACGCTTTGGCTCCCAGTGGCTGCTGGAGCTCTGTCAAGCCCAGGGCCAGGCCCCCTGATCCTAGTTCCGTTCATCTGGCGAAAGGCCCAAACCTGTGCATCAAGGATTTCTGGGGTGTCTGGGAGGTGCAGGGGGCAGAGAGCCGAGACCCTTGGACTCGCCAGCTTCAGAACCAGGTAAAAGCGAATAAATTCTTGGTGGGGCTCTGGTTGTCACGAGTACATGAGCGCTGGGAGAAGGGGAGTGGGCTGGGGGTGCGGAGCTGGCCTGACTGCGTGTCCACTCACCCTGCACTCTCCTTCCTCCCACAGACCTATGCGGAGATGGACCCCACCACTGCAGCCCTGGAGAAGGAGCACGAGGCGGTGAGCAGGGGTGGGGTCTGGACTGTGCTCCCTCCCCCTGTGCTTCCCGGGCTCCACTGAGCACCCACTGCCTTCCGCTCCCACCTTGTCCCCAGATCACCAAGGTGAAGTACGTAGACAAGATCCACATTGGGAACTACGAGATCGATGCCTGGTACTTCTCCCCATTCCCTGAAGACTATGGGAAGCAGCCCAAGCTCTGGCTCTGCGAGTACTGTCTCAAGTATATGAAGTTCGAGAAGAGCTACCGCTTCCACCTGGTGAGGCTGTGCACAGGCGGAGGGATGGGCAGAGGAGGCGGGTGTGAGAGTTGCCCTGGGTCGAGAGATTAGCTTCCATGGCTGGTGTTGCTTTGGCCAGTATCCTGCTGCTCCCAGGGCTGTTTCCTTCTGAGAGAGGCCTTCCACCTATGTTTTTTTTTTTTTCTTTTTGGGTCACACCTGGTGAAGCTCAGGGGTAACTCCTGGCTCTGCACTCAGGAATTACTCCTGGCGGTGCTCGGGGGACCCTATGGGTTGCTGGGAATCGAACCCGGGTCAGCCGTGTGCAAGGCAAACGCCCTACCTGCTGTGCTCTCTCTCTAGCCCCCACCTTTGTTTCTTGAGGGCAGCCCTGTGCCAGGCTCCTGGGTACAGACCGGAAGTCAGCACAGCTCTGGCGCCTGGGCTCATGAGGCAGGGAAGGGGGAGGGCTGGAGAACCTGAGATGTGGGGCTCTGGGCTCCTGCAGAGGGGTGCTTCCCATGGGGGAGTCTGGGGCCAGTGTTCGTGGTCCGTTGTCAGGGCCTAAAGTCCTCCTGGCTGACCTGGTGGGGTGATCAGCCTCTCTGGGCCTCAGTTTCTTCACCTGTGAACTCAGCTCTTGTCTTCAGGTCATTGGAAGGACAACTCGGGGGTGGGGGGTGGGCAGGGACAGCCGAGACTTGCTGTGAGTCCCAGGGGGCAGGATGGAGCCCCCTGTCAGAGAACCTCAGCGGCTCAAAGCTGCTTCCTCGCCTCTCCCAGGGCCAGTGTCAGTGGCGGCAGCCCCCCGGGAAGGAGATCTACCGTAAGAGCAACATCTCTGTGTATGAGGTGGATGGCAAAGACCACAAGGTGAGGATGGGGTGGGGTGACTGGTCTGGCAGGGGCCTGACCTGGGTTTAATTCATCACGCTGTCTGAGGGCTTGGGCCCCCCCTACCCCCACAAGTCTTTTTTTTTTTTTTTTAATTTGAAGCATTGTGAATGATAATACCGTTAATGATTAGGTAATAGCTGTTAAAAAAAAAAAACAAAACCACTAGACGGGTTAGGTGGCCGAGGTGCCAGGGAGGTGCAGGGTCACGGCACCCGGAAGGCCTTCCATGTTGCTCTCATGGCTGCTGTCTCTTGTCTCCGTGTGGGCAGCTCGGGAGCCCAGGGCCACTGAAAGCCCTTTCTGCCTCTGGGCTGTGTGACTCCTGCTCCGTGTTCTCAGAAGCCGTGGAGCTCTGCTTCCTGGTGGCTACAGCCATCGTCACCAGGTCACTTCCTAGCTGACCTTGGGCAAGTCACTTAACAGGATCTGTTCCTCTTTCCTCCTCTCTGAGCCAGGAGTCAGGAGGGTATTTCCCCGGAGGATTGTTAGTGGGATCCGAGAGCTGGAGGTGGCAAGTGTTAAGCCCAGTGTGGGCATGACCGGTGCTGAGTACGCATGGCTGGGTTACACTTGGGCCACGAGGGAATACCCCAAGCCACCACTCTGGGCCCCATCCAAGCCTGGTGATTGGCCTCCCTGAGTATTACCTGGGGTGGTGGCAGGGTGTGGCAGTTGGGGTGATACAGCACCCCCCTGCCCCCATGCCAGATCTAAGACCTCAGGAGACACTTCTCCCTGAAACTCCACTTAAGTAAAATGGCTCTAGCAAGTTTGGGCTCACACAATTGGTAGGTCAAATGACAGGGACGTGGAAGGTTCATACACCAGAGCCTCCTGGATCTGTGTTGTGAAGCCACTATCAGGGTCACATTGTTTGTCCTGACACTGGACGGAGTGAGTCTAAGGGAGCAGCGTGGACAGCTCAGGCTGGGGCATCAGTCCAGGAGTGCTGGGTGCTGGGGACACAGTTCCACAGCACAGAGCCCGGGTTCTCCAGGCACTCACCCACTGGGGTTCAGGCATGCCCCAGTGCCCCGCTGTGCCTCGCTTCCCCGTTGTGAACATCAGTGTATGCGAAACTTGAGCTCCAGTGAGCGCGCGACTCATTAGTCAGCCCTGCCGAGTGCTGATGTTCTCTGGAGTTTCAGTCTCCCGGTCCATCCAGTTCTGGCTCCCGCTATTCCGGGGAGGAGCCCACTCACCGCTCGCGGCTCCGGGAGGGCTTGCTCCTGAGCGGGCTGTTTCCTCTGCCTCCCGTCAGATTTACTGTCAGAACCTGTGTCTGCTGGCCAAACTTTTCCTGGACCACAAGACCTTGTACTTCGACGTGGAGCCCTTTGTCTTCTACATCCTGACCGAGGTGGACAGGCAGGGAGCCCACATCGTCGGCTACTTCTCCAAGGTGCTGTGTCTGGAGACCCGGGTTGAGTGGGAAGTGAGTGGTGGGGTGGGGCCTCCCCCAGGTCCTGACCACAGCCCCTCTCAGGAGAAGGAGTCGCCGGACGGGAACAACGTGGCCTGCATCCTGACCTTGCCCCCCTACCAGCGCAGGGGCTACGGCAAGTTCCTCATTGCTTTCAGTGAGTGTCTTGGAGCCCGGCCCCTTGGGGCGACTGTGGTGGGTCCCTGGGCAGGGCTGGGCTCTCAGACCCTTTCTCCCCCTGCCAGGTTATGAGCTGTCCAAGCTAGAGAGTACCGTGGGCTCCCCAGAGAAACCACTGTCGGACCTGGGCAAGCTCAGCTACCGCAGCTACTGGTCTTGGGTCCTGCTGGAGATCTTGCGAGACTTCCGGGGCACACTATCCATCAAGGACCTGAGGTGAGTGTCCTGGTCCCCAGCCTTGTCTGGAGCATGCTGCCTCCCACGGGCCCCAGGAAGAAAGGCTTCCTGGAACCCTCAAAGAGGGAAGGACTTGGCCAAGTCCCGGCTCCTGTCTGCTGGTCCTCTGTCACTGTCTCTGTCAGCTCCACAGGGCACTCCCTCCAGCATCCACTCTCACTTCCTTCTTTATTCTCTAGATTTAGTTATTTATTTTTATGGTTTGGGGCCATACCCAGCAGTGCTCAGGGCTGACTGCTGGGTCTGTACTCAGCGATCACTACGGGCGGAGCTCAGGGGACCCTATGGGGTGCTGGGGACTGAACCCGGGTCGACTGCTTCAAGCAAGGGCCCTCCCCGCTGTTCTACGGCTCTGGCCCTCTCATTCCCTTTCTGTAGCCAGATGACCAGCATTACCCAGAACGACATCATCAGCACCCTCCAGTCCCTCAACATGGTCAAGTACTGGAAAGGGCAGCACGTGATCTGCGTCACACCCAAGCTGGTAGAGGAACACCTCAAAAGCGCCCAGTATAAGAAACCGCCCATAACAGGTGGGTGGGGGGCTGCCCAGGGTGCGTGCGTGGTGGGGAGGTGGATGATAGTAGGAGCCTGGACCTCCTTCTGGCTGTGCGTGATCCCAAACCCGTCTGACCAGCTCCCACATGCAGCCCGGGGCAGGATCCTCATTCCTGGGCTTCCCTGCCCCCTCCCCACACTCAGTCTGCCCTTGTTCTCACCTGAAGGTGAAACCTGGCCGGGGCCCAACGCACAGCAGCTGTGGGAGCACACAGTGTGCTAGGCGCAGGGGGCCCAGCCCTGCCTCTCATGCCTCTTCTCCCCACAGTGGACTCTGTCTGCCTCAAGTGGGCCCCTCCCAAGCACAAGCAAGCCAAACTCTCCAAGAAGTGAGCAGCCCGCGCCGCCGCCGCCGCCGCCGCCCTGCCCACCCTGGCCCCAGCCTGTAAATATGTACAGACCTTGTTTCCGCACATTTTAATAAAGTCAGTTCTGTCGGGGACTCTTGACCTTGGAGCTGGGAAGGGCGCGGGCTACGGGCTGCCGGTCTTCGTTTCACAGCACACAAACATCCTTCTGTGCTCAGAATGTTTTACTGCTCCTTCCACTCCCACCCAAAGCCAAGCCAAGCCCAGTTCCGGTGGGGGCTCAGTCCTCCGGAGTCCGAGAGTCCAGGTGGGGGGTGGGGCACGGCTGCCAAGGGCAAGATTAGGGCAAACTTCATATCTCTGAAAACCTGCTGCCCAGAGGCAGCCCAGGCCCAGAAGAAGGGAGAGGATGAGGTCTGGGCACCCTGTCAGGCAAGTCTCCTCCAAACGGGGTGCCAGCGCCAGTTTTCATTGCTGAGGGTCCTCGGGCTCCCCAGGAGCCCATGCAGTAGGCTGTGGAGTGCAGGCGGAGGTGACCAGAGGTTCTGGCCATCCCACAGACAGTCAAGTTCCTGACTGGGTCGTAATCCCGAAAAATAAACCAGAAGCGTGGGCCAGGATGGTGCCCTGGGCTCCCACGGGGTCTGGGGCAGGGGGCAAGAGTAGCTCAAGCCAGGCCCCAGACCCCAAGAACTCAGGGCATGGCCAAGTCCTTTCTTGGAACAGACGTCTGTCCTGGAGTGAGATATGGAGGTTGGCTGTAGAGTCATTTGCAAGGGCCTCAGAGCTGGTGCCACGGCAGGATGAGGCTCAGGGTCAGGCCTAGTGGCAGCAGCAGAAGGGGCCCCCGCCAGCCCGGAGCTGGGCTGGAGTTGAAGGCCAGAGAGTTCTTGCAGAGGTGATCATCAGGCTGGAAGTCCTGCACTGGGGGCAGCACTCGAGGCTGGAGCTCTGCCACGTGGTGGTGAATCCAGGAGGCATAGCTGGAGGTCAGAGTGTACACACCTGGCCGGTTGGGGGCTCCACAGGCATCACCCCAGCTCACAATGCCCGCGAGGTACCAGAGGCCTCCCACAGGACAGGAGAGTGGGCCCCCAGAGTCACCCTGAGGAGAAAAACCAATAACCGTTAAACCCAGGCCTTGGCGCCTCTCCCAACATAGCGTCTCTCCGGTTCCCCTGCCCCTGCGTTTACCTGGCAGGCGTCCTTGCCCCCCTTCACGTAGCCGGCACACACCATGTCCTGCTGGATAAAGTGGGGCTCTTCGGGCCTGGCTCGGATGCTGTAGAGGCAGTTACACGTCTCGCGACTAATGAGCGGCACCTCAAGTTGCTGTAGCGTCCTGGGAGGATTGAGGCTCACTGTGGGGGAGGGGGGAGATGTTCATCCAGGGCCTTTTCCTCTCAGGGTCCCCTTTGTGCCCCCCAACCCCAGTGCCTGCCTCACCTGAGGGGGCCACATGGCCCCATCCAGTGACGGTGCAGCGGAGGCCGTTGGGAAAGGAGGCATTGGCTGCAGGCAGGCAGACGGGCCGAATGTAGCGGGTGAAGGTGACAGGCCTGGCCAGTCTGACTAGTGCAATGTCACCTTGGGAGCCCTCCTCGCGGTAGCTGGGGTGGGAGATGATCTGCGCCACCTGGTGGACCTGGTATGTCGCCGGGGTATGGGAGTCCAGCTGATGGGCCCCCAGCTTGACCTCATAGTCTTCCTTGCTGTGCTCTCTGCAGGCAGAGGGGGCAAAGGCTGAGACCCGGCAGGCTCCTCCTGCTTCCCTGACCTCTTTGCCCCAAGGCAAACCAATCCTAGGCTGACTATTAGTTGTTTTGTTTGTAGGTTAAAAAGATCCAGGAGGGGTCAGAAAGATAGTACAGCCTGCAGGGCACTCGCCTTGCCTCTGGCATCCTGTCTGGTCCCCTGAGCACCATCAAGAGTGATTTCTGAGTGCAGAACCAGGAGTATCCCAGAGCATTGCCAGGCATGGTCCAAAAACAAAAAAACAAACAAAAAAAAGAGGGGCCTGGAGCAATAGCACAGTGAGGAGGGCATGTGGCCGGCCCAGGTTGGATCCCCAGCATCCCATATGGTCCTCCAAGCATGGCCAGGAGTGATTCCTGAGTGCAGAGCCAGGAGTAATCCCTGAGCATAGCTGGATGGTGTGACCCAAAGAGCCAAAAAAAAAAACAAAAAACCCAGCCAGGAGCAGCCCTGTTAGTGTTCAGGGGTTACCCCTGCCTCTTGGGGGCTGCTCGCGGTGCCACTCGAGAGCTTGTGCTGGGGGACTTGCGCAGGGCCTCTCACATGCCCTATGAGTGCTTCAACTCAGCGTTGCATTCCCTCTGGCCCATTGTTCTGACTGTATTTGGGCAGCACCTACTGGTGCCCAGACGACTGGCACCGCACTTGGAGATCACATGTAGAAATACTGGGGGGGACCAAGGGGGGTTGAAGCCAGGCCCTGCATGCAAAAACATGCACTTGCCCTTTGAGCCATCTCCCCGGCACTGACCTTCACTCTTGCCAAGACTTTCAGACTTCACTGGCCCACTTAGACCCAACCCAGGAGCTTTGACCAGATTGAACTTTGACCTCTGATCCACCCTCGTACTTCCCCACCCGGCCTCTTCCAGCTGGTACCTTGGGAAGCAGTGAGCAGCTGACAGCACCCACTCATCAGACACGAGAGAGCCACCACACACATGGATGCCATCGTAGATGATGCTGACCTGCCAGGGCCACTGGCCAGGGGCTGCACTGCTGCCCCCTGTGATGCGCGCCTGGGGGACGATGCCGCAGACAGCTGCCAAGGGAGGGGGGGTGCGTCAGGCCCTCTGGGAACCCCACACCAAGTCCTGCGCCCAGTCACTGCCCACAGCGGGGATCTGGTCCGGGAAGTCACGGAGATGCCTTCCCTTCGTAGCCTCACGGGCATGGCCACCCCCGGTCCATCACCTGTTTCGGTGCCTCCAGCTTCCTTCCTGCTCCATCCAACCCCTCCTCTCACAGGGTGAAGAGCAGGGGCACACACCGCAGATGTGGCCAGGTTGCATCCTGATTAAAATCCTTCCCTAGACCCCCACGAACCTTTCCCTGAGCACCCCAAGCTCCCCAGGCCCCATCCCCCAGCCTCTTGCTTTTCCAAGTCAGCGGGCTAGAACTCCTTCCCGGTCCTGCTCTGCTGGGGAGACCCTTCAACCCTCAGCCCTCTCTGCCCAGCACTGGCGACTTTCTTCCACACCAGCTGGGGGACCTGTGCCTCAGACCCCGGGTTCCCTGCACCCAGTGCCAGTGCCGGGCTGTGTGCTGAAGGAACTTGCCAGGCCTGCAGAGCACCTGCCCCAGTCCTGCCTCCTTCCTCCTGCTAACAGCCACAGAGGGAGTGGGGGTGGGGGTGGGTACCGAGGCGGCTTTTGTTGTAGCCTCCAGACTCCTCAGTTAGCGCCAGGGCTTAGAGAGCTTCATTTTGGGGGGGGAGCGGGGGCAGGCACGGTGAGTCCGAGCTGAGCCTGGTGGTCACTAGGGCAGGGGGACACCCACGGCACAACCGGGCCCAGCGTTGCTTCCCTCCAAACCACCCACCTTTGAAGTCAGAGCTGGGTTGAATCCCAGCTGGCCGCTGCCGGCAGCACGCCCTTCACTAATCTTCCTCTGTGGCTTAAGTTTTCTTTGGCTCTACAGAACCTGGGCCCTCGTACCTCCCCCACAGAACAAGATTTGGGGGGACTTAAATAGAAACGGGGTGTTGGGGACAACTGCTGCGGAGTGGCCGGCATTCATTAAAAAAAAAAGGGGGGCCCCTTCCCCTCCCCCGTCTCCTAGGCAAACTCACCTTCAGCCCCATCAGCTCCTGGAAGGAAAAGAGAAAACCGGGAGTCAACCAGGCTGACCCCTGAGTACCTGCCCCTGCTCCGGAGGGCGCCCCCCACCCGAGGGGCCCAGAGCTGAAGCCCAGGAGGAGGGGGGAGCCCACGGGGGAGGGCTCTCCGGGCTCCACTGCACCCACCCCTCCCCCTCCGCGGCACATCCCCACTCACCTGTCCAGGGCCAGAAGGACCCGAGCAGGAGCACAGCGATCGCTGCCCCCAGTGGCCCAGGCTTCAGCCCCGCACTCCGGGCCATGGCCCAGGTTGAGGGCGCCGCGGGAGACGCCAGACGGGCGTGGACCAGGGCTGGGTGGGAAGGCAAGATCCAGGTGTGCGGCCCGGGGCGGGCGGGCGGGCGGAGGGTCCTGAGATTCACACCGGGGCGGCGGGGCCGGCGGCCAGGGCTGGCTGGGCTCTCCGGAGGCGACAGCCGGGGTGGCGCTGGGGGCTCCGAGGCGGTGCGGTGGCGTCTCCGGACTGCCGGACCGTCGGAGCCGGTGACTTACCTGCCCGCCCCTTCCAGGCCCCGCCCCGCCCGGCCGGCACCCGCTTCTCGCCGGGCCCGGGGCTCCCGCTGCGGGGCCGCGCTGGGGCTGGGTGCGAGGGGCTGGTCACAGCAGGAGGGCGGGCGCGGGGCCGGGACCCCTGCGAGGCCGACTCCCGAGGTGGCACCAGGCGCCCTCGCCCCGGGCCTTCCGACTGCCAGGCCAGTTATGCCCCCAAGCCTTTCCCCTGGGGGCACGCTGGCTCCTCCCTCGGCTCCCCCTTCGAGCTCAGGACCCGAACCCCGACGACGACACGCGGAGCCTCGCCTGCGTGTGTGAGGAGTGACGAGTGCGCCTGGCAGTGCCCATCATCTCCCAAGTATGTACCGAGTGCCTGCCACGTTCCGGGACAAAACAGACACCGTCCCTGCCTGGCCTGACTCACGGCCGTGACCAGGATGACGGCTGGAGTCTGACATCACGAAAGGGCTCAAGGAAGTGTGCTTGGTGCTGAGACACTGCGAGGGACGAGGGACGGAAGGTCCTGTGACGGCCCGGGGGGCAGGGCGGGCAGGTGTGTCTGTGCATGAGTCTGTGCACTGCCGGGGAACCACCGGGCCCTGCTCTCCCGGGATGCCATCCGGGACCTGACCTGGCTTGGCCCTGTGAAGGTCAGAGGCCCTAGTCTGAGAAGAAGGCACTGTGGGGGGGTTTGGTGGAGGGTGTGGGAAGGGATCCGACAGGGTTGGGGTGTAGGGCCTTGTCTGTGGAATTGGAGGTTCAGGGGACTCTCTAGGATCTGATGTCTGGTCCCTTCTGAGCGGATTCTCAGCCTCTCTGTGAAACAGCTTCCCCCCTCCACGATTGTCTGCCCCCAGAGACGTCCCCTTCCTCTGCTGTCCTCAGATGGCATCCGCCCCAAGGACCCCCTTCCTGGTCTCCATGTGCTCCTCTTCTGTTCTCCTACCTCACCACTCTAGGACCCTGTGCTGAGCACAGTCAGGGGAGTCCTGAGCTCTCAGCCCCCTGCTGTGGGGACTGGGGGTGGGGGAGGTGTGCCCAGAGGGGGTGGGGTGTGGTTGTACCTCTTAAGGGGGTGCCTGCCAGGGATGAAGAATCAAGGAAATGGGCCCTGGGGGTACTGGGAGCGGAGCCCTGAGGGCACAGGCATTGAAGGGGCTCTTTGGGGCGTCCATCACCCGGTGTGCAGATTACAGTGGACACTCCCCGGGTTCCTCGATGCAGGAAATCTCCTTCGACCCTCACCCCAGACCTTGCTAGGGCCTCCTGGGTGCCCAGCGGTGTCCAGCAGGTGCTGGGGGCTGACCCTCGAGGAGGTGACACACACCCACCGCCTGCCTCCTGTGCCCCGGGGCAGGAATGAGGGACAGCTGCCACGTTATCAGGGACACATTTCCTGGGAGCCCAAGGCCTGAGTCAGAGTTCAGGAGGGAGGGGCCCTACCCACTGCCCTCCCCCAACCCCGCAGTGCCCCCTTATGCTACCGGACCACGTGTCTGTGTTTACGCCTTTATTATCCGCTCCCTCTTGCTCCCTTGGATTCCAAGTTGAAGACTGCTGCCTGGTGGTGGGTGGGTGGGGTGCGCCTGCCGGCCTCCCAAGGAAGGAGAGAGCCGGTCGGGCCACATTCCAGCCGCACTGGGCGGGAAGGATGTGAGAAGGGGGAGACTCCTCAGCTCTGGATTAGGGGGGTCAGAAGCAGGAGGAAGAGAGCCGCGCGAGGGGGACCCGAGGCCCTCGCCAATTCTGGGGAGCAGAGGTCACTGCTTTCTGGGGTCCAGTGGGGGAAGCCACTCGGGGGCAGGAAATGGGCCTCCCCAACTGTCTGAGAGATCCAGGCCTCTTCTGGGCCCACGGCGGCAAACAACTCTCTGCTCCCTCGCACAGCCATGCCCACCAGGGCCCAGGGGCCCCCCTCAGTTTGGCACAGGAGGGGAGGGGCCGAGGTCACCTGCGGAATTAGAATCCAGATCAAAAGGGCATTACCGGCCTGCTGGGCTTCCTGCCCCTTCTCTGAGGCATCCTGACCCCTGGTCTCTCTCCTGGGCTAGCCAGGCAGTACCCCAATTCTCAACCCCGCACTGCCTCTCCCCTCCCTGCAGGGGGAGGCCCCGGCCAGGTACCTCACACCTGTCCTCCTGTCCCTCCGTGTACTGAACACACAGCGTCCCTGGGGGCAGAATGCCCTGGTACAGGCAGTGGCAGAGTTGCGGCGTCAGGATGGAGACGGCGGCTGCCACAGGCACTAAAGGGAGAAAAGCAGGTGGTCCCAGGGGCTCTGCTCTGGGCACTGCGCACCCTCAGGGCCTGAGTTCTCACCTCGGTCCCGGGGGTTCTTCCAGCCCAGCACCCAGCAGCTGGCCCCCAGGGGGAACCCCCTGGAGTGAAGGCACACGGGCAAGGCTGATGGGGAGGGCTCTACCCGAGAGCTAAGCTCCAGGAGAGCCAGCGGGGGCCGGAAGCCCAGATGACGGGGCAGGCGGATGCTCATGACCGAGCGGGACACCTGGTGGCTCCAAGGGAGGGGGCTGGCCCCTGCCCGGCCCAGGTACACTTCAATGTAGGGCACCGTCGTGGTGCCCAGCCTGTGGGAACAAGTCAGGGTCAGACCTGCCCCCCCATGCCCTGTGCATCAGGGCACCATACCACTGTCCCTCATGCCACCCTTTGCCATGCTACCCTCCTCTATGCCACCCTCCCTCACCTCTCTCCTCCTCAGGGCTCTCCCAGTCGTGGGGAGACTCATGACCTCAGGAGTCCCCAGAACTCCCCTCCCCCTCCTGCCCAGTAGACGGGTGGAACCCACCTGAGAACACAGTGAGTGGCTGCCAGGACCCAGCCTGGTGCCACAAGGATCCCAGTGCAGACTCGGTCACCAGCCACGTGCACCTCTGCCAGCCAGGGCCACAGTCCCCGCTTTGAAGCAGGCTCTGGCCGCAGGCCGCAGGCTGGGGAAAGAGGCGAGTACCTCAGTGGAAGGCCCGCAGCTTTCCCCCCGAAGCCTCATCACAGATCTACACCCCCCCAGAAACTTGGTCCCAAAGGTTCCTTCCTCACCCCCCTGCTCTGTGTGTGGGGGACAAGTCTCTGCCTCAGTCTTCTCCCACTCAGCGCCCCAGTCCCAAGCCAGCTGGTCTTCCAGGTATGCGCCCCGTGTCACATGGGCGATCCACGAGCCGTGGGTCTGCAGCGGGGAGAAGGCTCGAGGCCGGAGGCAGCTGTAGGGCAAAGGTCCGATCCCAGCCAGGAACCAGGTCCCCTCCTCCCTGCACACAAGGCTCCACCGCGAGAGGTTCTGTAGCGAGAGACAGTGAGTGAACTGGTGACAGGATGACTGAAGACTTGGTGCTTTCCCGGGCGCCCTCATCCACTGTCTGAACATCACTCCCACCTCCAGGCCAGGGGACTGATCTGAACAGGAGATTAAGCTGTGGGCTGGAGAGACAGTACAGTGGGTATGGTGCTGGCCTAGCATGCCACACGCCATTCAAATCCAGGGCATCACATAAGCTCCCCAGAACACTGCCAGAAGGGCTGGAGCGATAGCACAGCAGGAAGGGTGTTGTTAGCCTTGCATGCAGCTGACCAGGGTTCGATTCCCAGCATCCCATATGATCCTCTGAGCACCGCCAGGAGTGATTCCTGAGTGCAAAGCCAGGAGTAACCCCTAAGCATCACCCGGTGTGACCGCAAAAGCAAAAAAAAAAAAAAAAAAAAAAAAAAAAACTACTGCAGAGCACTGAGCCGGGAATAGTCCCTGAGTATCAAGGTGTGTGACCCAACAGCCCCCACCTCTAGCCCCCAGGAAATAAAACTCCGCTTAATATTTTTGTGGTGTTGGGGATCGAACTCGGGGCTTGCGCATATGCGTGGCAAATAGTCTACCTGTAAAATTCTCTTTAGACCCCAGAAAACACGGCCCAAGGACGGTCGAGGCCCCGCCCCGGCGCCTCGCCCCGCCCCGCCCCCGCGCCTCGCCCCGCCCCCGCGCACCCAGCAGCGCCCCGCCTCTTCCTCCTCCTGGTAGGCGGGACACAGAGCGTGGGGCGGGTCTCCGGGCAGCGGCACCGACGCCCCCTGGCGGCCGTACAGGCAGTGACACCACCAGCTGTCCAGCAGTTCGGCCTCCAGCTGCGAGCTCGGGCCGGGCGCGGCTTCTGGGGGCCGAAGGGGAACTGGTCAGCCAGGGCGTGGGGGGCCCCGCCGCCGCCCGGCCCCGCCGACTGGAGGCCCCTCACCGCCGCGGCCCCAGCGCGCCAGGCGGCAGCGGCTCCCCGGCAGGAAGTAGTGCTCGGGGTAGGGCAAGCACACGGGCCGCGGCGCCGCGCTCAGGTTGACGGGCGCGCGCAGCTGCAGCAGCGCCAGGTCGGCGGCGTCGTCCCACGAGGCGTTCTCGTGCCGCACCAGACGCGCCACCCGCTCCGCGCCCCGTCGCGAGGGCAGCAGCACGCGCCAGTCGTCCAGGTCCTGGGGCCTGCGGTCTGAGCTGATGGGACTGCGGGACCAAGAGGCTGGAGGTGTGGGGCGGGCTCTGCACCCTCCCAGCTGGAGTGGATCCTCGCCTCCAGAATGCATCCTTGCGTGCGTTCTGGCTCAAGCTTAGACAACCCTTTATTCCCCACTTCCCCCCACCAAGACTACGACCCCGCTGTATGAGCTGTGCCCATGGGTGGTAGCCCCGCCCCCATGGGACCCACCGCCCACACCAAGGCCAGGTACTGTCTCAGGCTGAGCCGGGAGAGCCAACAGTCTGCTAAGAGACACGAGCGTCCACTCACTCCAGAAAGCAGCTGGCCGGGGCCAAGACCCAGCTTTCAGACACCAACGCCCCATGGCAGGGTCTGGATCCTGGCACCGTCACCTGAGCCTCCCAGGGCCAGGCTTCTGGACGCGGGGCCTTCCCGCATTCTGGGGGGCGAGGGACGTGGGTCAGGAGGGGCCTGAACATCCAGCACCGCCCGTCCCGACTCTGGTCTCCCGTGTCTGTCTCACATCCCGGGGCCCGCCCCTCACCTGGCAGGGCGATGGTACAGTTTTCATCTGTGGGTTCCTGGGGGCCTGACTGGGACTCTGGGGACTGGGGGGGAAAGGCAGGCCCAGTCTCCGAGCCCATCACCTGTTCCCGGATCCATTTCTCGTAGGAGGCCACAGCAGTGAAGACCCCTGGGCGGTTCCTCCGTCCACAGCCGAAACCAAAGCTGGTGATTCCTGCCTGGAACCATCGACCGCCTTCCTCACAGACCAGGGGCCCCCCAGAGTCTCCCTGATGAAAGATGACTCAGTGTCGGGGGAGAAGTCCAGGGCCACCTCAGAAAGATTGCACCTCTTTGGTCTTGGCCCAACACAGCCACCTTTTCTGAGAAATGTGCCTTGAGCGCACCTGGTCACCTGCAGTCCCTGCAGCTCGAAATAGAAGAGTGTTATAAGGCAGAAAGGGACGAGAAGCCAAAGCCAGGAGCAGCAAGCTAGAGCACAAAGGCACGCAAGGAGCTTGCGGGCCTCCTTCGTAGCCAGCACAGAAGAGGAAGAAGTTGTGGCTGGAGCGATAGCATGGCAGAGAAGGCATTTGCCTTGCACACAGCGACCCGGATTTGATTCCCAGCATCCCATATGGTTCCCTGAGCACTGCCAGGAGGAATTCCTGAGTGCAGAGCCAGGAGTAACCCCTGAACATCACCGGGTGTGCCCCAAAAAGAAAAAAAAGGAAGAGGAAGAAGCTGTTCCAAAGAGACTGACTCAGAAGCTAAGCTAGGGATGCACTCCGTGTGTGAGGCCCGAGCTCATCCCCAGCACTGAAGAAAAGAAGAAGAAAGAGGCGAAGAAGAGTCTAGATGCGAAGGATGAGGCATATACATACATGTAAGGGGGCCTGGGTGGGGGATGGAGGGCAGGGTTTTGTTGTTTTTTTCTAGGGGGAGGGCATACCCAGTCATGTTCAGGGGTTCAAGGGTTCCTCCTGGCTTTGCACTCTGACATCACTCCTTGGCTGTGCGGGGACCATATGGACTGCCAGCTATCAGACTCAGGTCAGCCACGTGCAAGGCAAACGCTTTACTCACTGTACAGTCTCCCCGGCCCCAACAGAGAGCGGGATGGAGGTGGGCGTGGGGCAGCATTTGGAAGACAGTGAAGAGTCTCCCCTGCGAGGTGCTCTGTCTTTCCAGGCCCCTCTCAGGGCGACTGTGGATGCTGACAGATGTGCATACTGGGGTGGTACTTGTTCATATTTGGGAGGCTCTTCTCAGCTGTGTTTGGGGGACCATGAGGTGCTGGGGATTGAAATTGGGCCTCTGTGCATCCAGGCATGTGCACCAGCCCTTGTCTCCTTAGCTTGTGCTCTAAACGATTCCGCAGGGCCTCACTGATACGCCTACAGTGTATCTAGACTCAGATCACGAGAACATTATAATCCAGAAGCATGACAGGTGTCTCTGAAAATGCAGTCATAGGGTGTTGTGTGTTTGCCATTTGGGGAAGGTTGTGTGTGGGGGAATGATTAAAGTATGTTTTGGCTTTCAACAGGGTATTTGAAAAATTTTCTTCAATGAAGAAACAAATTTTTTTTTGGTGGGGGCCACAGCCAGCAGTGCAGAGGGTTTAGCCCTGGCCTTCACTCAGAAACCCTGGCGAGCTCTGGGGCTCAAAGCTAGGTAAGCTATGTGCAAGGCAAGCAAACACCCTACCTAGTGCACCATCGCTCTGACTTCCATAATTCGTTTTTTTAAATCTTTTTTCTTTCTTTTTTTTTTTTGCTTTTTGGGTCACACCTGGCAATGCACAGGGGTTACTCCTGGCTCTGTGCTCAAGAATTACTCCTGGCAGTGCTCAGGGGACCATATCGGATGCTGGGAATCGAACCCGGGTCGGCCGCGTGCAAGGCAAACACCCTACCTGCTGTGCTATTGCTCCATCCCCCCATAATTCATTTTTAAAGATAATCCTTGAGTTTCCACTCAATAATAGTGACTGAGATGTGAGATAATAATGACAACAAAAATATTAAATCCTAATTTAGCTCTTATTAAGGACCAGACACACTTCCTAAGTGTTTTTAAAATACAAATTCATTTAATCATCAGAACTGCCATGTGAGGTAGGTAATACTATCATTTCCATTCTCTAGATGAACACAGAGAGGTTAAATGACTTGTCAAAAACGAACACATGAAAAAATAGGGAGGTCTAAACATCTGGAGGTTAAATGACTTGTCAAAAAATGGGGGTTGCAAGAGTGGCCGAGATTAGTACCAGGAACTTTGCTCCATGGCTTGGAGGACAGCCACACGCGCTAGGGGAAAAGGGAGCTCAGATAGAGAAGGGAGCACCAAATAAAGGGTGTTGGGAGGATCCTCCCAGGGTGGGAGAAGCATGCTGAAAGTAGACTATAGACCAAACATGATTGCCACTCAATGTCTCTCTTGCAAACCACAACACCCAAAAGGAGAGAGAAAGAACAAAAGGGAATGCCCTGCCACAGAGGCAGGGTGGGATGGGGGGATGGGGGGTGGGAGGGATACTGGGACCCATAGTGGTGGAAAATGGGCACTGGTGGAGGGATGGGTACTTGATCATTGTATAACTGAAACCCAAGCACAAAAATCTGTAAGTCTATAACTGTACCTCATGGTGTTTCACTAATAAAAAAATAAAAACTAAATAAAAATGGGGGTTGGAGCAATAGCACAGCGGGTAGGGCGTCTGCCTTGCACGTGGCCGACCCAGATTCAATTCCCAGCATCCCATATGGTCACCTGAGCACCGCCAGGGATAATTTCTGAGTGCAGAGCCAGGAGTAACTCCTGTGCATTGCCAGGTGTAACCCAAAAAGAAAACAAACAAACAAACAAACAAACAAAGGACCCTACTTTACCAAGGCTGGGTAGCATATAGGTGGCAGTATTGAACCTCTGTTAGACATCTGGAGTCTGGCAGGTACCTCTGCACCACTCTGCCTTTTGTTTGTTTGTTTTGACTTTTTGGGGCAACACCTGGTGATGCCCAGGGGTTGCTCCTGGCTCTGCACTCAGGAATCACTCCTGGTGGTGCTTGGGGAACCATGTGGGATGCCGAGGATCAAACCCAGGTCAGCCATGTGCAAGGCAGGCGCTCTCCCCACTGTACCATCACTCTGGCCCCGTCTCCTTTTGTAATCTTGACATCAATCCCATTCGTGACAATTTTGCCCTCCTTTCTGCAGATGAGACTCAGAGAAATGTGGGAGATGAGATCTATTTTCCACTGTTCTCCTTGCTGCCTGAGGCTCTGTGTAGGCCTGCCTTGTGGGTGCAGCCCTTACCGCCCTCACCTGGCAAGTGTCCCTGCGGCCCTCTGGATAGCCGGCGCACAGCATCCCTGGCAGCAGCTGGAAAGTCAGGTTGAAGGGTCCTGGCCGGCTGTAGAGACACTGACAGGCCGCCTCACCTAGCAGCTTTAGCTCCACTTCTTGTAGCACCCAGGGGACAGGCAGAGGGTCTGTGCAGAACCAGAGAGTGGGTGCTGAGCGGCAGGCCCAGAGCATTCCCTCCGCCTCCGCATCCCTCGGGCCCAGCTTTGTCCCCTCTAGCTGTCTCCCAAACAGCTCTCTTGAGATGCCCTGTCGCTTCCGCCATGTCCATGCAAGGCTGGTGTTAACCTCTTCCTCCTCCCGCCTGTCTCGGGCCTGTAGGCAGCCCATGGTTCAGAGATGCCTGGGCATCAAAGGGTGCCTGCGACATAGAACCACGATGGCATAGCACCAACATGGGCCATGTGGGGCCAAGAGGGCACCTTTCTTTTTCCAGTTTTTAAATTTATTTTTGTTTTTGAATCACAGTGAGATAGAGAGGGCACCTTTCAATAAAGATGCCACCGTGTAGACTAGCTGAGCCCTGTACAAGCAGAGAATCTGCCTACTGGACAGAGAATGTCTATGGTCCCTGTCTCAGCTTCACCTTCCCTGGGACTGGAGTGATAATACAGCGGGGAGGGCACTTGCTTTCTGCATGTGCCCAATACATATTAGGTCCCCGGCATCCTATATGGTCCTTTGAGCACCACCAGGAGTAATTCCTGATGTAGAGTCAGGAGTGCTCCTGAGCATCACTGAGTGTGGCCCCCAAAACAATAAAAATCAGATTCCCCTTCCCAATAACTGCCCTAGTCCAGTAACCTCACTGTGACTCAGGCATTTTCATGGCAACTTCTCTCATTCAGGAGATGCTGCTTAGACCCAAATGACAGGCCCAGTTTACAAATGACAGGCCCTCTAAACAGCCTGTGCGGGTGCTTCCAGAGGGACATTTATTTATCTTTTTAGTTTTTGCGTCACACCCAGAGATGCTCTGGGGTCACTCCTGGCAACAGAGGAATTACTGTTGTTGGTTTGTTGGTGCTTAGGGGACCAGATGGGATGCTGGGAATTGAAAGTGGGTCAGATGCATGCAAGGAAAACCCCTTACCCACTGGACTATCTCTCCAGTCCCCCAGAGGAAAATTTTAAAGGTCAGTGAATTCTGCTGTGTACATCTGGGTCCAGAGGCATTTCTGAAGGGCTTTGATGGAATCTCAGGATCGAGAAGGGGTGGGTGAGTGTGAAACAGCCTGGCCTCCTACCCCGCCACCTACTCCTATGAGACTGGTGAAGGGGAGGCTGTATTTGAGAGTCAACCCGGGACCCTGCTGGCGCTGCTCTAATGACTGTGCCTCCTTGCAGTCCCTAGAAGGGCCCCTTAAACCCCTGCCTTCCTGCCAATTTATACCCTTCCACAAAACCTCCCAGAAGGAGCCAGAGTGATTGTACAGCGGAGGGTGCTTGCCTTGCATGCAGCTGACCTGAGTTCAACCCCTGGCACCTGATATGATCCCCCAAACCTGACAGGAATGATCCCTAAGCCCAGAGCCAGGAGTAAGCCCTGAGCCCAGCCAGATGTGACCCAAACACCAAATGATCACCCCAGAAATCTGCTCTGGCTACCCATTGCCAAGATGGCCTAGATCCATCCCCCTCTGGATGGATCTATTTATGGATTGATCTCTCGATCTCTCCATCTGCGGATGGGTCCATGGATTTCCTCCTTGCCCAGCCTGAGCTTCCTGGTCAGCTCCTGTCCTAGAACAGCCCCTGCAGGCAGAAGCAGTGGCTTCTGCTGAAGCACCGTCTTCACGGTCCCCAGCACTGCCCAGGTATGATCACAGCAGAACGGGGTGAGCTGTGGGGCCTGCTAACACGGAAGGCCATTAGATAATAGGAAAGATGGGCATGGAAAAGTGCCCTGCCCCCCACTCCATGATTTCTAACATAAAGGTAAAAGGTAAAGGCCCTCCCGTTGATCGTCGATTTGCTCGAGCGGGCCCAGTAACGTCTCCATTGGAGACTTTGTTGTTACTGTGTTTGGCATATCGAATACTCTCGGTAGCTTGCCGGGCTCTCTGAGAGGGGCGGAGGAATCGAACTCGGGTCGGCCATGTTGGCTGCTTGTAAGGCGAACGCCCTACCGCTGTGGTATCACTCCAGCCCCTGGAGTGAATAAATCAGAACATAAGTGCTGATTTATTGAATTTGTCCTTTATCTGCCTGCCAGAGAAGGTGGGACTTTTATTGCTATGTTCATTGGTGTGTCTTATTTTTTTCTTTTTTGGGTCACACCTGGCGATGCACAGGGGTTACTCCTGGTTCTACACTAAGGAATTACCCCTGGTGGTGCTCAGGAGACCATATGGGATGCTGGGAATCGAATCCGGGCTGGCCGGATGCAAGGCAAACGCCCTACCCGCTGTGCTATTGCTCTAGCCCCCTCATTGGTGTATCTAATACCTAACTTAGTGCTCGGCCCAAGGAGGTGCTCATGGAATATATGTTGTGAGCTGGAGAGATAGTACAGGGGTTAAGGCATTTGCCTTGCATGCAAGCCGACCCCAGTTAGATTCTCAGCACTGCCTAGTGATCCCCTGAGCACTGCCTGAAGTGATCCCTGAGCACAGAGCCAGGAGCAAATCACAAGCACCAAAGGGTGTGACCCCAACTTCTCCCAACACAGGAAATAATCTGTTGGATGACAGACTGACCAATGAAGGCAAATGGTGAGAGGCAGGTAGTGGGGAGGAAGTGAGTGGGGAGGGGAGGGCAGGAAGGCAGGAAAGGAGGGCAGAAACTGGCATTGGCTGAATGCCTCTTCTAGACGCCTGTGCCCTCCTATAGACTTAACACAAGGGTAAAAGTACTGAAATGCGTTAAGCACCTCTATGCCATAAACTTAAAAGATTTCTCCCATATGACTCGTACAACAGTTCCACACTCAGTTTTTTTTTTTTTTTCCAGAAAAGCAAGTAGCAGAGTGCTTTGCAGAGCAGGGTTGGGATGGGAATGCTAGTTGTACTCTAAATCCAGCAAAAGCTGGAAGATGGGGCCTGAGAGATAGTCCAGAGGGCAAGGTGTTTGTTTGCCTTGCGTGAGGGAGACTCAGGTTCAATCTCCAGGACCCCATATGATCCCCTGAGCCTGCCAGGAGTGTTCTCTGAACATAAACCTAGGGGTAAACCCTGGACAAAGCTGGGTGTGGCCCCCAGAGAGAGAGGGGAGTGGGGCGGGGAGGGAGAAAAGAGAAAAAAAAATGGGAAGAAAAGGTGAAGAGGGAGGAGGGGTAATGAAGATGATTTAGAATAGCTTCCCCAGGTTCTGGGTTCAGGGATCACTTCTGGCAGTCTCGAGGAGCTATCTGGGGGTGCTGGGGATCGAATCCGGGTTGGCCGCGAGCAAGACAAACGCCCTACCCTGCTGTGCTAGCACCCCGACCCTCTATCCTAAGCTCTGAGTCTTTGGGAGTAAAGGAGATGGAGAGATGCAGGATGCAGCTAAGCCCTGCCCCTGCCCTAGACTTTTTTTTTTTCTTTTCCAATCACACCCAGCGATGCACAAGGGTTATTCCTGGCTCGTGCACTCAGGAATTACTCCTGGCGGTGCGCGCGGGGGGCGGGGGGATGTGTGATGTGTGTGTGTGTGTGTGGGAACACACCATATGGGATGCTGGGTATCGAACCCGGGTCGGCCCCGCGCAAGGCAAACGCCCTTCCCGCTGTGCTATCGCTCCAGCCCCTGCCCTAGGCTTTAGCTTCTCCTCGCATCCCCGGGCCCAGCTTTCCGGACACTCCCCCAGGTCCCTCGGGGAGGACCCCTCGTTTGGCGCCCCCACCTCCTGCACGTCACTCACCGGCCTCCTGGACGTTCCCCCAGCCGGTGGCCCAGCAGCTGGCGCCGTGCGCGAAGCGGTGCGAGGCGCGGGGCAGGCAGACGGGGCGCACGGCGGCGCCCAGGGTGGCGGGCGCGGCCAGGCGCAGGAGGGCCACGTCGGCGCCGTGCTCCACGCCGCTGTAGCTGTCGGGCACCAGGATGGAGGCCACCGCGCGCACGTGCACGCCGTCCAGGGGCCCGTCCTGGGAGTGCACGCCCAGCACCACTGACCACTCAGCCGCGGGCTCCAAGGTCCCGTTCCTGCGCCGAGGCCGGGCGGGAGGTTAGAGCGCCCCTGGGGAGGGGTTCGAACCCAGGGGAGGAAGGGCGCAGGTTATGGAGCTTGAGATGGAGAAGGATCAGATGGGGAAAGACAGAATGCAGACCACGATACCGGCCAAGGGAGGAGCCCGGTCAGTGCCACTACTCCCCAGAACCCGGATCCCGTGCGCCGGAGGGTGGGGAGACACGGGGGAGCCGTGGGGTCAGCCTGCGTGCTAGGCTTGAGGGAAAGGGGGTGAACGAAGGTTGATACTCACTCCACAAAACAGTGGGCAGCCGAGAGCACCCAGGAGGGGGCGATGAGGGAGCCCCCACACACGTGCCCTCCCCGGTGATACAAGCTCACCTGCCAGGGCCACGTGCGCGGCTGTGCGTCCGAGCCCCCCACGATGCGGGCAGAGGGCTCAGGCCGCCCGCAGTCTGCAGTGGGGAGTGGCGGGGGGGGGGGGGCATGAAAGTCAGAGCTGCCCTGAGTCACCGGGGCACAGCCCTTTCCTCCAGCAGGCTTCGGTTCCCACCCCTTGAACAGTGAACAGAAGACTCAGGCACTTCGAAGTTTCTGGTCCCTTCTAGAAGGATTCCTCTCAGCACCTAGCCAGCCTTTACCCCTTCAAGATCTGAGGACCCCCCCTTACCGCCCTTACCGAGATCTCCAGGTTCTTCTTGAGAAGGACCAAAAGCTGGCAGGCAGAGGGCATAGGAAGGAAGATACTGGTGAAACCGCCCCCACCCCCAGCCCCTTGCCCATTCTCCACCCACCTCCTGTCTCTTCCCTCTGCAGGGGCTCCTGAACCGGGGCTGTCTTACCTGCTTCCTGGGAGGCTCCTAGGTCCGAGTTGATGGCTGGAAGGAGCAGGTTGGGGGATGCTGGTGAGCCAAACTGCGGCTGGGTCCTCCCTGGGCCCCTCCCCACTTTACAGCTGCTCATGCTTCTCCCTCCTTGGCTTCCTCTCCCTCTCTCCCTCTTGACACCTCACCCTTCCTTCTGTTTTGTTTTTGCTTTGCGGGTCACACCCAGCAATGCTCAGGGATCATTCCTGACAGGCCCAGGGAACCATCTGGGGTGCCGGGGATGGAGCCTGGGTGGGCCACATGCAAGGCAAACACCCACTGTAGCTTCTCTCCAGCCCACATCACCCTTTCCTTCTGATCTCCTTCTCCCCTTCCTCCTCGGACACTTCGCTCCCAGGCAGAACCCAAATGTCCTGCTTTGAAGCAGTGAGGCTCTACACCCCTGTCCCCGGAGGTACCGAGCATCACAAGTGGGAGGACCAGGAGCTGGGACATGGCTCGTGGGCCCAGCTGGAGCCGAGGCGAAGGGAAGTGGGACCCCGCACAGCCGCTCTGTGTCTGCCCTCAGAGCCAGCGGGGTTCTGATGGTCCCCCGATGCCCCACCTTCCCTGGCTGGAGCCCATCCGGGAATCTGAGAGGCTCTCAAGTTGGAAGGGGGAAGTAGAGAGGCAGAAGGCCCCACCCAGAGCCCGGCGCACCCATCACATCTCGAGACCAGAGGCGGCTGTCCTCCCTCAGGGCACCTTGGAGGTGAGCAGAGAACCTGTGGACAAAAGCATAAAGGACTTCAGGGTTGGGACTGCAGGTGCGCAGCCGGGCAGGGGTGGTGTCCCCTCTGTGGCCGTGACTCATCAGAGACCGCACTTGTGTGTGGGGTGCGGCTCCCCCAATGGCTTCACCTTTTCTTCTCACACAGCTCTGGTTACTGGAATTGCTGGCCTGGTGGAAATGGGAGCCCTAGGGAATTCAATCCCATCCTAACAAAAGGACCACAGATCACGGCTGGTTGGACTGGTCAGAGGCTTCTGGAAGGGGGCTGGGTGGGTGGATGAGGCAGGGAGACACTCCACCCTTCTGCTTTCGGTGAGATTCTTGCAGCTGTTTTTGTCACTTACTTGTAGTGTGTCCTTGGGAAAGTCACTCAGCAACGTAGGCACAGGCCTTGTATGCATGAAGCCCTGGGTTTGATGCTTGGGTACCACCAAAAATAAATAAATAAATAAATAAAAGGAGAAAATGAAAAGAGAGGATGAAAGAAAGAAGGAAAGATAGGGGATGGAGAGATAGCACAGTGGATAGGGCATTTGCCTTGCATGCAGCTGACCCAGGTTCGATTCTCAGCATCCCATATGGTTCCCTGTGCACTGCCAGGAGTAATTCCTGAGCGCAAAGCCAGGAGTAACCCCTGAGCATCGCCAGGTGTGACCCAAAAAGCAAAAAGAAAAAAAAAGAAAGAAGGAAAGATAGAAGGAAACAAAAAATTAAAGACAAGGAGTATACCTTAAAAGGATGTGGAAATAGGGGATACAGGGAGTTACCAGGCCCTAAAATGGAGCCGGGACACTGTTCGCTGTTCAGGAAGGGCTGCCCCGGTGCTCCTGGCTGGGCTGTGCATCTATGAAGCCTCCAAACAGTCCAGGCCAGGGGGCGACCCAGGCAGCCGCGGCCTGTCACGCAGGGACCTGTCACACCACACATCAGGGCAGTTATCTTGGGCGTAGCTCAGAAACTTACACAACGTATTTTAACATTTTTCCAAGAAGAAATTAGTTCCTAAATTGTATGTCAGTCTGTACTGACCTTTTGGCTCCCAGCAGGACCTGCTAGGAACAATTGTCTTAGTCCATAAATCCGGTGGTGCTGTGCCATGTGGGGGCCTAATTTGGTTTCCGATGGACTCTACGTATCCCTGACTTCTATTTCCCCCAAATAAATTCCTGCTTTTCTTAGTTTTCCTCAACGTGTTGATGGTTCCTGGTACCAGAGAACAAACAGGGAGGTGCCATAGCCCTTCACGGGCTTTTACCTGGTCCATCATCCTCCAGGCTGAGTCATTCTGCACCCAATAACCTCCCTCCCTTGGTCGAGGGTCAGGATTTATTTGGGTGTCTTTGGTTCTGGCTTATAGGGAATATTTTCCCCTCTCTGTCCTGGGGAATTAAACCTGGGTCTCGTGCATGCCAGGCATGAGATATTGAGGTACATCTCACTCTTTTTATTTATTTTTAATTTTTTTTTTTTTTTTGCTTTTTGGGTCACAGCCGGTGATGCACAGAGGCTACTCCTGGCTCTGCACTCAGGAATTACTCCTGGCGGTGCTTGGGGGACCATATGGGATGCTGGGAATCGAACCCGGGTTGGCCGCATGCAAAGCAAATGCCCTACCTGCTGTGCTATTGCTCCAGCCCTCCCCCCTTTTTATTTTTGGTGGAGATTTAGGATTGCTGTGATTTAGGATGTGAGGAAGTAACCCAGGACCTGAGGTTAGCTCTGTGCTCTGTATCTGGGCCACAGTCCCCGTCCCATCTCCAGAACTTTCTCTTCAGGTGAGTTCTCACATTAAGGAATACCCACTTTCTAGAGGAACCGCTGATGCAAATTCCCCCTGCGACTCTTGCCAGTTCCATGTTCGAGGAAAACGCCTCTTTGTGTATCGTTTTTAGTCAACAGGACGGAGATTGATCTGACCCTTTATTGGCCCCGTTGGGGAGTCTTTGGATTCCTAAAGTAGTTTATGTAAGTACTCAATTAGAAAAAAACTTGCAGAACCAAATACATTGTGTGAAAAGCTTGTTTGTTTTTGAACCACATTTGACGTGTTCGGGGCTTACTCCTGACTCAGCACTCAGCACTACTGGTGATGCTCTGGGATGCCAGGAATCAAACCCTGGTCAGCCACAAGCATGGCAAAAGCCCTACCTGATGTACTATTGCTTCTGCCCTTAATCCTAAACTTTTATACCAGATTTCTTTATGTTTATACCAACTCATTCACATGCTTGCCGAGAACAGAAATCAAGAATTAAATGTAGTAAACTGACAAAATTCCTTAAATTGTTTCTTTAGAGCCAGAGTAATAGAGCAATGTTCTATTACTCTTTTAGGGTTGGGGCCAGAGCAATAGTGCTGCAGGTAAGGCACTTGCCTTGTTTGTGGCCAACTCATACGGTTCACAAGCACCACCAGGAGTAATTCCTGAGCATAGAACTAGGAGTAACTCCTGAGCCCCCCAGGTGTGGCCCAAAGAGAAAAAAATAGCTTTTTTTTGGTTTTGTGGTCACACCCAGTAGTGCGTGGGGTTCACTTCTGGCTCTGCATTCAGGGACAACTCCTGGCAGGGCTTGGAGGACCATACAGGGTGCTAGGGATTGAACCTGGATCAGTGCTTTACCCACTGTACTATCGCTCTATCCCCTAAAACACTTATTTATTTATTTATTTATTTATTTATCGGCCACACCCAGAAATGCTCAGGGGCTACTCCTGGCTCTGCACCAAGCAGTTACTCCTGGTGATGCTGGGAGGGTCATATGGGATGCCAGGGATTGAATCCAAGTAGGCCACATGCCAGGCAAGTGCCTTACTTGCTGCACTATCTCTCTGGCCCTAACCCTGAAACATTGTTACAGGCCAGGGGATCAGGCTCAGCAGTGCCATAGTGCTATCCCCAAAGTCTTTCTCAAAATTATAGACCAAAAAATAAAACCCACCAAATGCACTCAAAGACTAAAAGAGTCCTGATTATTTTTATCAATTTGAAAATATATTGTTTTTAAAAATTATTTAATTATTTATTTAGTTTGCTTTTTGGATCACACCTGGCTATGCACAGGAGTTACTCCTGACTTTGCACTCCGGAATTCCTCCTGGTGGTGCTCAGGGGACCATATGGGATGCTGGGAATTGAACGCGCATTGGCCCTGTGCAAGGCAAGCGCCCTACCCGTTGTGCTATCGCTCCAGCCCCTGAAAATATATTATTTTTAGGGGACCACACTCAGAAGTGCTCAAGGACAACTCCTCGTGGGGGCTTGGGGGACTATACGGGATGCCAGCGATCAAACCTGGGTCAACCACATGCAAGGTAAGCACCCTAACCACTGTACTGGGTCTTTGGAAATATTTTATTTATTTATTTGTTTTTTGGTCCCACTCAGTGATACTCAGAGGTTACTCCTGGCTCTGAACTCAGTAATTTACTCCTGGCGGTGCTCAGGGGACCATATAGAATAGAACCCGGGTCAGCTGTGTGCAAGGCAATTGCTCTGCCTGCTGAACTATTGCTCTGTCCCTTTGAAAAATATTTTAAAGCAATAGTTAGGTAAAGAAGATATAAACTACAATGGTTCTCTGTCCCCTCGTTGTTCATTGATTTGCTCGAGCGGGCTCAGTAACGTCTCCATTGTGAGACTTGTTGTTACTGTGTTTTGGCATATCGAATACATCACGGGTAGCTTGCCAGGCTTTGTCGTGCAGGCGAGATACTTTCAGTAGCTTGCCAGGCTCTCCGAGAGGGGTGAAGGAATCAAACCCAGGTCTGCCGGGTCGGCCACATGCAAGGCAAATGCCCTACCCGCTATGCTATCGCTCTAGCCCAAGGTTAAAAATAAAGAGGAGGGGCTGGAGCCTTGCACGCGTCCAACTCGGGTTCGATTCCCAACATCCCATATGGTCCCCTGAGCACTGCCAGGAGTAACTCCTGAGTGCATGAGCCAGGAGTAACCCCTGTGCATCGCCGGGTGTGACCCAAAAAGCAAAATAAATAAATAAAATAAAAATAAAGAGGAAAATATATAAAATAAAGTTAAATATATACCAACCCAATGAACCAGCAATTTTTCTAATAGGTATCATTAGTAGCATTTCCACAGTTATATAAAAATATTCACAGCAGATTTATTCATAATAGCCAAACATTAAACATATACAAAGTGACTGACACATATTAAGCAAATGTGACTTGTAGAGGCAAAAGTCCATTGGATTAATGGACTAAAGACAAAAAATCTATATAAAATCTATAGGACCAGGATGTAGCTCAGTGGAACAGCACAAGTTTTTCAGGAACAAGGGTGGGTTTGCATTCTCAAAAAAAAAAAAAAACACAAGAAAAAAACCTTACTCCTTCAGGTAAATAAAACAACTTAACTGGGCCCCGTGGAAACTCGTGCTCTGGCTCATTTGACTGTTCAGCTCTCTATAACCCTTCAAAATTCTTCCAAGGAAAGTGATACAAGTTCTAAATGTCTAGGTTCAGACTGCACTAGACCAGGCTCACTCTGAATAAACTGAACTTTCAAAGGCCCTATCCCCATGCCCGTTTCAGCAATAGAGCGTCTCCCTCCAAGCAAGCAGGGCTGACCACCTTCACCCATGCAGGGTTATTTCCTGCAGCTGCTCTCTTTTGCAGCCTTTGAAGTGACTAATACTTTTGCCACACTTAACAAAGCAGATTTTAAATGTTCTCAGGACAACTCACAAAAAATTTTTTTTTT